TTCGTTTTGAATTTGAATATATATATATATATATATATAGCAAATATTCTCATATTCTAATGACAGCTTTTCTCAGTTTTAATTTAATGTACATGAATATTTGTGGCGCTTGAACTGTTGATTACTTCATCAAAACAAGACGTTTGAGCATGTCCCCTTAGGCTCTTTGTATATATTTGGAACATCAGAGTAATCAATCGTTGGCTGCAACTTTTAGTGTATTCTTCCCGTTTGGATACAAAAGCCAAAAGGAAAGTGTGGATGCAGAATCAGTGACACAAGACCAAAAAAAAAAAGGGGCTTGAGGCCGACGTTACAATAAACAGCCCGGCCAGTTGGCAGCTTGTCTCCCGACAACTGACTCCCACCGGGTGTGAATCAGAAATCTAACAGCTAATGGCAACAGCCGCCCCATGTGGCTCTACTGACAGCAAACTAATGCCCACACATGCACAGTGGAGCACAAGAGCTGTCAACACCCCGCCACGACCCCGTGGCTACGGACCGGCAAAGGAAAGAACACTGAGAAAGATGGAAAAATCTGCCCTCATCTGCGATTATTTCTTTTTCCAACACCTCTTAAACACTTGAGCCTTTTACCAATAAGGGGAGGGGGGGGGTTTCCTCTTCAGCGTTGGTCTTATAATTATAGGAGGGAGCCCAGTGGACGGGTCCGGGAAGGAGTATATTATTATCAGGACTGTAAACACACTTCAAGCATTACTTTCAAGCACACACACACACTCTCGTGCAGCAGAGTTAAAGGGCCCGCAGGAGTCTCTGCCGTACAGGTCGGACATGATGTTTCCCCATTCGGCGACCACGGTGGAGTGCTGTGTGGCAGTATAGTCCTCACTGTATATCACAACAGCAGTCCGGATCTGTTGAAGCATTAGATCATTAACAACCAGCTACGAACCCCCACGCAGGCTTTCATGACACAACCATCGCCGAGAGTGAGGGAATCGCTGGATCGAGATGAGCGGCATCCGCGTCCTTCAGCAGCAGGAAGCGTCATCAAGGTCCTGGCTGAGGCTAACCCCATCAGCAAAGAATATGGAAGAATGCAAGAGGAGACAAGAAACCACAGAACAATTCCCCCACGACGTGAGCGAAGCGCTTCACCAGAAACAGAAACCGGTGCTTTCTCTCCGAGATCCCGGCAGAGCGTGCATCAATCATCCCGGCCTCCCTTCCCGTCCGGGGGAGAGGAGCTCGGCTTTGAACAGTGCAGACCGGCGGGAGGTCCAGCCATCACTTCTCGTTGTGGATCCTGACATGGACGGTAATGAATACCGCACGAGGCCGCCGGGCTGCGGGAGCGGGTTTTTGTCTGTGCAAAAGCCTTTTTTGTGTGTGTGTGTGTGTGAGACCACGTGTCCTTGCAATGGACACGCCTCCGCGTGCCTCGTGCATGTTGTGCGTGTGCGCCTTTGTTGGGACGGATGTGAGTAACATGCAGAATAACACGTCGGCCTGTGTGACCCAAACCGACAGGAACAATTAATCGTGGCTTTGTTGCTGCTCCCGGACGAGGCCGGCGCCTCGTGCCGAGGTCACACCTGCGAGGGGCCGGAGCTGCATCGGGATCCGTCGCACCTGCACGCGGCCGTCTTTATATGATATATGGCCGGCTGGAGCACACATATTTCAGGCGGAGAAGCAAAGCGTTTGCACGGTTGTGGGACAGTTAAAGGGTGAGATTACCCAGAGGACAAACATGTGTTTTGAATGAACTGAATGAATGGCAGAAGGCGCTTCCCTGTTCCATTTGACCCGAATATTCATGAAGCTCTTTCCATAAGGTGCCCTGCAGTGCTGGACAGACAAATTGCTACTCAAGTGCATTAGGTGAAGGGTTTTTCTCAGGAAACTGAGGCAATTAAAGGAACTGGCTTGTACGCATGTACAGCCTTGGACTGATTTTTGAAAAATCCAAAAATAACCATGACATAAACACTGACCGATTATGAACTAATGAGGTTATTGTGGTTCAAATGTAATCAAGCATTCCGATTTGAGCTCTTTTTCAGCTTCCGCCTCGGATAATCAAAGCAGACATGATTAAACACAGACTTTAAATCTGGGTCCTCCCCCTTTTATCCAACATTCTACTAGACGACAGCTTTAAAGCCTCACCTTCTCTGCAAGATACTCACAAAGCCAGGAGGTCTTTGCTTGCTGATCTATGTAGGACAAGCAGTGGCACGTCTGATGCAATAAATGAACAAGATGGATGTGGCGGATATGTTCATTTGAGAGCTCTTGTCACTGAGGGTTTGTCGTCCGGCTGCACAAAAGGGAGGAGCCGTCCTGCCTGATTTACTTTAGATCCGAACCGCGGCTAAATTGGAAACCGTGAATCACTCTGACACCGTTGGCGCAAGATGGATTACTCCAGTTAAAGGCTGCCTTTTCTTTACATTGGCTCTTTTTAAAGAAATCATACAAAACCATTTTTTCCTGACAGACGGCCGACCCGGGCGGGCGACGAAGGGAGGCCGGCGCCGATAGGCGCTACAAAGCCCGTTCTATCAGCACAGCGACATCCACGAGCTCTCAGAAGCACGAGGAGCTGAGCATTTGATCAACCGTTTCAGGTTTAACAAGCCTTGCCAGACTACACCTGCCTGGAGGAAAACTACATGCCTTTGAGCCCGCCCCCCACACACACACACTCACACTCACACACACACACACACACACGAGATGTTAAGGAAATAAGAGCTTGATGTTCACAATAGCCAATCTGCACTAATCTCATCCCCTCTCGAGCTGCCGGATTCTCAGCAAGGATCAAGATTTGCGCTGCGGAACAATGGCTCTCTGAGTGCACATAATGCCTTCCGACATAATCAAGCCACGAATTAGAAACACAACACTCAGCCGCACAAAAAGGCTGAATGCAGTTCTCACAGGTTTAATAGGATGAAAATACTAGAGGACTGTGCTCCGTGCCGAGAGGGATACGGCCGATATTTCTGTCACAAGCTCACGGATGACTCGCTTGCACGATGAACCCGCGTGTCTCCTGCTCGCTCTGCGTCTTTGTGTCTTTCAGTCCGAGCTTGAACGCGAGCGTGTGGGTCAGCCTGCGTTCACCCCAAATCATTGTGGCTGTCTGCAGCTCATTGCCCCGCGGTAATAGCACGACTCGCCGACACCTGGGACCGGCGGCGTGGACCCCGGGAGGAGGAGGCGACCGCCTGGAAACTGGCCTTGATTACTTTCTCCGCTCCCCGGAAACTCAGCTCTGTAGACGCCGTTAACCAGCTGCAAACGGTGCGATCCCAACCGGGCCGTGCCGTAATGCAAGTACACAAAGGGTTGCTTACAACCACTAACACACACACACACACACACACACTCCAGATAGAGGTGCACGCTTTGAAATGAGGGCACAAGCATCTGCAGACCAACGTCCTCCATAGTGTCCCCAGCGGGACCAGTACGGAGGTGTAACACGAAGCAAGGGGGACATCTAGTGGGCCTGTTACAGAACAGACAGGCCGGAAACGTGTTCATATTTCCACACAAGGAAAAACCCGGTGGAGGTTTTGGCGAAGCGGTTTCTCCTCTGAGCTTCACGTACCCGTTTCTCCTGTGGACGTTTCTTCTGTGTTCGGTGATCCCCGTCAGTGTCGGGTGTTTCGTCGTTAAATCGTCGGAACTCTCTCCGTGTTTCCTCTTTCCCCCGTCTAAACCGCGCTAATCCGGTACCGGTGTCAGTCAGGAGCCGTGGGCTCGCTTTGAGTGTCACAGGCTCAGTGGAAGCAAACCTTTTATAGCCACGGCCGGGCATTTTAGCTCAAAAGTGAGCGGGCGAGAGCAACGCTGTCATGACATTAGGGCCCAATCCCGATCTGCACCCTGACCCCTGACCCCTCAGGGACTCACCTGACAGTGAGGGTCTATGCAATGAATACCTTCTACCCGTTGATACGAACGTCTTCCAGGCTCTTTCTCCATGAAATGAAAGGTCCTTTGTCAAAATTCCTGTGAAGAAAATGTTTTCTTTAATTTTAATTTAATGAATGAATAAATTAATATCGTGTGATTTCATGTTTTTTCTTTAATCCTCGACGTTTTAAATTTATACGCTTTTTAATATGACAGCCTGAACACACGTTCCGTCTTCCTTGTTCCCCTTTACTTGACCTTACGTCACATTGCAAGGACTTGCGGGTAATTGTTTCGGCAGGTATTTCCTCGAGAACAGCGGCACCTGGACGGAGGGTGGAACTAAAAACCATGACGCGTCGTTGTGGCACCAAGTGAGTTCGGTTATTTTTACGAGGCAGTTTGGCATGCAGGTAGTTTCCTGAGGCGCGAACGCTGGTTTGATTGACAGGTGCAACAGTACGAGCTTCTCTTAAAAACAGCCGACTGTAACTTCTACGGAACTGAAATACTTTCAGTTGATTATGTGGAAAATCTGAGACTTGTTCACACACCTGAATCTCATACAATATGATCGCAAACGGGCATGACTCGTTATATAATTATTATAATAATATATTATTAATCAGTGGGATTTTGACTTGCCCTGTACAAGGAAGTAAAATTCCATCGAACGAAATTAAAAAAAAACATGCGTTTAATGTAGATTGGCAAAATAAATATGTTCACTCACGAATTATTTATTTATTTATTTATTTATAACTATGTTTCAATAGCATGAATACGGGAGAAACCCGCCCTCCATTCATTTGAATGTAACAGTGGGGAATAAAAGTACTATTGAATAAATAAATGTGGAATTATGAAACCAAAAGTCAATGGCCATTTTTATTCGTCTTCCTGGCACATGCATCTTATTGAAATGCGCTCTGTTCTTTATAACTCTGAGATCCATAAAGCCAATGAGTGCATTTTATTGCCGCTGTGTTGTCTGCCTGCGACCGCCGGAGGAAAACACCGACTAATCTCGGCTGAACGCAAATATGGGGAAACTCGGCGTGACTCCGCGACGAGGAGGAGGAGGAGGAGGAGGAGGAAGAGGAGGAAGGGCAAGAAGTCTTCGGAGAGGGCGGCGCTCGCGCAGTCACAAGCGTGTCAAAGTTAGCGCACCCCCGCAGCGTTTGCGGGACTTGACACAGACTTGTGCGGCCGGACGGAGCGCGCAGAGAGAGAGAGAGACGCGCCGTGGAGGTAAAGTGTGTCCGTTTGCCTCTGAGATGTGTTGGAGAGATACTGAGCCGTTTCCTGGTGGTGTCCTCTGTTGTTTCCAAGGCTTCGCTGAATGTACATACAGAGGATTGGACGCTGTTTTCCAGCTGACTTCATTTAACAGGCGGAGAGGGAAGCTGGGGAGACTTTATAGTGGAGTTAGGACTTCTTAAACATGTGTGCTGGTGCTTCTCATCAATGCGACAAATACAGATATCCATATAGTCTAAATGAAGCTGGAAATTGTAGCTTGATTTACATTTTAGATCGATCACTTGGGTGTTTAGTCAGATCTGTTTTTTGATGTCCATTACCACCCTCAGGCTGTGTTTTCCGGAAATACCCAATTCACTGTAACCATAGAAGAGTTTCTGAAGATACCAAACACGGCAGAAAGAATTTTGGGGAAGTTATCCAGAAGGGAAAGATAAAGGTTAAATTGTGTCACGTAAACATGAACGCATATATGAATTGACGAATGTCCTCTTAAGGCTGAGGAACACGTCTTCTATATGCGGCTGAAAAAAGGCCTGGAGGCTGCAGGATGGATCCCCCAGAGTTGGACCTGCTTGAAGCGAACAGCGAGGAGCTCCAGCTGAGAGTGGACCTCTTCAGGAAACTGGGTTACCGCTCAGCAGAGGTGAAGGCCGCTCTCAGGAAGCTGGGCCTGAGCACAGACACCAACTCGGTGCTGGGAGAGCTGGTTCTGAGCAGGACCGACGCCGCGCCGTGTGCAACCGGTCCCGAGCCGGCAGGCCGGAAGGACCCCCTGCTGCCTCCCAGTTGGGCCGTTGGACCGTGCGGGGTCAACCTCTATCCGGGCGACCGGAAGAACACCGACACAGAACTAAGACCCATCGTGATTGACGGCAGCAACGTCGCAATGAGGTGACGTTGATGAGCAGTTTTCTCTCGTTTTGCGGCACCGTGGATGATCTGACTAAAAGACGAGTTAACAGTTCGCCAAAGCTGTTTTTTTTTCACTTCTTTGAACTACGGCAGCAGGTGTGGTCTAGCCGAGACCAACAATGTGCCGAGAAAACAAAGTGTCACAGTTGCTTACTCATTGACTCGGAGTCTTTAGACTCAAACATAGGGATTATTAACACGTGTTACGAAAGCGGTATTCCCACTCCCATCCGAGCATATTTCTGTGAAGCCTACAACATGTAAATTCTATCTGCACACACCTACAGCGCTGATTAGATATGAAGTGCTATGCAGGAAGTTCACAGTGACTAATAGCACGAGCCATTTAAAGGCGTGTGTTGTTTGCGCAGATCTACTGAAGTTCCACTTCTCTCTTTCATATTATTTATAGGGAAATAATTTGTTCTCATCTTCTGTTTCCTGCTTCTTGCGACAGCCACGGCAACAAGGAAGTGTTCTCGTGCCGCGGCATCCAGCTGGCGGTGAACTTCTTTCTGGACAGAGGTCACACTGCCGTTACCGTGTTTGTTCCCACCTGGCGCAAAGAGCAGCCCAGACCGGACAGCCCCATAACAGGTGAGGACACGAGGGTCGTACCACAAAGCGGGCGGGTGATTCTCGTGTTAATTCAGACTCACAAACCCCCTTAAAACCCCGCTGCATCCTATTCGCAGGGTCAAAATGTGGCCATTTGCCCTTGGCCAAAAAAAACATGATGGCAGGAACCAAGATCCCAGATGCCGATGGTCCGAGGCTTCTTCAGCACACTCCGCAAATCCTGCGTATTTTATGCAAAAGTGTCAGTTCATTAAGAATTCTTTTGACAAAGTTATGTTGATACATGTACTGAACACTCCCTGGAGACAGAAAAGAACATAATCAATGTGCCTTGCCAAATATCACCGTACAAAATAGAAGTAGGACATACCAGCGTTGGATTCTCTGCTGGTTCGCCCGCTAACCCATAACCCACAAACAGTTAACCACATAACCATGTAAAACAACCACAGTTTGTGCTTGGTCAAACAAACAAGATTGAACATGTTCGATTTGTCAGTTTAAGAGGTGTTGCAAGGAGCGCTTAGCACGTTTTCCAAACAAACTCCTCGAACTCCTGGAAATGTTATTATGTTCCCTCAGTAGGTGTGCACATGTCCTGCATGTGAGATTGAGCCCCTGTGTAGCCACGAGTTTGACTGTTTCAACGTTGTCTGAAGCACAACCACTGAACTCATGCCAAGGCCATGAGGCAACAGCGTGGAGATTGTGAAACAGAGATTGTCTGCATTCTCCGTGGCGTTATGTTTCCAGATGAAACCAGGACGACGGCTCGTGCGGGAAACCACTACAAACAACAGTAAAATAGCTTTCTTAATCGCGTTCCCTCCTCATGCTTCAGTGTCGGGCAGGGTGGAGCAATCCAAAGGTTCTATTCTCAACCTGTGAACAAGGAAGTAAAAGTCGGCCGGCGGTCATGCCTGGGAAAGCCCCATCAGGAAGTACAGCGGTGTTTTTCTCTGCTTGAAGGATATAGTTAACTGCTGCCAGTCATCTACAGCGAGATAATAAGTAAAGACCGTCTGAGAGGCCCTCAAGTCAGAGAAGTGCCTTTAAGTGTTTGTGTTTATCGTCATCGCCAGCAGCTCATGTGTCTTCTTGTCATGCAGAACGGCTTCTTTTGAGTCCTACACATTTCTTGTTTCATATTACTGCCTGGATGTGTAAGCGTGTGTTTTTTTACATTTCCAACAAGTCATATTGAGGACTAACAGTCGATGGCCTGTACAGGTGATACCTGGTCTTGTGTTAGGGGGTGTAGCTGGTGGACCCAAATGCACACGCACAGCAGTTCGATTGGTAGCCAACGATTTTAGATTCTGCTTTCAGATCAACACATCCTGCTGGAGTTTGAAAAACGGAAAATAGTGGTCTTCACTCCGTCGCGCCGGGTCGGTGGTAAGCGAGTGGTCTGCTACGACGACCGCTTCATCGTCAAGTTGGCGTACGATTCCGACGGAGTGATCGTATCCAATGACACCTACCGAGACCTGCAAGGAGAAAGATCCGAGTGGAAGAAATGCATTGAGGAGAGGCTCCTCATGTTCTCGTTTGTGAACGACAAGTAAGCACTAAGGCCGTTGGTCCAAATTTAAGTTCCTTAAATGCTATTTAATTGGGTTCCAGAGGGATTTGTGCGTATTAAGGGTGTAGTCAGGGGAACATTATTATACGGCCGATTTGTAACATGTACTTTTTTTATTTCCAGGTTCATGCCCCCGGATGACCCCCTGGGTCGCCATGGCCCCAGTCTCGACAACTTCCTTCGGAAAAAGCCACTGCCTGCCGAGCAAAAGCGACAGCTGTGTCCTTACGGTAAAGTGGGATTAGCGCCGAGCTCGGTTCCTTCAAAGCTTTTGGAACGACGTGTAGAGTAGTTCCCAAATGAGATGACACGTCATTCATGTGTATGTGTGTGTGTCCATTTTTGTTTTCCTCAGACAAAAAGTGTACTTACGGTATGAAATGCAAGTTCTACCACCCAGAGCGGTCGAACCAGGCCTACCTGTCCCTGGCTGATGAATTGAGAGAAAAAGCCCAGATTTCTACTGTAAAAGAACAGGGGAATGCCAGAATATCACCCAGACCGATTCCGTCTGATCCAGGCCCTGCTCACAACGCCTTCTCCGATGCCAAAGACCCTAACACAGAGCACACAAGATCCCAGCACAGTTCTTCACACACAGGTCAGTTTTGTGAAAATGCACGGTACTGGGAGGACCCGGGAAAAAGTCCAATTCAAATGCCGCCTCGAGTAACAGGAAGCCTGACAGAGTGGCCCGGCCTGCACTCCACGCCAAATCAGTACTACCCCAACGTCTCTCACGAGTACCTGGACTCTGGCTTCGGCTCTTGTGAGAGTCAGTACTCTGACTATTCGCACTGCGTCAGCAACTCCCTGAGGCGCAGGCCTCCGCAGCAAAGTTCTCCCGGCGGGCCCAGCCACGCCCCCCTGAATGGAGAGGAAAATAACACCGGCCAGACCTGCAGGTGCTGTTCCCACGAAGAACCAGCTCACCAGCGGCATCACGGAGGCCAGGACGCCAAGCGTCAGCCCAAACACGACGCCTACCCTCCTCACGTGTTCCCGCACCAAAACCACTTTTCCAGCCACCTCCACTACGGCGCAGCCCCACATCATCAGCAACAGTACTGGTCCGATCCCTTCCAGGTGCTGCCCCAAGCCAGGACCTCAAGCCCGGGCCATTCATCACACCCTTACAGCGGCGCTTACGAAGGCCCACAGTACCACTCGTGGGGCCAACAGCAGTCGCCGCAAGCCGCCTACGACCCACAAAGGTTGGAACTTCGCAGAAGGCTGCAAGCCATCTTCCCCCCGCAGCAGGTCGATGCAGTCATGGGAATGTTTCCACACGTGATGAATGCTGAGAAACTGGCCGCAGAGATCCTCAACCGTAAGGCTCAGCGAGGGGTGTTCTGATGATTCCTCTGGTCATTTCCTTCTTTTGTCAGAACACGGCCGTCGCGTTGAGTCTCTATCGCAGGAAAGAAGGAACCTCTCGAGACCTCTTAAGACTTTAAAAGCGTCTACAGTGGAGGGATCGGTAATGTCATTGAAAAGATGTTTCATTCTGTGGAATGAATGCAATTTGTCTTCCTATTTCTGCATTCTGTTATTTGCATTTTGACTTTATTGAACTCAAATGTTACCCTGTCATCCTATCTTTTGGATGCCTGGAAACAAAACGTTTATGTCTCGTGTGAGTTTGAGCCGTTTGGCTTTTGATGCATATTGTGTCAATGTGATACGATTTTTTATCTTCTTTTTTTTGCCATAAATAAGTTTGTGCAATAAGAAAACCCTTCATAAAGTATTACATTTTACTTTACTCGCCATAGTTCTCCAGTTTTCTCTTCAATAGGATCTCAATAGGTCGATGCATTCAGATGGTGTCAATCCAGTCCAGGATCCGGGCTCGCGGTTTGTATTTACAATGAAACCATAACCTAACAAGGAAAAAAAGAACAAGACTTTGACACAAGCAAAAGTAAACTCAGCATCCGTTCCAAGAATCATTCTCAGAACAGTGTTGCTGCAATAGACCGGTATTTATTGCACTGTGCAATTGAAAGGTGACAGGTTTGATGTGGAATCTAATCCTCATAAAAATTGTTCTCTTGGAAAGTATGTGAATATAAACTGTGAGGTAAATGCTAGTCGGCGTAACAAGGAATGAAATAAACACAAAGGAATAAAGTGTCAGATTTATGAGTCAGGGGTGGGAACTCTACCAGTCTTTCTTGAATTTAACCAATCCTGGAAATGCCACCAGAGTCGAGGAAGCTCACCATTTACTCTGACTCATAATTACATCAGAGCATGTTGCCCAAGACCTCCACCAAACTGCCTCATCAAATTTCACAAGGATGTCTCTTTTGCAAACGGAAGCTTGTTATTTTGTGTGCGAGGTGAAAGGTCAGCCTGTGTGGGTTTGTGTCTGTTTGCTCGGAGGCAGACTGTTCTGGAATGCTGTTTTTGAATGACCCCGTTCAGCTCAACCGCTATTTGGTGGATTTCTGTGAGTTTCAGTAAACACAATTATGGTCCCAGCGGAGGAATTGTCACCACGGTGATTCCCCAACTATCACCAAGTACCTGTATTCCCCGCTGTATATTGTGTTATAATTATCAAATATTAGCTCACATTAACATGCTAAATGAACAAGAAAGACAGGGATAACCTCAGCCATTTGTTCACACTGCTAAACTGGTTTTTAGGGCCTTTGGGCATCCAGAGTTTGAAATTCAGCATTTCTCAGTGAGACTAAGACACTATATTGCTTGTTTTTTGAGCAGAAGAGTCCACCAAAGGAGCTGTCCAAGCGCACACTTAACCCGTAAACATATATCCATTTTGTAAATCCACTACAAAGACATTCATTTGTTTATTAGTGATCAAATACATGCTTGTAACTACTGTTCTGTACTCTTTAGCCGTCTGTCATTTCTACAAAAGCAGTTTGTACTTCTGTCACTCCCAGGCCATCAGTAGTTTGTGGAATGGTACAAAGGCACCACAGCCAGGCTTGCTGCAAAGGAGAGAAACAGAGTTGTTAAATTAATACAGTGGAAAACATCTATATGTAATGTAAAAACATCTTAGGTCAATAACAAAGTCTCACTCCCTCTGAGTGTGTCTTTTTTATAAAAAATAAAATGAAAAGAGAATGAAAATGATTTGTCAGTAGGCCCATAGAAGTGGTTTCATTGGGTATTTATTTCATTTATCAATGCACAGGATACACTCGTCACACGTGTGTGAACTTTACAATCAGTTTAAAGAAGAAAAGAAAATATTTGAGCCCTTTCTTTTTTTTAATTGTTGTTGTGGTCAGCAAACCGGTTTAGACATCACATAACAAACTCACGCCTCGCCTCTTAAATGCTGTAACTTGAGGCTCCCTTTATCGCTGTGCAGAATCCAAGTGTTTCCAGAGGCATTGTTTGGCTATTAAACACCGATGTGCTGCCCTGAGAAGTCTTCATACGGAGTGACACTTAAATGTGATTTCATGTATTTATCCAAGACTTTTTAAATCCTACTTTAGTAACAGATGATTCTCGAAGAACGTTACAAGTTATTTGAAATGAACAGTGCCAATCTGCGATATAATATTGGAGCGACGCAGGTGTGAACACAATAAATCCCAGCGCGGGGCTGAGAGTCATGGTTACACCCCGAGAAGCATTAAGAAGCCTCATATTGCATGTGCTCACACCGTAAGAAAATGAGCTCATTTACCATTCAAAGTAGCTGCGTCCCCGGTGGCTGCCATCGTGCAACTCGTGATCAGGTGTTTGGAGCTCCACCCCGAGGTGAAGATCCGCCTCCCCCTGCAGGGGACCCAGGAAACGGATCGTTCCCGTGCTGATCCGTCCGGACGGCAGCAGGACCCTGACCCGGTGACCCAGCTCCAGGTCCATGGGGGAATGGGGCACAAACACCCGGTGAGGCCCTTTAGAGGTTCTCCACCATCTCACATCGGAAGAAGAGAAGGTGAAGTCAGTAACACAACTGTGATAGGCTTCATTTTTCCAACTTTCATAGTGAAATGAAATATTCTCTATTAAAACCCCTTAACCGTGGGGTGTCCATGCAGGTTCTGTACTAAATCAAGCAAAGAGAGGCTCTTGGGGCTAAATATAATGGTCAGTCTTCTCTTTGCTCTTTGCATAACTCTTTGCATAACTACTGCTTGAAGGGCTGCAGGCCTGCACCTGGTGGCTGAGGAGAAGGAAGCTCTGGAGCTCAGGGATGAGGATGAATGGCTTTCTGACAAGCTGCCTGCACAAGCGTCCCCGCTTGACAACACCTCCGACCCTCGGTGTTGGTACATCGGTCTTGAGAGACCACCTGTTCATCAGAAACCAGCAGTTGACATCATTATTTTTCACACTTCGCGATGGGCCGGGTGTAAAACTCCCATTTACTTGAGCAGTCCTCAAACAGTTCTCCGTTGTCCACGCCTGACTCCGACTCGTGCTCTCCGCCACCGCCAACTCTCACCGACTCTCCCGCCTGAGCGGCCAGCTACGGAGAAGGAGAAACGTTTTCAATGCTGAAGTCCAGTGGTGGAAATTACTGATCATCTGTACATCAGTAATTACTGCTGAACTTTAACCAAAGGTTTGTTCTGAAAGTTTGCAGCTTTGCATAAATCAAAGGTCTGGCTTTTACTGAAGTCAATAAATGGAATCCTTATTCCACAAGCGTACCTGATTAAGTAGTTCTTCCTGTTTTCTTCGAAGTTCTGCAAACCTCCTGTCCCATGATGCTCTCTCACAGGCCACCCTGGTCTTGAGGGACAATATGTCCGTCTCGGTTTTGGTCAGTCTTTTATGGAGGGCAGTTGCACGGTCGGGGCTGCCTGGTATGGCTGCAATCCCCTTACCCTCAGATGCTGAGGGATGTGCCCTTTCTGTTTAATGAGAACTTGAGAAGTCAAGTAGATTTATAGCCGAATGCAGATAGACCTTCGGCTCCATAAACTAGAAATACAACGTGACGGATGAGATCGATGGACTTCATTTCATTAGAACAATTAGAACATTAGAACAGTCATCCTTACCCACAACCTGTTTCGGCTGTCGGTTTGTGTCCTCTATGATGTGACTTTCCCGTGGCAAGAATTGGATTGCGTTGTAGGGGCATATCTAAAATGCAAATAAATTTGGTTCACAACCGCCTTAAAAATCAAACCGGATTTGAATGACAAATTTTCAGAGCACTCACCCAAAGAAATCTGCATGTGCACAGTATCCCCTTGAATGTCCATGCAAACGCAGTCCCCAGGATGTATGCCGTCATGATGAAGCATGCTCACCTCACGTTGGGATATTGTGACTTGGGTGGTGGGGGGCAACTCATCTGAAATGACATTGATCTCAACACGAGAGCGCGTTGATGATCCCTGATGGACACTGGCGTGGTGAGTCCGGAGGGTCAGGCGCAGGCGGCTTAAAATAAAAGAAGGCAACGCCGTGCGCGATTAGATGCCGCCGCGCTGGGACGCGTGCGCATGGAAACATGGACTGAAGGCCGCTGATGGGAGGCGAACCGCTGGACACTGACCTTTGCCAGAAGCTCGGCCGTAGGGCGGGCGGGAGGAAGCACGATAGTTCCTGTTCCTGCCCGATTGGGCCTCGGGTCCTGGTCCGCGTTGAGCGCTAACGTGGCGGGCTGACCTGTTGCTATGCACCACGTCTGTGAGAGCCGCGCTGCTGATGACTGCTGGGTGGCTAAATCTTGTCTGATCCTCTTACTTGTGCAGTTGCGCAGTCCAGTTGCATCCAGGCTGCTTAATTCGGGCCACTGAGCCGTATCTATAAACAACATGCGGCCTCCACATGCAGCGCAACTGTCAGACGAAAGAGGATTCAGGGTCAGCACGCATCTTTCCTGCATGTGCACATGCACGTGCAACTGAATCAAAAGATTCAGTTGTCAGAGATGAGGTGTAAATAATGGATGATAATAAGGGGAGAAGAATTTTCAATTCAAATGACAACATTTACATTCACATAGCGTGAATACTTTGCATGTTCACGCTTTTCGTTGCTGTTTATTTTCTGTTTCCTTTCTGTTTGCACAATGTAAACGGTAACACCTTGGTGGACTTTAGACTCCGGAGCCTTTAACTCGCTGTGGACACAGTCGGTCATACAGAACAAGTGATAACCAGTGATAACAGATATGAAGAAAGAAGACAGCAACAGCTTCCAGTAACGGTGCACAACAAATACAATCAAACATTAGAATTTGTAAATGAATGTTTAGCAAACAAGCATTTTGTAGATGATATGACCTCGGAAGCCATTTATGTTCTCACAAACTTCAATATTGCTTGAATTCATGAGTTGACAATCTTTTGAACTACAGAGTCTGTAAGTGTATTTGTTAAGGGTCTCTTTAATTGTAAAAGCTATGATAAACTATTAACGTATTACATGTAATGCTGTAGATATAGATTTTGATTCTAAACGCTTTTTGACATATCAAGCGGTGCTGTATTTTCAACGAGAGAGACAATAATGTTGCATGCATCAGCTCACAGTTTATTTCTCATACGAATGCCATTTTTTTCTTGGCTCAAAAGGCTCAGCTACTCTTTCAACGTATGGATATGCCGCTATTTTACTACAAACACACCCTTGTAAAAATGTGAGAGCGACCGAGTCTCTTTGATGCATATTATTTGCATTAATGGCTTGTATTCTGCCTTTAGAGAACCTACATTTGAAATTTTGAAAACATAGTCTGGATTTGATTTTAACACATATAGATTTTTTTTTTCTCAAACTATTTTCTTTTTTTCAAAGGACGCCAAGGAAACATTATATTTGTCTCGCGAAGCTGCGATGAAATAAAAAAAGGAGTGCTTCTGTCACCTGAATTGTCCCTTTTGTGTCGGCCAAGAATTCTACGTTCTTTAGGCCACAAAGAGTTGATTGTAGTCCGTTGGGACTTTATAGCTGGGGGTCCGATTTCACATTGTGTCGACCCGAAACCAGCTGCCTATACGATCCACCCCGCGGGCCACAGAAATTTAACCTGTTTCATAGACTCACAAGGGCTTCATCCACTGAGTTACGGTTGTAAATCTTTAAATGTTTGCTGCGCTGAGATGTCCTTCACCAAAGCAACCCGACAACGTGACGCGTTGTGATGTGATGTTCCTTTGTGTTGAATTGCACAATGGGATGATTACGAATGAAGCGCTCTCTGTTTGGTGCAGCGTTTGTGCTTCATCGTGCTATCAATTCAACCGGCACGTTATTACTGTTTCCGAAGCATCTTCACGAGAAAAATGATTTCCTCATCAACTCGGCCGGCATTTTGAGACCCACCCAGCAACCGCGGGGCGTTAGTCTCCTCCTCTCCCACTGGTATATCTGTGCAGGTGAGACTTTTTCCCTCTTACACTGCCACTCGGGTTCCGTTGGCAGGAAGCGAAAAAGTGGGGAGTTGACCAAGCAGAGAAAGGTAACACCAGAAGGAGAGAGAGCTCATTCACTTGAACCGCAGCTGGCGAAGGTAGAACCATCCACAAGGAGCACCGCAGGTGAGCACACTTTACTAACTGATGATTTTAGATCAGATCAGAAGTTTTTGTCGGCATGTTTTGAATTTCAGCCACACGGAGCTCTGGTGGCTGCGTACAGGGAATAACGGGATGATGCAGGCCAATTATCACAGTTAACAGATTCACTAAAGTCCATTTTATCTGTTGGTGGCGTCTCCAGCTTTCTGGGAACCGACACCGCGTCTTGCAGATGATGCCGTGGAGGTTCCTTACGTTTTAATTCAACCACTTTCGTTGTTAGTCCTCGATATCCCCGGTACACGGTGATGGAAGTGCACGCGGTGGGTTTGCACAACGCGGCGGACGGGAAGACGTCATTCACAGCATCGCACGTGACGCCAAAGAATACTGGTGTTCACTTTTTCCAATTCAAGTCTTCATTTTCACCTGGAGGCCGACACGCCGCTGTTGTCACTTAGTTTCTAGGGTGTAGAGCCCTGAGGACTCTCTGAAGGGGGGGGAAAAACAAGCTGTGCTGCTTGCCGGTTCTCCCAGGGGGGCCGATGGAGGAACAAACACATTTTAATTGTGTTCCCTGACAAACCAGCGCAAAGCGCAGGATGTTTGTCACAGCACAGAAATGTCACGGAGGTCACCACGACTGCTCATAATGCTTTAGATTAAAATGAGGTGACCAAAGAAGTTTTACTTAGCTGAGAAGACTTAAATCTCACATTTGTTCATTTCTTATTGGTTGTAACTCAAACCAAAGCATTATGAGCTAACATGGGTCACATGGGCACCATCCACCTTAAAGATACTTTGTCCGCACCCAAATTATTATTATTTTGTTGCTCAGTTGTATCCAGCGAACAGAGAGTTTTGATTGTGTCCGTCTAAAGCTTTATGGAAAATTCTGTCAGCTGTTTCATTCATGTAAATTGCATATTTGACGCTTCTCTTTGCCAGGACGCGACCGCTTTGCAGGACAGAGAGCTCTCTCCCTTTCTGCCGACCTAATAATGGCCTGCACTACTTTCATAAAGGACACAGGTACGAGTGTGCGTTTGCCTATATAAAGGTCCCTTTGTATACAGTTGTCAAGGGTTCAAGTTGTTTTACGTTTTATGTTGTGTTTTTTAGTTCTGCTATGTAAGCGCTCGTAAATGAGAACAACTTTTTCATTCAGTAGAAACAGTAAATCTGTTCCTTCAAAGAGCTTTATCCGTATGGTCAAGTGGATTTTATTTACGCGGCCGCTTTGCCAGTCTGTGCAGCACATCTTAAAGTGTTAAATGACATAATTCAAATAAGGGACGATTTGCCCCAAAAAACAGATGGGCAAAAAGAGAAATAACAAGCAACAGAGGAGGGATCCCTCCAGAACAGAGAAACTTAATACACACAATCACATCGACAAAAAATAAAGTCTGTTAAGTTAGTACACTTCATAGACTTGTTGTATACTTTTCTATGTATATTTCATTTAAATGGAAGAGCAAATTAAACAAAGAACAAAAACACATTTCTGGTCGCATGCAGCTCCAACGTAAGCATGGGTACAGTTTCAAAAAAAAATCCCTCCAGTTCACTTTGGACACACGGGCACTTTTATGGAGAGGAAATAAAAATTCAACCTTATTTTAGCATTTAGCAAAAGAGTTAAATGCCTGAAATGCGCTTATAAAATTGAATCAAAAGTATAAGGTTTTACTTTTGAAAAGTGGCAAGATGAATCATCTGCTTTCCAGACACTAAAATACCCGTCGTCCTCCTCTGTCTCCTTTCACAGCAGGTTGGAGAGGAACCCTGAGCCTCCTCCTGTTAGGATTACTTCTACACTCAGTAATAGTGTCAGGTCAAAACAACATGACCAGCACCACTATGATGCCGAACACCACCACCACCGCCACACAAAGCACAGAACCCAGCACCGCCACCACCACGTCTACCGCAAGCGCACCCACATCAACGTCAACCACGATCCCGACCACCAGTGCCAGTACAGCGGCGCCCGCCACCCAGTCTGCCGCCTCCACCGCCTCTGGAGCTACGACATATACCGGCACCACCCAGTCTTCTTACATCCGGGAGCTCAGCATCAGCAGCCACAGCAGCTACTTCCACCGGGTCGACCATGACCACCTCTGGAGGTATAGCAACGACTACTTCCAATACTGCCACGACCAACCCCACCTCCGGGGGGGGCATAGCGGGCACCCCTGACCAGTCTCCCATAACCTACTCCACAGGCCAGGCCACACCCACCTCTGTCACCACCCAGCCGCCCACAACCACAGCAACCTCTGGAGGCATTGCATCCACCACAACCAACCAGTCTCTTACAATTATGACCACCTCTGGAGGCACAGCAACCTCTACTCCCACCCAGTCGCCCACAGCAACCTCTGGAGGCATTGCATCCACCACAACCAACCAGTCTCTTACAAATATGACCACCTCTGGAGGCGCAGCAACCTTTACTCCCACCCGGTCGCCCACAGCCACCTCTGGAGGCATTGCATCCACCACAACCACCCATTTACATTTCTGCATCTTACAACTTGTATCCCCACTTGTAACTCAATCACAACCAGCATTAATAATGCATGTGCATCCTCTGCCTCTACAGCCATGACGCAGTACACCTCCGCCATGCCCACAAACTGTTCCGTGGTCACAATGATGTCCAACAGTTCGTCATCAAACTACACTGGTATGTCATGTCTTGACTTCTCAGGGTTTTATTTCTCTGTCTTTCTCTGTCTGCCTTTAATTGCGACATCCATCTTTTTGCACCAGACAAACCTGTTATGAATGGGACCATGATGGTAAGTCCACCTCATCGAACAGGCTTTTAGCGTATTATAAAGTGTTCTACTTTGACCTTTCACCTCCATCATGGGCCTTCCATTCTCTGTCAAACACAGATTTCCTTGCCCTGCATTTACCTGTAACCACTCTACCTGCTACACAATGTTCACCAGTCAGAATGCCACTCCATGCGGGGCTGGAGTCTGCTTTTGTCAGGTAGGGGGGCAAATGACATAAACAAAACCTCCTCAACCACCCAACACAACGATTTACTATAATAACGTATCTCAAAATGAAAGAAAACAATTTTATCAGTAAGAAATCAAAATTTGATTTCATTTAAATAACGTTTACTCTCTACTTTCTGTAATCCAGTATGGTATTATATTACGGTCAGTGACATTTTTTTTTTTGCAAGTCAAAAGCCATTGAAATATATCTTCTGATATCTCATTCTGCAACGTGTCAGCTGACTAGACAGATGGACATGTGGTACACGGCCAACTGCACCACCTCCTGCGCTGCTCCTTGCGCCAACTCCTCTGACACCAACTGCTCTGTGGTGTGCTGCTACTCCCCCGACTGCCTCAATCGCAGTTTCACATCGATGATGATGAAGACCACGGGTAACCGCACTCATCCTCAAGACCCTCACGGCTGTTTCATCTATGGTTTCATCCTGACGCCTCACAAAGCACGACGTTTTGTGTCGCTAACATTTTACTCTTCTCATCTATGATTTTAGTAGCGCCAACAACAACCACTACAGCGACGACGACGGCGACTCCTCAAACCACCAACAATGTGAGGCCCGAAGGCAGCGTGTGCGAGTGTGTGTTGGCATGTGGACGGATGCATGCGGGAGGTTAGAGGGTTCTGCGTCTCACTCAATCGCCTCATTCCGTCCCTCCAGTCACGGATTACCTTTGTGGCTAACAGCCGCCGGTGTCCGAAAGGAGTATTTGTACACAACTTGACATTTCTGACACTAATTCAAGGTTTAGAGAATCATTTGGAATGAAGTGTGAGTCACGGATGGCGTGAGATCTTTTCTTCTGTTTTTTTTTTCAGGCAAACCAATGCCACACAGGCACGTGTATCGGTATCAATTGCTACACCAAATTTGCAGATGCCGAAAAGTGCTCCTCTTCACAGCCACACTGTCAGGTAAGAACTGCTTCCCTTTGGTTTTGCATTTCTCAATTTAAAAGGTGCCAATCAGAGACTTTCCTTGCACCACAAAAAGTATTCCCAGCACAAATGCATAAAAATGACTTAATTAAAACCTTAATAAATTGACAAAATTACTGTATAATCAATACAGTTTAAGGTAATAAAACAAGTTCACAACATTTCCTATTCAAATGAATGATGAATAAATAAACATATGATTCTATATATATATATTGAGAGAGAGAGAGAGGAAATCCATTAACATTTGAACATGTTAATGGGTAACACTGTTCTTTCCCACTCATTACTGCCTTTGCAGCTTAAACAGGAGACCGTGGCCGGCGGTTTGCAGTGGACGGCCGGTTGCTCCACCAACTGCTCCACCCAGACCCCATGCAAGACCTCCACCCAACCTCCGTGCCATCTGGAGTGCTGCAACGCCACAAAAACCTCCTGCCTCTGGCGGAACGGCACGCTGCACGTCCCCAATTTCGCCCCGGGAGGACCTCGTCATCACACGGAGTTGATCGCAATCTTACTGTGCCTGCTCGCCATCGCTTGGGTCAATGAGTGATTGAGGGGGGGGGGGGGGCAGAGCTCCGTGCCACTCTCAGTCCCCCCAGGTAACGGAAAAAAGAAAGAAAGAAGCGTAGCTGTGCACACGTTAACACCATTACACCCATTTCTATCGCTGACATTCCGATTTCTAATGTTTCTATGTGTGTGTGATTTAAGTAGCCCCTCGGTTACAATGTTCACTCAGTTTATTTTTATATTAAAATGTCCCGATTTACACTTTGGTTCAAGAGCATCAACAGTGTCTTTGAACAGTATTTCTAAATATAGGAAATCAAGAAAGGAAGAAAAGTGTGTCGTCACACCACTTTACATTTTTATAACTGACAAAAGTATACATTCAAATAAATATCCTTCTCTGTGAAATGTAAAGAAATAATTTAGATTTCCTTGAACAATTACCTTGTAAAATCATGTAAAACGCATGTAAAATCCTATACTATAATCATATACTTCTTAACGGAAGCCAAATCATTTTCTGTTTGATGCCTGCTCACATTAAACTGATTGCGAACCCATTTGTATTTTGGAAGGCTGGGTGAGCCTAAACAAAACATATTATGTTGACATAGTTACAAAATATCTTACTTACAAAACCTCTCTGCGGATAATCATTTCTTTGAGCCATTGTGAGAGTGACGCAGCTGTAACTCTAAATGCACTTTATGAAACACAAATTTAAAGCTGATAAAGGGTGTTGTGAAGTTTGCTTACGCATTTCTGTAAATGTAGTCATACTTTGTAATTTGGTACTTTTGGCTAATCTTTGTCTAATAGTTTGTGAATAGTTCCTTGGATCTCAACTGTCTGGTTTACCGAGCATATTTAAGGGGTAATAGGTTGTGTAAATATTCAATTTAATCAAAATTGTTACAATTGATTCTAGTTTTGTGATGAAATAAATCTAATAAACTACACGTCAGAGGAATCGTGCTTTGATTGTCATTTATTTTACATAGAGCGGAGTGGTTCGTAGGGCAAAAAGGCCATCAAAATTCCAAAAGGAGATTTTTGATCAGAGTACTCATCAAACACACGGCCTTCACAAAGATTATTCATACATGCAATGTTGATATATTTATATTTGTAGAAGAATCTGTTCGTCACCACGGATCTCATATATTAAATTGGTGTTTTTACCATTAGTCCACCGCAGTATGCCGTGAAATGTCCAACTCAGTATTCAGACCAGCACGGTCACAGTTCTTATCGTACTTTTTAATCAGCAAATACATCACCATCCGATTTGTAGTATAGATTTTAAGTGTGGGTAAACAACCTCAATGGGGTCGTAATGCCCTGAATGCTTATTTTTGTTTAAAGTTCACCCTACTAAGCCACAGTGCTGAATGTAAATGCTCCCTTTCATTTTAGACTGGATGCAAGTATCAGAGTTCGGCTTTAACTCCAACAAAAAAAAACAACTTCATTGAGCGGACGGCTGATTAAACCTCGAAAGTCGCTGCTGTTGCAGGACGCAATCCCCTTTGCGTGCAACGCCTCGACGCCGAAATCCAAACCAAACCCTGCCGGTGACGGCCCAGATGTGACGTCATTAGATCCCGAATCAGCGCGTGGCACTCTGGGCCGAGCCTGCTGCGGCGGAAGAACAGGACGAAGAAGAAGAAGAAGAAGACGCAGAAGAAGAAGACGCAGAAGAAGTAGAAGAAGACGTAGAAGAAGTAGAAGGAGGAGGAAACGGCTCTGAGAATAATGTCGCGTTGGTCTCCGCGTGTTTGACGAGTATTTACTGGACTCGTTTATTTGCCACCCCCCCCCCCCCTCGGGCATTACGGAGTCTGCGAACTTGTCCCCGCAGGCCTCGCTATGGATCAATCCGTGGCCATTCAAGAAACTCTGCAAAGGGAAGAAAACTGCCTCGTAGTATCCTTTGAGACGTGCACGCGCTGCTCGGTTGGTGCCGTGCACGCGCTGCTCGGTTGGTGCCGTGCACGCGCTGCTCGGTTGGTGCCGTGCACGCGATCCACCTCCCTCCTCCACCGGCTGGTGTGTGTTTACAGTGCGCGCAGGGTGTGAGTGAGTATCTGTAGTGACACGCGTCCTCCACCAGGTGGCGGCGTTGTGTCACCAGCTGCTGCTTCGTCATGAAGGAAAGACATGTAGATCCTCCACCTGGACACCAGGAAACATTTATTGCCAAAATATGTCAAACATACAAGGAATTTGTCTTGGCGGTTGGTGCGTGACAGTAGACAGTGTTACAATAGACAACAAGACAGCAGTGCACAAGTAATGTAATAAAATAAAATGAAATGGTATGGATTAGTAGAATAAGGTCTTGCAATTTTGCAGATTTGTATAATGTCAAATTTGACGGTTAATTAATACTAATTACCACTATCCTGTCAACAGCCTGGTAATGTGGTGCTTGTTATAACTGTTTTACATTCTACTAAGCAGATTAACGTAGGGTATTTTATATTCTGTCGATGCAGTACATTTCTAAATTATTACTGCATATGTTGTTATATTTTCCGCTGTGCCAACAAAATAAGCTGAAAACAGAGCAAGTTCCTGGTAAAAAAAAAAAAAGAAATATACGGTACGACACGTGAAGACAACACATGAATGTATATCCTTAACTAAACTGTGATCATGCTGTCCAATGTGACGTCTTCTTTGACAACATCACAGAGAGCAGACTGCTGGGGCTGGTGGAGTCTACAAAAGAGCATGCGTGAGTTAATACAGTACAACAGCGCTATAGTATCGCAGTATTTCTTTAGAATCAACCTGCCTGACACAGAAACCCAAATCACATGTTGTATGAAGATGTCGGTGTTCACTGCAGAGCTGCCAGCCGCCACCGCGTCGACCCGCACCATATTTAAAAGTGTCTCGTTTGTGCCCTCAGACTGCTGATTAAATCCAACTTGAATCTTTTGTAGAATCTTTATTTATACCCATCGAAGGATGGCGATCACTGCTGAGGACGTGTCCCTGGAGGACATCGTACCCATCTCCCTGGACTTCGCTGTGGTGGAGGGTGAGCTGCGCTCCGTGTTTTGTTCCGTCGCAAACAGATGGGCAACTGAAGTGGAGAGAAATAATGTGTTGTTCAAGATAATTAGTGTTTCTAGTGGGGGGAAAAAAGGTGTGATTGTAACTTATCTGAAAGGCCCTCACACATTTCTTTCTTTTTTTTTTAGTTTCCTCACCAGAGGAACTTGCAGTCGTGGGTGAGTTTCCCTTTATTGACAATACAGCTACATCGTGACATATATATATATATATGTATATATATGTATTATATATTATATAACTGCTCCCCTGTAAAATATTCAACATCACGTTTTCTTTTGGTTTCTGTTCGTCGGATTGAAGGTGCTGATACCAAAGTCCGAGTCAGCTACCAGGAACGGGCTTTAGAGCTCAGACTTCCTTTTGGTTCCCACTCCCGGTTCTTCCTGAGTGAGGTCAACAGGGCGTGGAGCGGTATGTCTGCCTTCACAAATGCTCGACATGTTTTCAGCTGTAATTAGGTTTTTTCCAACCCTGGAAAATTTCTGGGAAAAAACGTTTGGGAAAATACCGTGAATTCAAACGATGTCAGATCTGTAACCTGCTCTTATTTTCATGCATTTGAGTTTATTAGTTCATATCTAAAAACGAATGCCTCGTCTGAGGAAGAGGAACCTGTCACGGCCGAATAATTGTAAATGCGCTGCTGCTCCAACCATCCGTTCTGGTGGGAACCTGCTCAGCCGGTTTTCAGTCGCCTTGAGGTTAGAGGATGCAGAAAACAATTAAATACCTTTTTTTTACTTAAAAATGTCAACGGTTTACAGGACGATGTGTTAAAAGGAGGTACTGAAACAGCATCTCTGAGACGGTTGGCGGCTGTTGTTAAAAGCATTTTGGATTTAGAAAACTGGTGATGTCCCTTCATCTGTGGGTTTTGGGGCGTGTAGTAGAGAGAGAGAGAAGGGGTGGAGTTTTGATACTGTGCTCTGACTTCATTAAAGTAAGTGTTTCTCAAAGCGACTAGGTGACTATTACACAGATGACAACAGTCTAAGAAGCACGTGCATCTTCCTCTCTGACGCCTTTCTTGACCTCCTTTTTTACTTTCGGACTCTGCCATTGAAGGGTCAACAGTGTTGATTTGTTAGGCACGCGACACCTTTGACACCGGCTTGCTACTTTTTTTTTTTATTTTCCTCAGTGGAAACTCCACGTGAGCAAGGACGCATGTGTGGCGTTTTGTTTGTGGCGCTCTGAGATGAGCCGCAGAGGCATTTAACCTGGTGAGGGGCACCAGGGATGGAACAAAATAATCAGCGTGCGCCTGTTGTTGCGGTTAAAAGGAAGGGTGTGGGAAGCGGTAAAGGTAAGCCGACGAGCGGGAGATGTCTTTAATGCATGGCGTTACCTGTCATTCGTAGCCACGTTTGAATTGGTCTTTGGACCGATTTGGAGGAGCCACAAATATAACAAGATGTTGCTAAAAAGTTGCACAGGTCGAGTAGATAAAACAAGCAGCGTTTTCATCATGAATATGGCTGTTGCGCTCTCGCCTGAAAAGAAGTGTTGTGATGATCATAATAACGTATGTCCTCATGCTCTGTCTCTCTGTCCGTCTTCCTTCAGAGGTCTGCAAGTCGGCCACACAAGCCCCCGGGTTTAAATGGGTCGGAAAGTATTACAAAGCCACTAAAGGCCTGGGAGTCGTCAAACAGGCGCTCGCTCCCAGCGGCGCAACGCTCACGAAACTCAGCCAGCAGAGGAAGACAGGTTGGTCATTTAGCCTTGTGTTTGCCCAGTTTCACGGCCAACTCATGTCCGCTTGCGCTGGAGTAAGTTGGAATGGGTCTGTCAGTGTTTTGCAGTGCAGCGGATGACGCCAGACGCTCGTCTTTTCTCTTCGGTGCGTAGATAAAAGTCTACATCAAAGGGTTTCACGGCGAAACCGGATGGTTCTGAAAAGCACAACTTCCTTTGAGGGCAATTGATCAAACCCGTGCAGGAGTTGTGCCGAATGTAGTTGGAACTTTTTATGTGGAGGACATGATGTGACATTAATTATGGCTTCATAATGTTACATTGCGTTTTTTTTAATGCATGGCTTTTTACATTTTTGCTCGCGGAGCAATTAGCGGTTCGGTGTCTTGCTCAGGGACAGTTCGACGCGGGACACGGAGCAGCCGGTTGGCAGTTCCCGGCGCACCTTTTCTGCTCCATGTGTCAATTTAAGTGTAATGACAGCGAGCCAGCGTCATGAGCCTGGCAGAACTACATTGAGTACAGTCTTTATTCATATTTCCAAGGACACCTTCCTGCTGTTATGTGAGAGATCCACCTGCATAGTAAGTAAATAAGTCCATCGGAATTGTTTTGCAACTGATCAGGTTCTTACCAGGTGCCCTTAAGATACAACGCTGAAAAACAATTTCAGGGCATGAATGAAGTAAATGAAATCCAAAACCCCCCAAAAAATGATGCGATGATAGAAATGAAGCAAAGGAAGTAACAATATAGACTATTTCCCACTTGTAAACCTGAACTAAGCTAACATAAAGTACCCATGCTGTTGAATGCATTTCCTTTTAAATAATAAACTGCGAGAAAAGACAACTGCGTATCGAAATAAAACCGCATCTGCTATGAGACTCCGTGCGCGTCGTTCGTCTGCAACACGCCGCTTTTTTCCCCTTTGGTTGTGTGGGACGGTTCCATCCGGGAGGGGGAGGGGGGTTTTTTTTTTTTCCCCCCCCCCCCCCCCCCCTTCTCCTCCCCCCGACACAATGCTAGCAGCTCTCGCTGCTCCTCTGCACAGAATGCGGGGGAGATGTCTAGCGTGATGAGAGACTCCGGTAAAACAAACATTACTGCATTTGTTTAGTAGCTTCCGGGCCGGTTAGCTTCCTTGCTAACTTACTGACAGCATCGTGACGTTAGCCGTCATTTTAAAGAAAGCTAACTCAAGCTAAAGGGCGGGTACACCTCACAGCAGTTTTGAATTTTAAATCGTTTTATGCAATCGGTGCTTTTGCGCTCACGTTTCGATGCGAAGGCTGTCGCGAATGTTCGCCCGGCGGACGATTAGCTCGTTACGCCGTTTACGGCTAATGTGAACCATTTCTGGCTAACTGGTCGCGTTGCTACGGGACCGAGAAACGACGCACCTGCTGCGGTCGTCGGCGCAACGACGACGCGTTCGGGTGGCAGAGCGTTGTGTTACCCATTATTACAGCGTATCTCTGGCGCAAGGCGGCGCGGCTTTCCGCCTCTTTTCAGATACTTTTAACAGGAGGTTCATCCTCCAAGCTAACGTGTTAGCCTGTTAGCTTCAATCAGTGGTGTGTGTGTGTGTGTGTGTGTGTGTGTGTGTGTGTGTGTGTGTGTGTGTGTGAGAACTTTCTCCTGACCTCTCGACGAGACGAGTGAGGTTCTTGGATGCTGTCTGCATTTTGCTTGCAGTTGTAACAGTTGAGTTTAGACGTGAATTACCAAACGCGGTTCTTCCCCTGCAGCCTCAATGCCCGTCGCGGAGGGAAGTTGTGCAATGCCGCACTTTGCTCCGGTGCCGTTAAAGGAGCACGAGCCCTGACGTCACCTGACGTTTATGACCGACCGCGGATGGAAGTCAAAACACACGCAAAGCGCTCCTCGGAGGTGCAAAGTGGAGTCGAGCCCTTAATCTGGGTAGGGATACTAAAGCTTGAGCAGGAACGTAAGATATGCCATGACAATTCTCGAGTGCAAAGCTCTCGTGGATTTGCGGTTCCTTTATTCAGGTGCTGGTTTGCATAGAATGTTTGCAGTGGTGGTTGGATTTCAATAATGAACTAATGACAAACCATGCAAGTCCAATGCATTGTCCCATAACATTCTCTGTATTTTAGGACACCACGAGCCTTGTTGTTTATCTGAGTCATTTTAATTGTGCGTTTAAATTGAGACTCGAGGTTCGCTTTAACTCTCGCCGTGCAAGTTGGCTTTGTTTTTACGGTCACATGATTCGTTTGCATCGCTGCTGTTCTACTTTTTTCAGTTATGCCGTAATTAAATAAGAAATGTATGTAGCATGTACCCTGGTGTTTGGTGCAGTTTAGAATGAATGCTGTATTGTTACTGACTGTAATAGAATAAGAATGAACTCCAATAGCTCATCAATCAGCATCCTTACCACCCACGTGTCAGAGTTATTATCAGTACGTGATTCTTGAGGCTGGACCGGTTTCTCTTTGTGTGCACGTTGACATTTTCGCCATCTCAAATTCAGCATTTCACATTTTGCTGTTGTTTTTCTCAGTCAAACAAAATGCCTTTTTTTCTTTTTCTTCTCGTGAGCCCACAGACCAGTCACTCACTTTACATTAAAATGTCAGAAATGGATTATTGTCGGATTATAAAAAATGGTGCTTGAAAAGAAATGTTGACCGTCTCCCGGGGGTTGGTCATGCGGCCGCCGCCTGTTTCCGTCGTAAGAACGGTGTGATGAGAGCATTTCCTTTGAAAAAATACTATTCATGGTAATTGTTAATGGTGATAATAGCAGGAGTTTTAGTTTAGTTATTACAAAAATCCCACCTCACTAACAGGAACTGTGCTGTGGGACCAGCAATGCCAGTCAGACTTCTCACGTATCTTTTAGTAGGTGCATCGTCGATTCTTCCACGTCCCGTCCGTTAATAATGTCAGTGTATTCGAGCTATCGGGTTCTTCAGTTGAACAAAAGAAAAAACGTGATGTTTTTTTTTTTTATCCTATTTCAAGAGACCAAGTGGCGTTCGGGTTGCAAAGTGAAGGTCATGTTAATAAAAATGAGAAGCACTGAAAACGTTTATTCATCATCTTTTGGGTGTTTTAACGCTGCCGGTCAGCTGCACCCTTGATGTAGTCGGCTGAAGGCTTTGTGGAGTTTAGTTTCCTGTCTCGGTCCCCTGCCAAGCGGCAGGAGACAGAGACCACGCTGTCTCCCGCCGCACACGCGCCCGTTAAACGCAGCTACTTGGGATGCGATCGCTGCACCCAAGAGCAAAAGGCCGCCTCAGTCAATTCACCCGGAACAAATGAGCCGTGACACGGCGCCTTTTTGTGTTTGACGTGTGTGTTACTGTGAATGTTTGGGTTGTATTTGTATGGGGGAGTAGATATTACCCGTATTATTAGTGAAAGACTTCAAGTATAGGCTCGCCAACGGTCGGGTTATTTCTTTTCTCTGTTGGGGCGAGTCGGCCTCTGTTGTCAATAGTTTTAGATCACGTTGATTAAACGCACAACTTCTGACAACCTGCTAACGAAATGTTAGTTCCAAAGTGCAGGCAGCGCTGAAGGTCATCGCGTAGAACTGTGTCGTAATGCTGCCTTCATGCTCCGGGTTTAACGTCTGACAATGAACCTTCCTTTTCTCTCCCGCTCTTCCCGAGCAGCGAAGTCGGGACCTTCAGAAAAGGAGAGAGGTGCGAACGCTGGAGCGCCGACGTCCAAACAAACCGGCCAAGAGAGGTGAGACTTTCCTTTTCAAATTCAGCTCTGAAAGCGCTGCGTGTGACGTGTGTGTGTTTTTTTGGGGGGGGGTTTTAAGTCCGTGTGTAAAATTTATATTTAAATATTTTGCCTTTTTCTTTCAAGCCATCTTTATCATTACACACTTTTTGCTAAAAGCACCGCAGCACTACGAGAAGTTCTTCACAAGATACAGTTTTATTATTACTCGAGCAAGCAACTGTCATTTCTGTGTGTAAAATAGCAGAATCATGCTGACGCGCTAATGTTCCTCTATCGGGTTTAAAACAGATGGCGATGGGTGTTACATTTATTAAAGTGTGAAATGCTCATTTTGCTCGGTTACGTCGTTTTAAAAAGGGAAGCCTTCACGGCCACTTTTTCGAGTGCCTTCACTCTGAGAAGGAGTTCCAGCGTATTCCTGGAAGGCTCCAGACTCCGGCCGTATTACATTTCACCCTCGCAGAGCGGAACGTTTCTGCCGTTCCCTCGTTTTATTTCTGGCGCTTCAGCCGCCGCAGCGCTCGTCGCCGTTGGCCCGCGGTGCGGTTAAAGGGGAACCGGCTGCTGTCCGTAGAAACGCTGTTGTAGTTCCCTCTGAAATCACACCGCGTCGACGCGAGGACGCCGCGCTTCTCCTGGAATTTCCGTCCTCCCGCGCTTCACTGTCACTTCTTCCGCCCCGGCCCTCAGTCAGGTCAAATCCAGCCGCGAGGACCGGGACGACCTGGTGCGCTCCTCCAGCCACACCACGTCCAACAAAGCCCAGATACTGGCCATGCCGCAGTTCGGCCTGCGTGACAACATCATCAGGTGTGAGCTGCTGAAGACCGAGGACCTTTACACTTACACCGAGGACTTCAGGTATTTCTACTCTTGTCGGGAATTTGTTATGAAAATGTACATGCGTTTGCCACGTTGGACGTAGAACTTCTCATTTGCTGGTGAAAGATTTAATCCCTTTTACGGATCAATAATAATCTCTGTAGATTAGTATTTGAATCACTTGTCAAACGATGCACCAATGTTGTGCATTCAAGGCTGTAGCTCCGGTTGTTGTTTTTATCAGCTGCCAAATAAGCTAAGCTAAGCTAATTGCTGAAGCCAGCAGGATGGTTTTGTTGTGATGCCCCCTGCTGGTAGAGCTCTGCCCTTTTAATCCTACATAAGGTGTAGCAGCCAAAAAAATACATGCAATGACCTGGAAGAAATATATAAAAGCTACAAATAAATAAATGGAGGAGATGAATACTATTCACTTTCAAATCTATGGATTATATGCAAACGCACTATATTTCAATATGTCATTGTCCGAATGTTTGCTGTGTTTTTTTCGTCCAGCTGGTTCGTAAAAAGTCAAATATTTGTATTTTCCTCTGTGTGCAGCTTTTTTCTCGGCACGTACAATGTGAATGGACAGACGCCGAAGGAAAGCCTCCGTCCCTGGCTGAGCTGCACAGCGAACCCCCCGGACATGTACTGCGTGGGGTAAGTAGCCTTCACCCTGCAGGAGAAGCCTTACAAGTCTCTCCTTAAGCCCATTACACGGACAGATGTTTACTGCTCAAACCTCTACGACTTACTCTCTCACTCAGCACTTTGTGTAATCCTGCCAAAGTATTTGGAAAGTTTTTAAAACGCCATGAAAGCACCGAGCAAAGCTCAAAAATCAACATGTCCTGTGTCCTTTGTGACAGTTTTCAGGAGCTCGACCTCAGCAAAGAGGCTTTCTTCTTCAATGACACGCCCAAGGAGCTGGAGTGGACGAAGGCCGTGGCAGAGGCCTTGCATCCAGATGCCAAGTACGCCTTAGTAAGGAAGGCCCCTTTTTTATATCCTGTTGATCCAGTATTCATATTGTCATTGCTAGGTAGAGGAGGCCTGGGAGAGCTCTTTTTAACATGGATGCTTGTGCCATCATTTCCTTTCATTGTGTTTGATTGTTGCCTTATTTTTTAAGACCTTCTTTTTCTTGCCCATACTGGTATTTGACTTCCCTTTTCTCACAGCGCTGACTCTGGCTTGTCTGTTTCCTCCCTTAGTGGTCGTTGATTTCCAGTAAAAGTAATTTCTCAGTACTTTCAGGATGTCGCTTTTCTTTATCCCCTGGCGGCGCTCTGACTGCAGCACACTTGGCTGATCTCAACCTCAACAAGCTAAAAAGTGCATGTTTCCTCTGCACCTGAATGTTGATTGGTGTTTGTTTGACAGGGAGGCAAACTGTTTAAGTCCTCTCATGCGGCTCCTGCTCTGTTTGGCTCCAGGTGAAGTTGGTGAGGCTGGTGGGCATCATGCTGATCTTCTACATTAAGAAGGAGCACGCAGAGTTCATATCTGATGTGGAGGCGGAGTCTGTGGGCACCGGCATCATGGGAAGGATGGTAAGGACCTTTTCCGATTTTTTTCCTGCACTGATCCTCATGTAGACACGCTGGTGTTGATTGAATCATATTAATATATTATATAATAAGATCTTACCTCTGCGCTGTGGCTTTAAGGCCACAGGGCCGGACTCCCAGGCTGAACAGGCCTTCTGTGGGGCGGTTGCTTGGTCTCCCCCCTGTCAGGATGCATGCATTTCTTAATGGATTATTCTGCCAGCAGCGGTGCATATAAAACCGCATAATGTCTAAAAACGTTTTCTTTGAGTCGTGTTTTCTGCTCTGTTTCTCTTTCAAACACGCGTTGACTCAAAGGGAAATAAGGGAGCTGTGGCGGTTCGCTTCCGCTTCCACAACTCCGACATCTGCGTGGTGAACTCTCACCTGGCGGCGCACATTGAAGAGTACGAGAGACGCAACCAGGACTACAAGGACATATGCAGTCGTCTCCTGTTTCGCCAGCTTGACCCGACGCAGCCTCCACTTACTATCATGAAGCATGAGTATGAAACCACTTTGTGTTAAGTGGCTTCTCTATATGTGATGAAGGTTGTGCCGCTACATCACCGTACCCAACTGATGTGCATACAATAATCTGTCCATATTCATGTGTCTTTGTCTCTCACCAGTGTGATCGTGTGGATCGGAGACCTCAACTACAGGATCACTGAACTGGACGTCACAACGGTGAAGGAGCTAATAAGCCAAAAGGACTTTGAAACACTGCATGGTCATGATCAGGTAAACGTGGTGCTCTTCTCTCTGCGGTCTCGTGTTTGAGTCGTTGTACTTACCGGCTGCAACTCGTCCTCAGCTCAAGAGGCAGATGGATGAGGAGGCCGTGTTTGTTGGCTTTGTCGAGGGGCCGATCGACTTCCAGCCCACCTATAAATATGACACCGGCTCTGACAAGTGGGATACAAGGTAATGTCATAGGAAGCAGCAGACTGGTCTTCAGTAATTATGTATTATGTACACGGTTAAAGTAAGGATAGTTGTGGAGTGCTGCATCAATAAAAACTTCCCTCTCCGTTTATAATGCGGTAATGTCCTAATCTTTACTGCGTCTAAACCACTACACCCCAGTGTTCACTTAAAGATTGGCACTATGAATGATTCAAATAGCTTAATGATTAAAAGAAAATCTGGGGTCCAAGTTGTTGAACCAACCGACCAATTGTAACGTAATGCAAATATACTACAAAGGGGACATGGTCAGTCATTAACTGGATTTTGTAAGTGTCATAGAGAAAGAATAGCTGTGTGTGTGTGTGTGTGTGTGTGTGTCCCTGGTTGTCATGGAGATTGCTGCACCTGGTGGGAGGGGCAGACTACTCAGGAAAGGTGAGAGTAGGCGGGGCTTTGCATTAAGAACTACCCATTCCCCTTGAACTAAAACCGTTAGTCCAACAAAAAATAACATGTTGATACGCTTCGTACGTTTGGACTCAGAAAGGGGGATTTAAGAGCAGTTCAGAAAACGTGTACCGTCTGCTTTCAGAGATCCGAATTAACATCGAGTCCAATGCAGCAGTTGGAGTTCTTTCACGCTCAACTGAGCCAAATGTCCACATCTGTATGATGATATACAGTGAACATTGTGGGGGATGGTGGAAGAGGATTCCGGAGCTCCTCTCCACTTTGCGATGACACAACATTTAAAGAAAGCAAACAAAGTCTTTCCAGCCACACTGAGTAAACGTGCCTCTCGGTTCATGTGGGAGCATGAACTCTGATGTACATCCTAATCCGCTGTAATGCAGATGTTTACCGTCTGTGCTCCCAATAGTTTGTGGGGTAAACGCTGTCATGCAACTATCTGGGCGTTCTTTTGCCTTTAGTGAAAAGTGCCGCGTGCCTGCGTGGTGCGACCGGATCCTGTGGAGAGGGAAGAACATCGCGCAGCAGCAATATCAGAGTCACATGACCCTGAAGACCAGCGACCACAAACCAGTCAGTTCCCTGCTTGTCATCGGGGTAAATGATTCAGCTTTTTTGCTATTTGAAAATGAATGTGCATTGAGATGTAACTCTTTATCTGCACGATTCCTGGCAATAGCTTTCTTTTCCATGGCAGTGAATGAGTTAAAGGTCATGTAACACAAATGTCTGATGTGTTTCTTCTCCGTTCCTGCAGATTAAGAAAGTAAATGCTGAGATCTATAAGAAAACCTTTGAGGACATTGTGCGCAATATAGACAAATTGGAGAATGAGTGTATTCCATCTGTAACTCTGTCCAACCGAGAGGTAAGCTTTTCCATCGTATTCAGTCCTATTCCAGTTTAATCTGAAACCCCTGGTGAAATCAAGTTCTTTCCCCATGTGTTCCTTTGATGAATGCCGTTCGTAAACCACTTAAGCTGTGAAAATGAAGATGTTTAAAACCCTCATTTACATGAAATAGCGTTGCATTTGTGAATGAATGGTTCCTCCTTGTTTCAGTTCCACTTTAAGGACGTGAAATACATGCAGCACCAGTCCGTGACACTGAGCCTCTCCAATGATGGGCAGGTCCCTTGTCAGTTTGAGTTCATCCAGAAGCCGAATGAGCACACGTACTGCAAGCCGTGGCTCACAGCCAACCCTCCCAAAGGCTTCATCGCTCAGGGTGAGGAGCACACGAAGTCAACCTTTCACCCTCGATTCGCACAGTTTTTTTATTTTATTTTTGTTTACGCTTCATTGTCCCGCCTTGTTAAGATTCAGAGGTTCTTGCCCTTACAATGGCGTCTCCGCCACATTCGGCTTACCACATGTGCATTTCTCAACTCGTAGATGGTTCCGTGGACATTGAGCTTGAGGTTTTTGTGAACCGCTCGACGGCGCCCAAACTGAACTGTGGGAAGGAGAAGATGGAGGACATCCTGGTGCTCCACCTGGAGCGTGGCAAGGACTACTTCATCTCCGTGATGGGAAACTACCTGCCCAGCTGCTACGGCTCCTCCATCCATTCATTGTGCCAACTGAGGGAGCCGATCCAGGACATGCCTCAGGAGACCCTCCGCCGCGTGGTCAGTGGTCTCACCCATTCAGAGCGGTCGCCATTGAATAGAAATGCCCGTCTGTCCCGTCCCTCTTCGCTGAAGCAATGTCTCATAAGTCGGAAGTTAATAAGTAAATGATGACAAGTCTGATGGGATAAATGAATTGATGATATTTTGATCGATCTGAGGCAGTAATTGTGGTTTCACGGTGTTTTAATGTTTTAAGTGGAATCCATTTTGTCCGTTCTGAACATCAGGCGGAGAATTCCCAAACGGACGATGAAACGAACACTGAAAAGCCTCTAGACATTCCTAAAGAACTCTGGATGATGGTGGATCACTTGTTCCGCAATGCACTCAATCAGGTGAGGAGGAAATTGCTGACGCTTCTATTTGGATGGTCTAATAAAATCAAAGGACTATTTTCCGCAGGTTCCAAAGCTTAAACAGAATTACTCAACTCTTTTTGTTGTGCATGAGGACAAATCAATGAACGTAGCTATACGTAGCTCTATAAAAACACTGGTGTGACTCAGTTGCTGTGTCAGCAAGCCAAGTAGCTGTGAAGAGCCTCTGCACTGGTTTAAGGAAATTAATGGTCATTTTGTTTAAGAAATATTGCGATTTTTTTTGGTGTTTTACCTCCTTAACTTAAATTTTAAAATATTTAATATTCGTTCTTCTATTTGCAGGAAGACATTTTTCAGCAACCTGGGCTCCGAATTGAATTTGCAGAAATAAGGGATTGCCTTGACACCGGCATCCCAGATTCTCTCCGTATCCTTCAACACTATTGAATTCATCAACATTGTTGGAAATCGAATCTTTTCTTCTTCTTTTTTTAGTTTTTCATAGCTACTCTGACGTCTGTTAAAAGCATTATGAGGAACTTTGAAGTGGTTATGAAACTGTCTCGATTCAATACGGGCGCCTTTATGTGACCAACTTAAGTATCCTGCTGGAGGCTCAGGCCGCCGCTCTGCTCTTTTGGAGGGAAGACACGGGAGAACCGGACCCACGAGGGAGCTGGGACGGCTGAAGTTTTTCTAATAAAGATTAAAAATGATCATTTTGCACTCATTGCATGTCAAGATAAGTGGATTGTGCTCCAGAATTGCGTCCTTGACTCGGTGTTGACCTGCAGCGGGCAGTAACCACTCTGCGGCGGAGGCCTTGCTCCTCTTCCTGGACGCCCTCCCGGAGCCGGTGGTCCCCTACTCCTTCTACCAGCAGTGCCTCGAAAACTGCTCCAGTGCCAGTCAGTGTGAGAAAGTGAGTGACATGGACCTCCGTTACTCACTGAACACTATTAATAAGTCCAAGATCATCATAAAAAAAAAAATCCTATATCCTTTTTACAGTAACCTCATTTTTTTGGTTTTCAGATTATTTCCATGCTACCTCAGTGCCATAAAAATGTGTTCAACTATTTAGCTGCCTTTCTACGTGAGCTGTTGAAGAATTCTGCGAGCAATCGATTAGATGTCAGCATCTTGGGTAAGAAAGTGTTCTTGTTAGCTGCTACTTAGTGTTCTAGTCAACAAGGAAGTGAAACTACATAACCTGTTTAATGATGTTTACGACACAAGGCTGATTGAACAATTTATTTTGAATTCCTTCTCATGTTCTCTATCGCAAAAAATGTGACCTTGCTAATGTACGATTTTAAACTGAGCAAATAAACCCTTTGTTGTACAGTGTTTTATGAATAACTTATTTTCATTCTGCACAGCCACCATTTTTGCATCCTTGCTCCTGAAGTCACCGACGAAGCAGGATCTCGCAGAAAAGAGAAGGTCTCAGGAGTTCTTTCAGCACTTCCTGACCCAAGGCTCATCGTAGGAGTACCATAAAAGCTGAACACTAAAAACTGTACAGTCCACTATTTGAAATAATGTCTCATATTCTTAGATGGCTCTTTGTGTATATATATGTTGTATGAGTACAGTAACGGCTCTCATCTGATATTGTTTCTCACAGGAAGGTTAGTTCTCTGTGAAGTCACATTTCTGTGTACAGACTGTATTTCCCACTTGAAAGGTTTTTTTTTTCATTTTTGGGGGAGTTTTTCATGTGCCGATGGTGGGTTTCGGGACAGAGGATGTACAGACTGTAAGGCCCTCCGAGGCAAATTTGTAATTTGCGATTTTGGGCTGTACAAAATAAAATGAATTGAATTGTATTGTATGTCAGAGCGTCTTTAGAGGTGTAACCATTTTAAATGTATGTATATTTTATTTTTTAAAAATTGTATTTTAACGTTTTTTGATCAACACATTTTTATACATAAAATGGTTGGAAACAATGTGTCTTTCATTGGTGTTTTCTGACAAACAGAAATAAGAGGTTTATTTTCCTCTGTGTGATTGAGAATGCAATTTAGAAAAACACTTTTGCCAGATGTAAAGTCGAAAGTTTTACTTTAAAATAGTGACATTTTATGTTTTAATTTCTTTAGAAAAGCCTTTTCATTTCCCATAATTCATCTCGGATGGCTGCGAGTCCGTGACGTTGTTTGGTATCACAGGGAGGGGATAGAAAAAAGTGCTAAACATCCAAAGCACGGGGATAGGGCTTAACATTGGACAGGTAAATATATCTTAACGTAATTTCCTTTTAGTTTATTCTAGCGAAGCCTTAACACGGAACCGGGCGTGGGTCAGCGTATCACCTGGCATCGGGAAACTTGATGTCCTAGCAGGAACATTAGGAAATGTCAACTGTCGACAGGGAGCAAGCTAACTAGCGTCTTAGCTTAGCCGTGAACCCAGACCGTTGCTAGCTAGCCGTGCTAAGCGTGTGCAGAGGAGTAACGTTAGTTCTCGTTGCTAGCGAATAGCTCGCCCCCGGACGTAAGAAAAAATACAGGAATAGGAACCGACGTTAGCATGTTGACTCCGCAATCAAGCCACTCAACGCTAAGAAGTGCTAACAACGGTAAACGTGTTATTTAATACAACCTTAACTTTACACCAACGGCTGCTCGGTGTGTTTGTAGCACGAAGCTAGCTTACAAACAACCAATGCTAGCAACGATGCAGATGTGCTCTGTGGAATAACGTCGGGTCAGAACCAGCTGTTTCACAGCTGGCTGCCTGTGTGTTTGCCCGTCGGTTCGGGCACATTGAGTCAAAGCTAAACTCCGAAGTGTCATTCTAACGTTGTGAGCGTTTATCAGGGCACTCGGTTAGCGAACGTTAGCCAGCTAACGTTACATCGAGGAAGTTGTGGAATAATTAATTGTCGTTCTTCTGTGTGGGACATCTGTCTTTCTATAAGATGCATTTTTTTTGAGAGGGGGGCTTCGTCGATGGGAAATGAGCAATGGTGTTAGTTTTATTGGCCGCAGCTGACTCGTGACTTCTGTCATTGTAGTCAGAAAGTTCTAGATGTCCTAGTTCTAGTGGTCTCGTACCGCCGCGTCCAGTTAACGGGGGTTTCAGTGGAGGAAATCATTTATTCTCGGGTTACGTGATACACCTAAACACCTTAACGTGTTCTCTAATGTCACACCTGAGCTCCACACGAGGCAGCAGAGTGGCTCACCGACGTGCAGCCGCGCAGGCCGGTTGTTATGGTGAGATCTGTTGCTGTGACCAAACCTCTGATCACCTGTGACAGAAAACTGATCCTCGTGGACGTTACGTCACATATGTGGAGGCTCTCGTAAAATTCGAGGTCTGCTCCAACTCTGTTTTAGTTTTAATTCTGACGTTTTACTCTGCACTGTCCTTTTCATTGCATTTAATTTGGGACAATTCTTCTATATCCCGTTTTTCATTGGAATGGCACTTGTCGTACATCTTACCCCTTTGCCGGAATTCGTATAATCATTCATCATTCGTTTGAACTCCCATTTCAGGCTGTGCGGTTAACAGTGTGAGTGAGCGGTCCTCCCTGCCAAAGAAGGAGAGGCGCCAGGGACCATGAGTGAAAATGGCTCTCATACAGAGGCGACTACGATGTACTTTGAGGTGGAGGTGGATCACCTGGGGCACGACGACGAAGAAGAAGAGGAGGACAAGATACCCTTCGACAAAGACGACGACCTGACCGCTGAGCCTTCGTCGTCCTCTGGACGGGTGTACGACCGCACTACGGTGCTCATTGAGCGGGACCCAATCCGGCTAGACGAGGAGGGAGAAGAGGAGGGTCACTGTGGAGGGTACGGAGACGGGGTGACCTTCCTAACTGAAGGGGAGGTTGACGGAGACGAGGAGGATGGCTCTCTGACCTTTATGAGCGACCCTGATGGCATGTCACAGGGTTACGTGCACCACACCATTTCTCAAGACCAGATCCAGTTCACAATCAATCCGGGCTCCACTCGCATGCCTCGCAACATAGAAGGGGCCACACTCACCTTGCACTCCGAGTGCCCCGAGACTAAGCTGAGAGAGGTAAGCCTAAACCATATACAGCTGCTGCCCACTGATACATTTAGTATATTCTTGTTGGGTGACCATGGCGGTCCCTTTAGTCAAGTTTAGTGTGTAATACCGTGTTGTAATATGGTTTAATGCTTCTATTCAGTAGCATATTGGCGACATTAGTTTTTCTCTTTAGTCGAAGTTGGTGGTTGGTTTTGTTGGTTTGTTGCTGAAAAATAATTGCTTGGTTCAGTTTGTGGAGGCTCTTAACATGTGTAATGTCCATACAAACTTGCATGATCTAGCAATGTAGCAAATAACAGGCTGACGGGTTACCGCCGGGCAGAACTCTTTGCTGTATTTCAGTTGTTGTGAGGGTTATGTTGTTCACACTGTATTCCCATCAAGGATAGTTCATTATTAACCAGTTGTCTCCTTAACTGCAGCGTTATCGCATATTTGATTAATATTGACGATCAATCCCGTCTGGTGCTGTTTTTGATCTGGAATTTTCTGATGTCTATTATCTTCATTAAATATTAAGAAATGATATTGATCATTAAAGATGAGCCGAGGTGTCGGGCTGACCTGTTTGGAGCACTTTGTCAACTCTTAGAACATTGTGTTATTTTAATTGTATACACACTGCCGTCACAAGGAGAAGGAAATAGAAGTTGGAAATAAATACACATTTTTATGGAAATTATTCTTGTTTACTGTTAATTTATGAAGACTTATAGTTTGTGGTATATTTGTATTGTCTGTAATAAGAGGCTGCACAAATAGTTAATAATTCCTCTACAATATGACTCAACCGAGTCGAAAGAAAATGGAAAAACAATTCTTGGTGATGTGTCACATCCACTTTTTAGTGGAAGTGATCTGCTGACATGACTTTGAGGGTACAGGGTACTTCCTTTGTTAAGCCAATTGCCTGTGATATATTTTATCCCAGCAGAGAAATATCAGTAAAAAGCCAAATATGATACTTTGTTTATTATCATCAGTGTCACATTGGTGCATTGTGACGTTTCATTGTGTTTTGACGACACTAACAAACTGTAGCCACCTTCTTTGAAAGGCACAACAACAGTAGAGCGGGAACGAGAGCATTTAGCAATAAACTGCTGCAAATGCATTCACACATCCATCTAATCAGTGACGGAGGGGCCTTTTTCCCACGATGCACGTGGGAGGCCAAAGCTTCCAAATCTCTCACTGATCACGCTGTGGAGCAGAGTCACACTGGTGTGGGAGATAAATACTGTGCAGAGCTACAAGCTTTGCTTTGCAAACAATGTTGCAGACATCCTTCAAATCTAAACCAGCTGCCTTTTCATGGCCTGGTAAGAAGTGTTGGACAATTGCCACAGTAGCACCTAACTGCTAAGAGGATTATCTTTCAAATTAAGGACGTTGTTATACATTTTTCACTACTTAGTTTGAAGGTCTTTCATGAAATAGTTGCATTTTAGTTGTCCAACCAAAGTCCTGATCTCCATAACTTCAACAGACAGGCAACTTTAAAACATTCATGAAAGGTGTGTTTATTACTTTGTGTAAAAGAGATGTTATAATAAAATAATTGACTTTCTAACTTCCTAATCCTCCCACTCTGCTGGGTACTTCTGGACTTCTACTTTGATCTCTTCTAGAAAGGCACCGATCTGACTTCACTTAATCACTTACCTAACTAAGCAAAGCGTAAACATTACATTCCGGTACTTGAGTCCCATCGCCTCCTGGTACCCAAACATGAGGTTTTACTATCTTGGGTCATGTCAATGGGAAATCTGGGAGTTTTATTTTATTCTATTTTGTACAATGTCTCGAGACGGTGAGTGAAAGGAATAATTCTGGATCCTCCCGTCCAGGTTGCCCGTCACAAGCCTCGCCCACCTGACTCTTCATGACACAGGGTAACGAAGGTTTCAAAGAGGAGAGTGAACTGATTTTGTTGACGTTGCCCCGGGGCTTTTGTGTGAGGAGGGAGCAGAAGGGAGGAGGAGGGAGGAGGAGGCTGCGACGCAGCAGTGAGGCTGGTTGCTGTGAAACTGAATAGCATGGGATGTGAGGCACTGGGGGTTAGTCATCATCACTGTTCTTCACGCTCACTCGCTTGGTGTGCTGACGGGTGGCCGAGTCATTGAGTCCGGGTCCCGATCCGAAAGGTCAGACCTAGTCATGCTGTTGATTGGAGACTGATTCAAATAGATGTTTAGAAGTTCAATGATATTGTTTTTCTCTTTCAGGACAAACTCACAATTTGTTTGAATTTGACCATGTTCCGGCGCTGATGTGGCCGCTCCTGTTCTTCCTCCGTCAGGTGAAGCGCTACCAGTGCATGTTCGAGGGCTGCACCAGGACGTACAGCACGGCGGGAAACCTGCGGACTCACCAGAAGACCCACCGCGGCGAGTACACATTCGTGTGCAACCAGCAGGGCTGCGGAAAGGCCTTCCTCACCTCCTACAGCCTCAAGATCCACGTGCGTGTTCACACCAAGGAGAAGCCGTTTGAGTGCGACGTGCAAGGCTGTGAGAAGGCCTTCAACACCTTGTACAGGTAAGCCTTGACACCAGTAATGAAGAGTCCCGCTATAAAGTAGACAAAGTACCGACATGTTATTCAAAAGAGACAATGAGACACAATGAGTAATTCAGTATAACTGAAAAGTAAAGCTTTCTTTGAAGGTGTGCTCTTCTGCGCTGGTTTATTTTGTCTTGGTCTGTATTGGTTTGGATGCTATGATGTCATTGAAATGTGGACTCTGCTGTCTAACGCATGCTGTTTAATGTCTTTGCATGTCTCCAACTGTGGTTTAATGCGACACACTTGATTTTCTCTGCAGACTGAAAGCACACCAGAGACTTCACACAGGCAAGACATTCAACTGTGAATCAGAGGGATGCACAAAGTACTTTACCACACTTAGCGACCTGAGGAAGCACATTCGCACACACACCGGGGAGAAGCCATTCCGGTGAGCATTTCCCTTTAGTGGAAGATAAAGGAGCTGTGATACTAATAGATACCCGCAGATATCTCTGTCTCTCTTCTGAGTCTGTGTGTATGTTTGCTTGTCTACACAAATGATGGTTAGGGCATTAATTTCCACAGCTTCTTTTCTGTTTTCCTCGGTGACACGAATGTCTGTTTGTATATTTCAAACATAACTTTTTTTCTTGTCTTTGCCGCCAGATGTGACCACGATGGCTGCGGCAAAGCGTTCGCTGCAAGTCACCACCTAAAAACGCATGTACGGACCCACACAGGTACTCGTCACGGGTTGGTTTTACGTCCCCTCGTTTTTGGGGGGCAAGCTGTGACCCTGTGTGCTTTGGTCTCATTGGAGAAGTAACTGTTTGCTGTGCTCTGGGATCTGGGAGCACTGTGCAAGAGTTCCTCTTCACCTCTAATAAGACTGTTTTCACTGCAGCTAAAATGTTTGAGCAGCAAATGTCCTTCCTGTGACCTCAAGGCTTCTTTGCCTGTTCTTAGTTCTTGACTTCGTGCCATTTAGCTTTTCAGTCTTCACTTATTTTATTTCTTTTATTTTTATGTAAAACATAATTTTATTTAAATGCTTGTTCATTTCTATGTATTCTTTTTTGAGTACATCCTTCAAAACAATGAATTAAAAGTTGCTAAAACCTTATTTGGTTGCTGCAATTGTTCATAATCAGATTTCTTCGGAATATTCTTCTTTAATGAAGTAGCACCTTTTTTTATTTTTTTTTATCTCTGCTGACGTTTCATGATGGAGCTGTAACTCGAAGCGCTCACCTCCCGGTCTCCTTCTGCATTCTGTCCCTCTTTGTCTCTGCTCGCTCTGTAGGGGAGCGGCCATTCAACTGCCCCAGCAACGGCTGTGAGAAGGCCTTCAGCAGCCAGTACAGTCTGAAGAGTCACGTCCGGGGCCACGACAAGGGGCAGCCCTTCAACGTCACCCTCATCCACCCGCTCTCCGAAGTGAGTCACAGCCCGACGGCAGCGTGACGCTGGTGTGGACACGTGCGAGTGTCTGCAAAGACCTCAGTCGCACTAAACGAACCTCGGCTAATCTGACAGTTCTTATGAGCGGGAAACGGCTTTGGATTAGACTCTGACACTTCTCTTTTGCACTCTTACACTTTTCAACTCATGTCTTTTTAGATGTTAGTTTGCTTTTTATAGTAAACTGCTGATGCTGAAAAAAAAAAAAACAATTTCACAAAAGTTGCATTATTCAAATTTTGCCCCACGGCGCTCGATGCCGTAGCACTGACGAGTTTAATCTCTTAATCCCAGGATGCAAATCACTCGCTGTGCCTCAGTGACTTGAGCCTCATCTCCACAGACTCGGAGCTACGGGAGAACATCCTCAACGTGAGTCTTCAGCTTTGTCTCGCAGACATTTTTAAGATGGTCCGTAAAAATTGCATTTAACATGCACGTGACACCATATTGATTGTCAATGTGAAGGGCAGAGGTTAAAAACACTTATTCATAAGCCTTTGAATGCTTTCACCTCATGCGCTCGCGCTGTATTGCAGACTCAACATTTGGACCTCAGCAATGTGACCCCTGTGAAAATCTTTGAGCTCATGTTCCAGAGTCCTGAAAATAGTGTCAGCCAAGATGAGGCCCATCCCAACGGTTGGTACATTTTAAAACCCGTCAGCAGGAATTGGCTTGAATGTTCTCCTTCACTAAGGGGAGTTGTTTTCTTCTTCCTCAGAGAGCCTTGCTGAATCCTCCAGCCTGGAGACGCCTGCCCGGTCGGTGGTGACTGACGGATCGCCTCTCGTCTCCTTCTCTGTCCATCCCACCTGCTCCTCTTCCTGTTCCCACCCAGCTGCCGTTGGGGAGGCTCCCCCCCAGCTCAGTCGCCGCTGCTCCTCTCAGGCCTCCACCCCTGCTTCTGTCACTGTGACTGTCACCTCAACTCAGCGACTCAACTCAACTCATCCTTTCATGCCGGCAGCCGGGCCTCAGCAGACCACCGACGTGCCTGCCCAAGCCTCCGGCCGAGCGGCACCCAACCACATCGCCCCCCCGCACTTCGTGGCACTGCCCCCCACATTCCTGCCGCCGGACAGCGCCGCCCAGACCCCTCCTCTGCCACCAGCCGTCTCTGCTCCGGCGCCGGTGGCTCCGGCGCCGACCATCCCAGCGCTCCATCCCACTGCTCCCGCGCCTGTTGTCGCGGCAACGGATGTCGCTGTGGCTCAACCTGTGCCTTTGGCCAACAGCCCCGTTGCCAACTCTGGCCCTGGTCCGGGGACCACTCCCGCCACCTTAACCATAGCTCCCACAGCGAACCTGCTGCAGCCCAGCCTGGTGATGTCGGACCAGAACCTCCAGTGGATCCTCAGCAGTGCTGCCAGCAGCCAGCAGAACCCGGAACAAGTGGTGAGGGATGCTCCTGGTGGTGTTTAGAACGGAGGAACTGTGGCTTGATTTTTGCGATGCGTTTTTAAGTTTAAAAACGCATTCCTACCAACATGTAATGAGGGATTATGATCATGTGAGAGGATTAGGGACAACTAGTAGGAACAGTGGCGGCCGACTCTGTAGTAAGTGTAGCAAAGGAAAAGGTGTTACTTTCTGTTGCACCACACAATTACCTCCAATATAGTTATAAATCTGTACTTTTATACTTTTGCATGTCCTGCTCTAAATGAGGTGTTTCATATTTGTTCACAGTCACATCAAGGAAACCCTAAAGTGGAAAAGCTGTTCTTCACTACAGCCATACCAGTGGGAGGAAATGCTGGTGAGTCAATGAGTTGTGAATTATTATATTTTTAAGTTTCGGACATTATGAAGTCATACACTTATTGCGACGCTTTAATGGGTCCATTAAATGGCAGAATGGTGTCTGGGGAGCTTCACTGAGATGCTGTCACTATGAATACACGCTGCTTGGTGTTGGAATAGTATCTTATTCTAAGTTGACAAGTAAAGGCATAAGATCAATTACAAGTTATTCACGCTCTGGTTTCAGCCTTCATCCTCTTTGATTTGACTTCATTGCCTTTCGATATGCTTTGCGTGACATTTGTAAATACAAAACTCTTGAAATGTTTTTCTGCTTTCAGGCAGCTCAGTGCAACAGATCGGCCTCAGTCTGCCCGTCATCATCATCAAACAGGAGGAGTCCTGCCAGTGCCAGTGTGCCTGCAGGGACGCTGCTAAAGACAAGAGCTCAAAGAGTGCCTCCTCCACCGCTTCGGCCCCTGCACAGTCGCAACCACCAGAGGCCCCGCCCCCTCCTCCCCCACCATCTCACCCCCCCGAGCCTCCACGTCATCCAGCGGCCTCATCTTCTCCTTCTAGCGGCCTCCCCACGTCTTCCTCCAAGGTGGGCCAGGTGAGGCTGGAGGCATCTTCTTCTTCTTCATCTTCAGCTCAGACTCTCTCCACGATAGTGAGCAGCACCGCCACAAACCCCCCCTCGTCCGGCGGGTTAGCCAACATGGATGTCTCTGACTTCCTCTCCCTGCAGAGCCCCGAGACAGCGGCCAACATGGAGGCTCTGCTGCTGGGCGCCGATGACTTCAACATGGCCACTGATGGCAATCCTTAGAGGAGCCGCCTCCTGAGGACGGCGCCGCGCGTTTGTCTCATCCGCGGGACTCGATTGCACCCAGTTCTCCAGTCATTCTCTGCGCCTGCAGTGCTTTCTGTTCTTTACAGAATACATACATATATAATCTATGTATGAATACTTCTTCTGTTGATTAACGTGGTTGAATTTTGACAGACGAGATTAGTTTGCTTATTGAGATGGAGCAATTTTTATGCTAAAGGTGATAACCCAGGGAAAAGGCAGTAGATCCTTTTATTTATATATAGATATATGTATATAAACATCATCTAAATGTATATAATAACCCTCAATATCCGATCTGAATTGATTGACTGAAGCAAAGGAGTGTTGTCCTCGCACTGGGAACTGTACTACAGGTCCTAACAACAAGTGACCAGAATGCACTGTATATTAGAGGACATTTCATTTTGACAAGCATTGCTCCCAGCAGGAAAAGGGTTTGGTCACTTCTACAATATGAAGTTATTTCCTTTTAGTGTTTCTTTTTTCCTGGGAAGACGTGAGTGTGTGAAAGATATTTACTAATCGAACCTGTGAGCCGATCTGCCTGTCTTAAAAGTAAATCAATAAGTTGCCTATAACTTAAACTAATTTAAAATTGTACATGTTAATTTATTTAAATACTTGATTCTTTCATCAAACTGGTAATACTATTATTATCCATTAGATAACAGAATAATCTATTAATTTATTCCAATCCATGTTGTATATTTCAGTTGAGCCGTTTGTTACTGATGTTTTATTTTGCTTTTCTTTGAACGATGTAATGCGTTTTGCTCAAAGCAAGTTTGGGAAACTCGAAAGTGAAACAAAATGTCCCAGAGGATCTGCTTGTTTGCAAAGATTGTCCACGATGTGCTTCATCGTCAGGAGCTGCAGCCCCCCCCCCTCCCCCTCCCATGGCGTACAGGGTCGTGACCCTCTCAGGGACGCATCGAGTTGTGATCCTGGTTCCCTCAATGTTACTCAGACACGTTAAGGCTCTTAACGGACGCACACTCTTCCCCGTTGATCGCACACCCACTTGTGAAGCGAGTAATCTGACACCACTGCAACCTTTTTGTACACAACTGCTGTAAAGTAGCATTTAAAAGATGGTGAAACAATGTAAATACAGTACATCTCAGTGTAAACATCTTTTGAGAAACGTGTAGATTATCCTAGAATTTGTATTTTTGTATAGACTTTTGAATCACTAAGCTAATGCCCTCTGTCCCTGCGTTGCTCCCACTGTCGCGTTTATGCAGAAGAGGCTTTGCAGTGTTTAGTAGAATTGTTCTTCAAGCAGCTGGGCTCTTGTACAGTCTCCCCATAGTAACACAAATATATGGAACACGCAGCCTTCTGCTCGGTTTCACAGTATTGTTTCACACGGGACGCAATGCAATGATGAAAGAAGGAAGGCCTTACGCCCCGTCTACGAAGTGTACAGCTACTTGGCCTTACAACAGAACTGTTCCCTTGAGCCTCCTTGCCTTCAGTCTCTGCGTCAGACAGGCCGACCCGTCGCCCTCACCGAGTCTCAGGCGATCGCTTCCAGCAGCATTGAGACGGAAACGTTTACGGTTCAAAACTATTTGATTATTTTCCAGATTTGTTTGGAAGGTTGATGCATATGCAGCGTAATGGTTACAAGCGTGATTCTACATTTTCATTCAACACGCATGCCACATGTCTGGATTTTTTTTGCCAACATTTAGTTTGTTGAGCTCGCCTCTAAATTCACAGGTGCCAAGTAGGCAATTCGATATGTGAGAGTTTCCAATCACTCATTTTCTGCTCGCAACCATTCCATATATGCAGTATATTGTCTCCACGTGGTTCCATTGGATTAATAAATGTGGATTGAATTAACATTTTTTTTGTAACGGGCATGGAAAGTTACTGCCAGGTGTTTCCATACAGTCAAAGAACACAACTATGCAAGCTCACGTGTGGCTTCTGCAAGTTTGAAGACAGATTTATTTACTCCCCTCATGAAATTATATTGTACCACAAACTTACACGTGGAAGTCCAGAGGCGGAAGCTGTAATTGAGTGGAGTGCCGGTACTGAACACTGCAGCATGTGGATCCTTTGACATGCGGTTTGAAAGAGTATTTAGTGAACGATTCTGTTTTAAGAATTGTTTTGGTCAAATGTATGCAGCCCCCCCCACCTTTACATTTTATGCGTTTTATTTGTGCTCACTCCATTTAATCAGTTTTCACATTTAAAATCTGATGTTTTTTTAAATCAATAACAGTGAAACTGATCGCTGTCATTTTAATCCATTAACAGTTTGTCTTTCTGGGAATTTACCTGAGAAACAAACTGATGAAGACATTTGTTTGGAAGCAGATAGTTTATCAGAGTTCTTTTGAAAGTGAGATCCAGACATTTCAATTTCTTTTCCAATTGGGTAATATTTTGAGAGAACAGGTTTCCAAAAGAGTGTCTTGAAACCCAAAGAATGAGGAATAACGGAGGGTTTGTATTTTAAAAGAATGTATAATATGAACGTTTGCTTATGCTCGTTTTGTATAAAAGTTCTGAATTGAGAGCAATATAATAAAACTTATCCTCGTCACTGAAATGATTTCTTCCTCTGATTAAAGTGTTTGACAGTTCAAATATTTCTTGGTTGAATTTATTTACAAGTCATATGAAAACACAAAAGAAACGGTGGTGTTTGACTGCAGGTTACTTCTGGGGTGGTAAGGACACATCTTGGAGAGATTTTCTCTGTGGGAAATAAAGGATTCTTTAAAGAAAAAAAGAAGAAAATGACATTACTGAACGACAATTCAAGAAGAGAAAAGCGAGCTCACCACTAGAAGACCTCGCAGGTCTTCCAGGTCCTCCAGGACTTGGTTACACAAGTGGATGTTCTCCGACAGGGTCGCTAGTCGGTCCTCCACCACCTCCTGTCGGAGACAAACGGCGAGGTCATTTGAAGGAGTTCACCAGGCGGCAATGAAACGTCCAGGTTTCACACCGTGTGGCTGACCTGTTGGACCGCGGAGGGGCCCTCGTCAGTCAGCGGGGGGAGGTCGCTACAATCTGCAACTGATTTACAAACCCGTTTAAAGAAATGTGGGTCGTTGAACGTTTGTTGTTGTTGTTGTTGTTGTTGTTGTTGTTACCTGTGCCCGCCTCCATGGCCACTGATGTATTATCTGTCCTGGAAAGTCGACCTTTCCATGTTGAGTGTGCCTTCTGCGTATTTATGGAAGTGCTCACAGGTGATCTGAATTTCTGTAATTAATGAGTGATGAGGGGATCATGTGGGTGACCGGGATTCAAGCACTTTCAGGCACAAAACCTCCATCGCCTCTTCTGGGGTTTTGAGTACATGAAAGTGGTTTTACAGACATGTTTAAAAGAACTCAAGTTCGAAAACAAATGAAGTCTCTGACTGAATAAAACATAGGTTTAGATTTTTGTTTTTCATTTTTTTTTCAGTTTCTCATATGCCATAATTGTTGTATAAAATCTGCGTCGAAATGTAATCGTTCTCTCTAGATTAATCTGATCAATCAGAAAAATTCTTCTAAATCCCAAAATATTTCCACTTGATAATCAAAACAATGGGCTGCTGGCCCTTTAAGTGAGGAGACGTCACTGTTTGGGGGCGTAACCCGGAAGCGTTCTGTCACTCCATCAAGCAATAACATGCGCGCCCTCCGGCCGTGACACATCCACAGATGTAGCTTCGATCATATGAAGTCCGTCTATAGAGTCGCTGTCGAATTAATAAAATCCACACGAGGTCAGAGGTCAACCTCAGCGCGAGGAGAGATGCGCAGAGAGCTCGAGACCAAAGTGCTGCGTCTGCCGCCGACCTCCACTGGGCCACGTGTTCTCCAGGACGACCGAGCAGGTCAGCTCCCATTATTTTTTTTAGCATTTTATTATATTTCAGCTACAGTATCGAATAAACGTTTTCCACGGAAGTTTGGCGCTCAGTGACGTAAACATGGAAGCATGTTACGTCAGACTTTTTTTCCAGTCATGCGCGTGCCAGGTAGTTACACACCTGCGCTTACGTCATCTCCAACGCAGCAAAGTTGACATACTTTATAATCATACATCTTAAAAGCTCTTTATCGTGACACTTGAGTAAAGTAAGGAATTCAACGTGTCAAGTCAATAGTTCTGAGACGCTGTCCAATCACAGGCCGAGGATTCCTCCACCCGATGAGATGAGGTCACAGAATCACATGTTAAATCAGTGGCGCCCTTTATGTGCAGCTCTACAGCAACACGTTTTGTATATTTTAGTGGTTTATGACGTTTATTAGTCTTCTAACCAAGTTTGTCATGTGCGTCTGGCAATGAATGATTCCACCATTTATCCTGCTTTTTTTTGTTTTTTTTAACTGCAGACGGTGCCGAAATCCTGAGTTGCACGGCGAGGGCTCTGAAGGAGGGTCACGTGGTCGGCGTGCCCACGGATACCATCTACGGGCTCGCGTGTCTGGCCCAGAACTCTGAGGCCGTAAGGAAAACCTACGACGTCAAAGGACGGAATGGACACAAGCCGCTGGCCATCTGTGTCGGAGAAATCCAGGACATCTACAAGTACGTTTACGTCGAAAGGAAGACTGAGATCTGTTTCGGTGGATGGCGAAGAAGTGATATTATAAAAGGTCTGAGTGCAGATTCTGTCATTTATATCATCAGTGGCACATCAGTTAATCACATAACTAGTAAGTGAGTCATCCGCAGATGAGTCAGACGTAGGAGAGGCAGAGATCCCGTCGCCATACCAACAAGACACATTTTACATCTTTGAGTGACGGGCACACTCGCCCCCTGACATCCCCTCGCACTAAACTCCCGTCCGGAGAAAGCGCTGGTCATCGTTCTTGTTTCCACGCTCAGGTACTGTAAGGTGAAGGTGGAGGAAGGGCTGCTGGGAGACCTTCTGCCGGGTCCCGTCACTCTGGTGTTTGAAAGAGCGGAAGTGCTGAACGCGGATCTCAACCCCTTCACTTCAGTGAGTCCACTCTAAAATAAACGGGGGGGAAAACGAAATTGGTTCAGACGCGAGTGTCCGTCAACGTGTCGGCGTGTCCCTCAGCTCGTCGGCGTGCGCATCCCGGACCACGCCTTCATGAGACGCCTCTGCCAGATGTGTGCCGAGCCGCTGGCTCTGACCAGCGCCAACGTCAGCTCGCACACCAGCACCGTGGCCGTACATGTAAGAGAACCCCAGTGGCCGGTTGAGCCGTTTTATCTTTTTGTTTTTGTGTTGATGCTCTTTGTTAAAGCCGCCGTTTGTTGTCCTCCTTGTTGAAGGAGTTCGAGGAGCTCTGGCCGCAGCTGGCAGTGGTGGTGGACGGCGGGCCGATAGGAGACCACAGCCGCCTCGGCTCGACGGTGGTCGACCTGTCGGTCCTCGGCAAGTACCGCGTCATCAGGCCCGGCTGGTAAGTTCATGCGCTTTCTGTGATCCGGCTGCTGGTACGTGAGCCATTTGTTCTCTCCAGTCAGAATATGTGAATTTATTTTGACACTCTGTGCATTAAACGAGAAATGACTTTGATTTCAGCGCTCTTGTTTCTACGGTCGACGTGCTGCAACGCAAATACGGACTGTCAGAGGATTCAGGAGGAGCAGAAGGAGGAGGAGGAGGAAGATGAACCTTTGAACTCTCAACACTCCACATCACACGCTGAGACGCACAACCAGCGTTGACCGTTGGCTTCTTCAGAAGAGATGGACTGTTCTCCTGTTTACATGAGCGACGGAGCGTTTCCCGAGGAGGAGCAGAACTCCGGGGCGGCTCCTCTTCTTCTGGAGTAAGTCTTCTCCTTCCTGTGGGATCTTAAAGTGTCTCATTGTCTCTCATAAGGTCAGCAAGCTGGAATTAAAACGTTTTATCTTTCATAAATATATAACAGATTATACAATTGCTTTTAATTTTATCTTTGTAATCATTTCTATAATGGTTGAATCTCCCGTATTTGTTTTACCCTCCATGTTATTTTAACCATTTGAGGATTGCAATCCAATTGGTCACCTGCAACCGTTACAATACTTGTTCACGTTGGAGCCTGAATATTAAATTGACGGGTGAATTCATGATTTTTTTTTTTATTCTCATTGCCTGACTAGACTTGTTTTTGATTGACTGCTTAACCTTTGCACAATCACAATAAAAGTTCTTTTTTTCAGTATCAGTCGCGTTAATTAATCTCTCATGAAAGTATTCTCAAACATCCTACTTGGAAAATGCCTTTTGCTCGAAGCTTGAAGCTTGCAGCAGGATTTCTTTAAATCTAAATCCAATGAATTCATATATCAGAGTGCTCTGTGAGTGGTGCATTTTCCATGCATTTTTATTCATGTACCATTTAGTAGTTGGTGCATTCCAACCGTGTAGAGTGGATTCTGTGTACACAACGTTGGGGAACAATTGAAAATGCGGGAACACGTTCATAATGTACTGTTGAACACTGACATATTCATTCATTTGAATTTGCAACATACAGCATTGAGTGGTGGCGTAGAGTTGATGTGATAAACCTTTTTTTTTTATTCAATGTCACGTGATGCAGAAAGACGCTTTGCTGGAGTTACTTCGGGGCGACCGTGTGTGCTGGTGGAGGCACACGGTGCAGTACACACAGATCCAGCATGTAGTGTTGAATGTAGTACGGCATGCAACTTCAAACACTAAAGGGGGGGGGCATCGTGGCTTCTCCATCAGTTATAAAAGAGAAACCATAGAAGTGTCTGGATGTGGAATCATTTCTATTACTGGGCTGCAGAGGGAAAGAGACCCTTACACGGGGGACAGTTTTCTTAGTGTGTTTTCAGCCAGTTAATAAAGTTGCATGAACGAAGGCCTACGGAACATTTCACACGGAAAGACTCTTCCTCCCTCAGAATAACTCATTCTAATGCTGCTTTACTCAGAGTTTTTAAGTCAAAGGAAACTCAAAAGTCCCACCGTGTTCTCGCACAAAAAAATGCACGCACACCTTTTACTACATTCACTCCCTCTCCGCACGCACGCGTCCTCCACTCGTGCGCGCTGGTTGGAGTAAGTCGGGCTCACACCAGCCACTGCTCCTTCTCTTTGTTGAACTGCTCCACCCAGCGGCGGGTCAGCTCCAGGTAGTGGTCGGGTCCGTGTGGCTGATAGTCCAGGTACACGCGGGTCACCGTTTTCTTGGGCGTCGCCCGCTCTATCTGCGTCCCCTCGTGCCACTCGTTGAAGGACGTGATGGCGACGACCTCCGGCCTCACGTCCAGCGCCGCCTGCAGGGCCGTCTCGAAGTAGCGGCCGTTCACCCGGTTGCGCAGGTTGTGGTTGTTCCACGGCCGGATGCTGGTGTCGATGTAACCGGGCCCGACGCTCGGGATGAACAGCAGATTGTTGCCGTCGCAGAACGCTTTGATGGACTTCCAGTTCTGGTGGGAGGAGCCGAAGGAGAAGCCGTTGGAGGCGAAGTAGGTGTACATGCCGTCGAAGCCGCCGGCGAGGATGTCGTGCTTGTGGCGCTCCTCCACGATCAGCGCGATGAAGATGGAGTCGTAGGCCGAGCCGCGCACGCTGTGGGAGCCGGCGGGGGTCAAGAGCTCCGACCAGGACTCCGGAGGGGTCAGGTAGGAGTCGTAGATGTAGAACAGAGGGAGACTCTTCCCGGTGCTGGAAGTGCACTTGTAGAAGGCGCCGTGTTCTCCGTACCTATTTAAAGACATAATAAAGGGGAGTGAAGAGGGCGCCAGTGGGATCAAAAGGGTTTTTTCCCCCTCAGCATCTATATTATTAACAAGGCGAAGGGGGGAAAAAGGGGAGGAAAACACAATAAAAATATAAAAGGGTTCTTCCTCTGGGGAGCCTGAATCAGCTGAGTGACACTCTTCTTGTGTCACACAAGACCAGAGCTAAAGTACTGTGAATATTAGCACACAGCAAATTTGATGTAAAGCCAGCCAATAGATTTAGGGTACATTGTACAAAATTGGGACCAAATAAGGTAAAGGATTCCTCATTTAATGGCAAGATATGACACTTTGCTTTTGATTTCTCTGTGTCGAATACTGAATATGTTTTGGGGGGGGTTGTATTGTTGAGTTCAAAGTACTGTACAGATTAAGAGGGACCCTCAATCTTAAAGTTTTGTCAAATATCACTTCAAGGAGTCGAGTCAGGAGAGTATTTTACCTGTCAATGATGTACTTGATGTTGTCATGCACGCTCTGGTCGTTTCGTCCTCTGTATATTTGGATGTGAAATGCAACCTAAGAGAAGGTGCAGAAGGAGACACACTTTGTTAGTTTTCATCTGTCCAGCCATTATGAAAAGAAATCAGTCTCAGACGACCTTGAAATCCACATTCAGTTTTGCGAGGAGGGAGATTCACGGCGGTGACAAAGCGGCTGTGAAGAGACATCTTTTCCCTGTTTTCACTTTCCCAACAAAGCATGACGAAGTGCAGCCGCTCTGGAGACTTTTTAAAGCTCCGTTAGAAACTGGTATTTACAATTGAAGAACAGCAGTCGAGGAACAAGGTACCTGAAGTGACACGAGCAAAAAAGTGCTTCGGTTGAGTGTTTTAAGGACTGAGCGGAGAATTCAGAGACTTTAAATAATGCACGATCAAAGTGAAACACTTTTCTTCTCTGGCAGTCGACACCCGGGGGGGACAATGCGAATAAAAAGGCCGTTTTTTTGTGGATGTAAGATTCTCCTCTCACCCGGATTCAAGCCAATAAAAGCCAGCATTTAAGCCAGAAACCCGATCAGACCAGTTACATTTGTCTTATCTGCCCACCAGGTACTAGCAGATATGAAGCCATATCATTATAAATCACAGGGGGGGGGGTTATGGTCTCATGTTCACTGCAGCTGAGCACCGGAAGCTCATTTTAAAACACATTGGCCCGTTGCTCTGTGCTCATTCCCAAGTAAACGAGGCATTTTAATACCTCATAAACATTGACAGCGTGGGCCAGGATCGACCCCGTGATTCATGCTGGGTGGAATTCAGCGGCATGTCATGCAGGAAGCACTGGGGGGGGGGGGGGGGGGGGAGCCCACACACAATAACAGGCTAAACACCCCAACCTCTATAAAAATTTCTCCAGCGCGGAGACTCTCGCAACAATTGAACAAAAAAGGGCGAAGGCCTCCCGGGGGCCCCCAACGCACGGCCCCCGTGGCCTTTTCATTGGCTTGTGCTTTTACAGCCCCCCCCCCCTCCCAGGGTGCAGATTGTTCAGAGCAGCAAACTGAGTCATGGGACCCGTGATGCACATTTCCCCTCAGCTCCCCCCGGCACCCAGCTTCCAACCCCCCCTCCCCCTCCATCTCCAGCAGACCGCCCGCGCCCTCCCCTGCAGGAGGACTATTTCTATTCCTCTTGGAGCTGAGGTCGAGCTGTGGAGGCCCCACGTGATCTGCTCTCCAGCGCTGCCGTACAGATCACAGGCTCTCTGTGTGGGTGCTGCTGAAATGCTTCCCAACTTATATAATAAAAAGTACATCGCTTTCTAAGGTAGCGGCGGCCAAAAGTGCAGCTGGCGAGATAGATTTGGTTTGTTCAGTCATCTTGTTTCAGGCCAAAAATAAATACCTGAAGTATCCTAAATCATGCTGTGATCTCTTTGTCACATCAAATGTCATTTTGACAAAATGAACAAACATTTTTTTCTAATTTGTGAAAATGGCTTTTCTCTGTTAGATTTGGCATTTTATATGTTGTTCGAATAAAAGAATGTGATTATATTTCAATGACGTCTCCTCATTTGCATTCCTGCAGACATGGATGCATTTACAGAGTTGAAGAGGCCGACGTCACGTTCACGCCTCGCTGAGCAACACCAAACATCTGTATGGACACGTTCACATGCTGAAGCAGTTAAAGGTCTGCCAGGCTCACGGGGATCCTCGTCTTGAGGTGGGACGAGTGCCGCTGTGACAAACAGGACGAGACAGCCCAGGACAGGACAAGGATATAGGACATGGAGACAAAGGGAATGTAGACTGGTACCACTTTCACAGAATACATTTCAAAGGTTTTCTGCAGAGGTGGAGCTTCTTCATTCTGGTACTTTCAGTCTTGTTTTTATCTCTTCATCATTTGCTCTTCTTTTTTTCCACTAACATGACCATTCATAATTAAAAGTTCCTTATTTTGGGGGGTAATTGTATTGATTCCGCGAGGGTCAGATGTTTCAAAGCGAAGCGGAGAGCATGTCTCCGATTGGCCGGTATCCACTTTGCCACTCGAGGCAGATTGCCCATACGTTTTCCTCAATCCTTCTCTGATACATTTTTGGCAGTTGCCACTGTTGTTGTGACACCATCATTGTTCCTCTGGACTTGTCTCACTCCTGTCAGCCTGCCTTTCAGTTGGAAAGAGCAAAGAAATCATTTAGGGAAGACGTTCTCTCTGCGGCACGGTTGTGATCTTCTGAGTGCATAAGACAACATTTCACTTTTAATGAAAGGTTCTGAAACGCTCCTTTGGTGGAAGAAGGCGGGTCAGTGTCTGTTCTTCCACGCACACTTTGAGGAAAATGTTGTTCACCCATGATAACGCAGTATTGATATTGGTATTGAATTCAATCTATCAGCTTCCCTCCTGACAGCATTATGGGTAGAACCTCTGCGGCTCTTGTCTCGCCCTTGCGGTGATTCTTAATTTCTTTCCCTGCAGCCAAAGAGCAACAATTTTGATATCCAACCTGGCAGACTGACAAACGTTGTGTGGAAAAAGAGTTGTTTACCCACAGGACGAGGCCATGTACGTGTCACATCCGTTCCCACCGGGATCCAAACACCTGCATCATGGCGAGTTGTGTTATAATGATTCCTCCGATGACTTTGCTTTGTGATTAACCTCGAAAAAACAAGGTTATCAAAACAAATTGTTTTCTCATCAGTGGCTGGTTAGTTGTGGTCGTATACAGTATGTTCAAACAGGAACATACTTCAAAGCACAAATACATGTGGAAAATAAAGAGTGGTGGGGGAGTAGTTTCCACAATTTTAACATTTTTGTATAATCTCCTGATTGCAGGATCAGTATTCTTCCTTAAAGTGAATTGGGAGTCTGCTGAAGTTATGACAAAATCTGAACTTGGGCTCAAAATACAATACAATCCCAATATTCCTGAATGCAACTGAATGATTATTATTTCTCTACTAAAAAATTGTGAAACTCTCTAATAATTTGAGAAAAAGCTTTCAGTAATGTTGATGCTTTTCCTTGGGTGGCTGGCTGATTTTTCTTAAAATTTTAATGTTTAAATGCTGTAGGTGCATTATTAATGGAACCTGCTTTAACATAGGAAAACTCTTACTCGCTTGTCTTATACGTCATTTCAAATTCATGCAGGAAGCCGACGTATCTTTCTTTAACACTCATTTTAGAGAAAGTCTGACAAAAAAACAATGTATTTTCTGTCTTTCACTTTGTCTCTATCTTTATCTGGACATGCATTGTATCGCATTACGAGCAGGCTTTCCCTCTAAAAGTCTAATACGCCTTTGATACAGTGACAGGAGGCCGCGAGAACAACATGGTGGGCAGTTATTTCCTCCAATGTGCCATTTTCCAACCTAATTGGCAAATTGGTCATGTGGTTTTGCTACCCCCACCGCCCCCCCACCTCTCCACCCTGCTGATATGTTCTCCCCGCGGAACAACTGATCCAGCAGACGCAGCTATTTGACCTGTTTTATTTTTTTGCTCTGACGCTCGAGAGGAAATGTCTTTGCAGCCGCAAACATCCAGAGTCAAATCTGTGAGTTGCAGAGACAGCTTCATGGGAGGCAGCAGAACACGTTTAAAGGCTCTCAACCTTTTCCGCCCGTGACAAAAACAAACTGCTATTTCTGTGTAGAACTCGCAGCACGATGGCTCCTTCTAAGATTGTTGTCCTGAGCAGAGCTGAGCTCTACGCTCCTTTGTGAAGTATCGTTAATATCGCTATGTGTAAGTAGGAGAAAATGCACGTAGATATTTAACCATTGAACATATGCCTTCACACTACTTACCATTGCATGTCTTTGTAAGCCTTTCTAAAGGCAGTGGGCAGTGTTGAAGCTGGCTTAACGTATTTAATGGAGTGCCTCAAGGTTCTGTTCTTGTTCTCCTTTCTTTTTGGTTTACATAAATCCTTTTGGAGTTTTGGCACATGAAACTAATACTCATTGGTATGCAGATGATACTGTGTATGTGGTGTTATTCTGTACTAGATATATTTTTACTAAATACACTCTACACCTTTTAGTATTTTGCAGTCTCAGCTCACTCGACTCAAGCTAGTCATAGCGTAGGGGAAGATAAAATAACTAAAAGATATTTGGTTTAATGTTTATCTTTCTTATGAGACTGGAGTTACATTTCTATATTAGAAACAAGTCATGTTTGTCCGGCCAGGTCTTCCTTGTCAAAGAGGCTGGTTCAACAAGATTTACCTGATAAAATAAAAGCTACAACGAGGAACTGTCGGGCCTCGACGGAGTCTGAGCTGAAGGATTTCATCTGATTTAACGCAGAATCCGACTAGCGTTAAGAATAACCTCCGTACATAGAACTAGCCGATCTTCTTGTGTATTTTACCTTTAGGTTGTGTCTGTATGCAGCATCCAGCACAGCTGGAACCAAATCCTCAGCGGGTTCCCCGTTGTCGTCAGCCAAGCCGGGAGGATACCAGGACATGACCAGAACCCCTGGAGACACAAGTAAACTCGAGTATAATCATCAATCCTGGACCCAAGACACTGTTCAATACCTCAGAGAGCATCTACTGCAGAGAAAGCATGTGCAATATGCATCGGAAAAGTTCTCTCATGCATTGTTGAAATGATGAATGGATTGTGAGAAACGCTGACACTCCTGTGGGTGAATTTGGAGCTGAAAAAACTTTTGCTTTCATCGACAATATACAGTGATTTTTTTTCATGCAGCCCTTCACACAGTCTTACGGACCCATTTGAGACCGTCGAATGAACACAGTCAGCTGCGCGTTTATTGAACACACTGAAATTTCTGCCTCGGTAATCCATTAGGCTAATTACCGTACCCTTTAAGGACTAGACAGATGGTGTAAAGTTCGCGGTGAGATAGTGCATGCATGGTTGGATGGTGAGATATTGAGTCACTGGGCACAGACATGTAAACTACACCTCACCCAGAAGGGAGACACAACATGGAGCAAAACGCCTCCCTTTGGGGTTGTTAAGCGTCTCTCTGCGGTCGTGTTTTGCATTTGTGGTCATTACGGGTCTTTGCGTTGGTCCTTGAGCGTTGCTTTGTCATCATTTGGGTTGTGTGTTGTGGAAATGCTGTTCATGCATTTTCCAGTAAACCTGCTTTGACACGTCCATCGGAAATGTAGACATTCACTTAAAAAAGCGGCTGGAGCGCAGTGGCCCCCTGAACTCGGGGCCCGGCTCCCGATTGATGAATATGCACATATTTATTATGTCTTGTTTTAGTGGCAGTCTTGGCGTGTAGCTCTAGTGTGAGACTGATTATTAATTTCAGGATTGCTGGCAGAGAAATAGCTTCATCTCTGCAACAACGGCCCCTGGCACCAGAGAGGATCTGGCACTAAGGGCTAATTGATTTAATAAATGTCCACTTGCTGTGGCGCGGTGGAGACTATTAGATTACAATACCCAACTATGTCTGTGTGTATTAACAACGAGGCAGCTGCTATAAGTTTTATTTATGGACCTCGGTGAAGTGGTGGGGAATCAGTCATCCAGCCAAATGGAACTCTTCAGGGTTTAGCTAGCTGCGGTGCCTAATCAAATTGATTATTTTGACAAAGCGTTGTGAGCCAGCACTCCCGTGATCCATCTGTCTCGGTGGGGAAGTTTGAAACGGATGGACGGGCGTGCTCATCGTTCCAGATGGTGTACAATAACCTAGTGGGCTGCAGGACAGGAACGTCGGGGCCTCTCGTGTGTACGCCGCTGACGGCTGGACTCTGTTACTCGATACTACATGTGCTGTCTCTGAGGGAAGCCATGCGAGGTCATGAGAAGATTAACAACATATCAATAATTCATGAGAGCCCCCCCCCACACACAACTAATTTAAATGTGACTTGTGCTATGTGAATATTGTAACAGCAAAAGTATCACCACCTTAAAGTCCCTCTTAAAGTGCAGCAGCAGACATGTTGGGACTTTGGGGAGCTGTCCGCTGGACGCGTGGTGCTGAAAGGTTTTTGTGCCGCACCAGCAGCTTCTCAGAGGCCAGAATGAATAAAGCAACACTGAACTGTTCTTCTTACCTGCTGCAGACGCTCCGATCTGCTCCATGTGGGACTCCAACACGTCCGGGTCCCTCGAGCTGTACGGATTAAGTTCGGGGTAGAAACTGGAGCCGATGTCCTCGGGCGGCGCGTGTCTCCCTCTCGGGTAGCTGGATGCGATCTTGGGGTCCCAGTGCGGAACCAGGATATGGTCCCAGTGGATGTACTTGCCGTCCATGCTTGGGTTGCCGTACCAGGTGTAGTAGAAGATGTGAACGTCATAAAATATGGTCCCCTCGGGTCCGGAGTTGGACAAAACTGCATGAGTGTTGCTGTCAGCCGGACGGACTTGACCCGGCGACGCGGTGGCGTCACGGGACACGGACCGCCGGTCCACCTTCCCCGCCATCGCCGGCAGCAGCTCCAAGCCCGGAGCCAGGTCCGAGAAGCCGTCACTGGGCTTCAGGGTCCTCAGACCCATCATGGTCCCGAAGACGAACAGCGTAAAGAGAAACAGGGCTATGCACGCTCTCCTGCGCAGTCTTGCCATGTTTTCTCTTGAAGTGACCGGACAGGGGGCGCGTATAACCCCCCCCCCCTCCTCCCCGAGAGTTCTCCTCACAACCTCACGAGCTCTTCAAAGTGTCCTGCAAGGATTTCAAAGGTTTAAAAAACAGAAAGGAAAGAATGAATCTACATGGTTGCAGCCCGGCGGCAGCAGACTACTGGACGCGGTTCTCTTTGGGGAATCGGGGAACTTTCTGCTGCTTCATGTTTTCCATCCCGCTGAGCTGCGCAGCTGGTGCCTTTCGGGGCTCCTGGGGTTCCCGGGGGGGGAACCACCCGAGTACCGGGAGGTGGGGAGGGGGAACGGGGAAACTTTCAACCCCCCCCCCCCCCCCCCCAGATGCGCCGACTGTCTCTTCACCGAGCTGCTTCGCTCCTGCTGGCTGCGCAGAGTCCCGCCCGGAAGCTCATCCGCGCACCGGACACCGGACACGGCCAGACGACCGGCGCAGAGACGGTGCTCCCCGGAGACATCCAGAAGGGGACCGGGGGGGGGTCCAGCAACAAAAAGGGCGGCGCTTTGGTCGATCCCTGTTGGGCTTGTTTTGGCCAAAGAGCCTGACGCAACAGAAAATAGCCACGTGAGTGCCGTCAGCGTTTCAGCCCCGCGGATCCAGGAAGGAGGCGCTGGTTTTGGGGATTTGAGACACCAACTCTCGGCGGAGACGAGACACTTCAGTTGTCATGATGTCGACTTTAACGTCCGAGGCGTTCAATTAAAGGCGCGTTGACCTCAGAGATGTGCTGACATCTGGTGGTATTTTGTATAATAAAAGTCAAGGGGGTTTCACCGTGTTGCTTTCAGGTACTGCTGGGACTCCTCAGATGTCTCACTGCCGTTTAATACACAGAGAAACGTGTTATCATAATGGCAAGAACGATTATTATTATAGTACATCTTTGGGAACTGCAGCACTGAGACTTCACGATGATAACGTATTGATGGGTATGTAGTATTCCTTTCATCCTATTTATTTATTTGTATTCATTATTTTCGGGCGGCTTTGAACGAAATGAATGAGTCTTCAATCCGACGGAGGGACATAGTCTAACAGCAGTTCACGGGATACGTGACCCAGCAGGTTGTTAGCTCGTGCACCTTGGCTGGAGTCCAGCAGATTATCTTGGTTTCCGGCCAAGATAATCTGAGGCAGCACGAGGCCTGACCCCTCTTCTGGTTCACTGACACTTCATGGGGGGTGGGGGGGGGGGGTTGTCTTGTCTTGCTGAGCTCTTCATTTAGGCTGAAACCGATTTTAAGGCCCGCGCCGGGGTCCACAAGGGGTCGTTGTGGTTGTTGTGATGAAATCGAACCGAATTTCTGAAACGTCCGTCATGTGTTACGTCCTACGGATAGAGAGGTGGAGCTGCGCTTCAGTTCTCAGGAATAACATTCATCACGGATACATTACTGCTTTTTATTCAAACACGCTTTTCAACTAAACAAATATAATGTTATTTTATATACTGTTGTTATAAACGGAACAAATTCGTATTTCAAAAAGTGTGTTCTTTGTGTGAATTTGTAATTTTTTATCTTTATTCTAGTTTTTATCTGAGCAGTAGTTGCTTTCAGATTGTCCTTCGTTTTCAATGTATTCATATCATTCATTTTGTCTTTTCGGAGCTCCGTGGACTCTCACTTTCAGCTTGGTAAAAAGATCCCTTCCTTGTGTCCTTGATTCCTCCATCACTCCTCAAGGACACGAGTTAACGTCTTAACGTGATGTAATCAATCACTATTGATCCGTGAATTCGTTTGACCTGCTCGGCTTGTTTAAATGTTGCCACTTTGCATTGCGGCCTCTTTATTGTTTTTATTTTATTTCATGTTTGATTTACTTCTATACTTTTAACTCTGTTATTTGACTCAGTTCAGCTTTTTCTCCCCCTCTGCTTGGGAAGACCCCCAAATGAAAACAGCATTCACTTAACCAGGCAGACCATAAATACTTGGTCTGCATGCAAATAGGTCTAGATCACATTTTAAAGGAGCGAGATTGACTCTTGTGACTGAGAAATAGCAAGAAAAGAAGGTAAGGCCCTATAGATCATCACATTACAGGTCATACAGGCATTACAGGCTGACGCGTTTATCCAAAGCGACTTCGCATTTATAACCCGTGGCTTTTTTACATTTTTGCCCGGGGGAGCAATTAGGAGTTGGGTGTCTTGCTCAGGGACACTTCATCATGGGGCAGCCGGGGCTCAAACCACCAACCTTTGTGCATCCTCTCTACCCCCGCGCCACGACGACCCCATCAGATCAAATACAGTGAAAAGAAACAGTGAAATATAATTGCAAACCATGTAAATCACGATCAAGTAACTGTGAACTAGTGAAATAAACGAAACCATGATAATGTCACCATGTGTCCCTAAGTGATTGGCCCCTCTCCACATTGGAGCTCTTATGTTACACAACATGCGACCTATCTCTCCTTGGGGACTGAATCACGTGGACGTGACCGAGAGCGTATTTGTGGGGGGGGGGTCGTCGGATGAGAAACGGTCACTTGTATTGACCAACCGAGCTGACCAGGAGAGAGAGAATCCGCCTCAGCAGAAAGAAGGACCCCGGGAGTGAACTGGCCCTCAAACATGGCAGAAGGTGAGTCGGGAGCTTTTGGTGGGAGTTTAACTTGTGTCGCTTTTTTTTCTCTCTCTTTGAGGGGGGGGGGGGTGTTCATCCAAACCCCTTCCCGGTGACCCCCCCACCCCATTGTTTAGATGGGACAGGATGCCGGCCCCCTTTTGTTTACCTCCCGCTCGCGCTTTCCCTCTCGCTGCGCAGGATCCGCTCTCCGCGGCATTCGGCTCTAAAGTGGCGACCTGCGAGGACTCCCCAGTCTGAGGGCGAAGCGGGACTCTGTAGTGTGGGGGCTCATTTTGACTCGAGGCACGGCTGAAGACATGGGCTCCGTTTCCAACCAGGAATTCCCAGGTCGAGTAACACTAATTAACGGGCATTTCGCTACTTTCTCCGGGAGGACTTAATTGGGTGTTTTTTTTGGGGGGGTCCGGCTGCGCACGTGCTGGCGGCGGAGCGTTTGAAGGCATTGTTCACCCACGTGATCGCGGTCCGCGAACGCGTTAAAAGCTCTTTGGGGGTCCTGACATCACCTCCAGCAGCGTCGCTTCATTCGCACAAAATTCCCACTTTACTTCTGTGATATTTCGCCAAATATCCGCCTGAGCTCGTTCCCCACTGGATCGATTCCCATTGATTGGCGAGAGAAAAGACCCCCACCGAACCGCTTTTTAAACATTTTTTTAGGGGGGATCCAATTGATGCTTTTTCTCTCTCTACTATATTTTTTGGTCGTTGTTCTCTTTTTTTTTTAATCGCACGCTTTTCATTGCAGGAGTGTGTAAGCCCGAGGAGGACGAGGCGCCGAGCGCCGAGGAGGGGCCCCCGTCCCTGCGCGGGGTGGGCATCTGTAAATGGTTCAACGTGCGCATGGGCTTCGGGTTCCTCTCCATGACCGCCCGGGAGGGGGTCCCGCTGGAAGAACCGGTCGATGTGTTCGTCCATCAGGTAGGACGACCATCAGATGTGTGCAAAGAAGTATCGCCAATGCTGGTGGTGAAAGTCACAGGTTCCTTTTCTCTGCCAGACCACTGTGATCACCCCCCAACTCCACTTGTGTCCCACACAGTTTCCTTTGCTTTTTATTCTTTTAGAATATAGTCAACAAGTTAAAAGATCAGATAAAAAGATAAAATTAGGCTTTTTTATTTGAAACATTTGACACACTGATGGTGATGGAGGAACAAACCTGTGGTCAAGAGTCTAATGAGTTCAGCTTGGATCTGTACTTTAGGTTAAATCACAGTATCCGCAGCTATTTGTCCACTTTACTCGTATTGTGCTGTAGTTGTGTAACTGTACTTGTGGTTTTCCGCTCGGTGGGGGTTTTCTTCTTCGCATGAGGTCTGATTGTTTTTCACTGTGAAGAGATAAAGGAGAACTTCTCAAGTCTTCTCAGCTCGGTTCAACCCATTTACATTCCTACATCCAGTAGTAGGGTGGGGTGGGTGGTATGGAGGTGTGGGAGGGGGGGGGGGGCACTTCTCATGAGAGTGAGCGCCTCCATCGCTGTCTGATAAGATAAAGGCTTAGCATGTGAATGTGAAGGAGTCTCCACTAGCTGCCCGTCACCTCGGACTTCCTGTCATAAAATGATGAAAGGCTCTTTGCTGTCTGCCCCCCCCCCCCCCTCTGTATGTGTGTGTGGCCCAGTATTACCTTTAAAGAGAAGAGGAGATCTCAGGGTTTTATTTTGGGTACTTTTTTCGCCCTCCCAGGACTCGTGCTGTGGAGACTTTGGGCTAATTCCCTTTTTAAAGATTGAACGTTGTTGACGAGAGATGACATTATTTTTATCCCTTTAAGCTTCCATGTTCCCAACAACTTGATTCTAGCTTGAACTTGTTTGCACCTCATGATGCATAAAGACAAATTTCATTTTGCAGCCGTTGGAACTGAATTACTGTTTGACTAAACACGGGAAGTTGCCGCCTGTTTAATCATAATGCGTTGATGTGTGGTTATAAAACTTAGTTTGGCCCTCCAGTGGTTACAGATTCAAAAGAATGGTCTCTAATGGTCGTTGTATGCATCTTGCAACAAAATGTTGTATTTCTGTCTTGGAGTCGGGTTGATTCTTGCTGCAGATACTTAAAAGGAGGCTCCAACGCTCACTGCTTTACAACCTCGTGTGCTTTCCATTAATCCACTACAAATGCGTAACCAATGACTTACTTCCCTCTCTGTCAGTTGGAATGTTAGAGACACGCGTGTCAATGATGGATGTGTAGAGGTTATGGCTACTTTAAAGGCCTCGGCCCTAAAATTAGTGGCCGCGTGTCAAATTAAGTCCCAGGCTCCAGTGGCCTTTGTGCAGGTGGACAATAGAGCCATGCATCCGAATGAAGCTCCCCTCGGCCGTGACCAAGCCCCTCTTTGTCTCAGCAGAAGTCCCGCTATTGTCCCCCGTAGCTCTGATGTCTTTCTCTGCCTCACTTGGCATCCAGACACATGCTGGACAGAGTTTACAGTACTCAAAATGGCCCCCTGATCCTTAAGGCCCCGGCCCGTACCTGTATCTGTGTGGATAACCCGGTGGGGCTGGTCGGGGTCCGTGATGGGGGTGGGGAAGGTTCGAAGAGGAAGTGGGTTAACGGTCACCGGGGGCCGAGAGGCCCGATGGGATTGGAACCGATCATTTTGGGTTCGGTCGGAAGCAGAGGCTTTCCTCCCGTTACACCGTGTGCCTAATCTGATCCGTGGCTCTTCTGGTGAGCGCAGAATGCAGACGGGAGGCCATAATGTGTCTTTACTCCAAAAGAAAATGGGATTAATGTCTGCCACAACAAACGTGCCTATGATGAATCCTTCAACAGTCCGTTTCCCACACAAAGGGAATCTTAAGAGAGGGGTTTCCCATGTTGTGTCAGCCAACGCGGCTCCACACCTTCCCTCACTCACTGATCTCCTTCCTTTGGAAACCAAAATGTTTCTGGCAAGACAAGTAAAAGAACCTCAAAGATCAGTTCAGGTGAAAACAGTTTCAGTGACCGTGTAGCATTGACTAAATCAAAAGTCCTCTCCAACGTTGCTGTGGCCATCGGACGCTACAAGATGTTTCTTTCACCAAAATAAAGATGTCACCTCATCAAAGGCAAAGGCTTTCCCCCAACTTTTATCTTCCGTGTCTTTCTGCCAAACAACTATCCAAAGAATGTCCCCCCCCCCCACCCCCCAAACCTCCCAGAGAACCAATGCGGCCTTCTCACCCCACCCCCAACCGTAGCACTAACCCCTGCATCCTGCAGTTTAGGGTTAGTGGTGGTGGTCAGTGTGTTGGTTGAGCTTTGTGATGTGGGTGGGAAGAGGGGGGGGGTGGTGTGGAATGCTGTTCCTCCGTAGGGGGGATGGGCTGAAGGTTATCCTCGTCAGGTCTACCCCTTAAACACGGGGAAAAAGACAAAGGCAGCATTAAGACAAAGGGGCTGTTTAAGCGGGGCGGTATTTGTACAGCCTGATCTGCAAAGTGGGAACAGCGAGCTTTGTAGTTCTTGTTTGTTTTATAAAGGTAATAATCGCCGTAAATGCCTGATAAGTCCTATCAGGCTCTGATGATATCACACAGCGAAGAATGGCTGGGGGGGGGGTTGTCAGTATGTCCCACTAAGCATTGTTTTCTGTATTACGGGAAACCACATTGAAATATTTGACATTTGTTATCTTGGACCAACTAAGTCCTCACATCAGTGGAGTTCACCAAACATCCGACAATAGTGTTGATGCCGAATCTTCTTTCAGAGCAAGTTGCACATGGAGGGCTTCCGCAGCCTGAAGGAGGGCGAGGCCGTCGACTTCACCTTCAAGAAGTCCTCCAAGGGCCTCGAGTCGCAGAGAGTCACCGGACCTGGTGGCGTCCACTGTGTGGGCAGTGAAAGGAGACCCAAAGGCAAGAAGGTCCAGAAGAGACGTTCAAAGGGAGACAGGTAAGCAATGGTGGACTGGGAAAGAACAGGGAGGACATTTAATGGAGGCCAGCAGTGCCGCTTTGAACACTTTGCAGTTTATATAAAACTTATTTAAAGCTACTTGGGTTGCAGCAATTTGGCGCTTTTACATTTGAGTCCACAAACAGTCGCTTGTGCCCCATTTGGATCAGATATAAAGTGGGGGTGGTTTCTCCCCATTTTCCACCCTCTTCCTCTACCAACCCCCCACCTCCAGCACAAGCAAGGGTCACAGCAGCAGGCTTGACGTGTGACCTGGATCAATAACTGTTTAAATCTGCTGGCCCCTGGTGCATTCACGCCCACCGACTGCCTCTCTCTTCCTAAACCTTCCTGAAACCATCAATCTGATTTGAAAACTCCAAAACCCATCATGATTTAAATAATTCGTCTAGGTTTCGTTGGTGGTCTTAGCAGTTTCTATTTATAAATTGAGGTATTTTACCAACTGTGTTTTGTAATTCTTCATTACAAAAAGGAAGTTTTATATTTTAATGTGACCTGAACCATCACACAAATGCTGAAGAGGTCGTTTTAGGAGTTCAGGCCCTGAGAAAAGTTACTAAAATGCCAAAGACGTAATGATCAACCTACAAATATGTTGCCGCTGGTTAAATTTATCCTGACGATTTGAGCGTTCCATGGAGGGGCAACATCACCCCTCCAAGTGAAAGAAAGGACCCAGCGGGGCCTCTCTTTGAATATCAATAAAGCACAGGGTTAGAAGTGTATCAACTTCACCCCCCTGTCAGTTGTGATTAGAACCAGATCGTAGTCCGTGTGAGAACAGAGATCATTACGGACCCAAAGAGTCCTGGGAGGCCGGTGGTGGCTCAATAACTCTCCTTCGACCACACTGATGCACGGCTAAGATATCGTACCCCTCTAGCGTATTTCATAATGCAGCTGGATGGCGTTTCATTGGCTCACAAATGCTTTTTTGAACATTACCAATCGCCAGATACCATTGGAGCAGGAGTAAGGAGTGCATTGTGGTTCTCACTTTTACATACATATATGTATATATATATATATTGTATTGACTGAGGGTGGGAAAAATCTCTGTTTCATTTAATTGATAACAGATGTAGGAGCCTGGGCAAAGGGGTGAAAGGTCACTGTAGTCATGGCAACTTTGTATGAGTCAATTCAAGAGGGTTGGGATGGGATTGGGGGGGGTTAGAGAACTGAGGACAGGGCGTGGAGGGCAAGGATCAGAGGTCATTGCTGCAGCTTTTTTAGACAAAGGGGCCACTTCCCCTTCCCTCCCGATGGATGCTGATGTGGAGAGCTTCTGTGATGCAACGGTATGGACCATGACGCCGACCCAACGGCCACACTGACCCCTCGGCAGGCGCCTTGTTCAAACGTCATCTGCTGCCACAATAGTGGCAGAGGGTGCGCAGTGGCACCGAGTGACCGCCTCACGCCCACCCCCCCATCTGTCTTCCGCCTCTGCACGCGTGGCCATTCTATAGATTATGTCCACACAGAGGTGGCCAATGCCGTCCGCGCTGACCCCTCATGGTGTCCATTTCTAAAGTTCGGAGCCGATGAAATGGATGTCTTACTTTGACGCAAGGGAGTCCAACAAGGGGACGGAAGTACAGGGCGAGCTGCTCTTGATATATCGAGATAATGACTCATGGTATCAAAACCAGGTCCGTGATCAAATTTGAGCCGTGCCACTTAAGGGTTAAGAGTTTGGGTACAGAACATAAATACACCAGCAAACAACTGTAAACAACTACTGTAGAGATATAAGTGATGGAGAAAGGTTTACCCGAGCACAGAACGAGGTGGTAAATTTGAGTTCGGCCTTGCATTGTTGACAAAGCCCGCTGGCTAGCTCACAGCTGTGCTCATTGTGCTCGTATGGTCATTACGGCTGATAATGCCGTCCCAACCGAAGCGTAGCACTCATCCACTGGATGCAATGCGGTGTGACCTAAGATGCACTTTAAAGATTTGTGACCAAATGCAAACCAGGTGAAGTGTTGCCATCTAGTGGAAAAGAGGCCCCTCAACTGAAGAATGTGCTCCGGCCACAGTTACTTTGTGTGGATGTTTCCCCTTCAATGTGCAGAATGATGTATGTGCACAGTTTAACACCTTCGCAGCTAAAGATGCAGATGTTCCAGAATAAGAGATCAATTGCATTAATATTCAACTTGGCCAGCTCCAATTCAGAAATAGTGTTGCTCTGTTCGCTGTGTAAATAAGCCGGTTATTGCAAGTTCAAGCGCACAATACGCAAGTCTAAATATCCTTCGCTCTTGTAGGTGCTACAACTGCGGAGGCCTGGACCACCACGCCAAAGAGTGCAAGTTGCCCCCCCAGCCCAAGAAGTGCCATTTCTGCCAGAGCATCGACCACATGGTTGCCAACTGCCCAATCAAAGCACAACAGTCCTCGCCGGGTTCTCAGGGAAAGCTGTCGCCGTTGAAAGGAGACGAGGAGCGCAGCCACGCGGCGCCGCCTCCCGAGGCCTCAGATTAAGCGAGGAAATTTGGGGGCGACACCGGGGAGGGGGGGGAGCACAGCGGCCAATCAAACTGCTTCGATGGAGCGACGGGACACGCCCGTTGAAGCTGCTTTTGGAACTACCTCAGGTTAAACAAATTTGCTGAAGATGAATGTTGCTGACGTTTTGGTTTTAGTTTAGTTTTTCACTTTGCGTAACACACACTCAGGAATAACTCTGTATTATTGCACTCAGGATGCTTTTTTTTTTTTTTGTTCAAATCACTGCTTTTGCCTCAGGGGTTTAGCTATGGCCACGTGTTGGCGTCTGCCAATATTGAAATTGACCATCCGGTTTTCCTGAGGCCAAATGAATGTCAGATCAGAAGTGGTTTCCAGCTTCTGGTCCCACATATTGGTAACTCAAGATTTTCCTCCAACATTTCGCTGGCTGTCCAAAGGTGCACAGTCTACCTCATTGCTTCATGTCTTCTTCATATTCTAACCAAAACATTCTCACAATTCGGTTTTTATAGAATCCATTAAAGCCGCGGTTTGTATTCTTCTTCTCATATTTATTCAAATTTCTAACAATATACTGACGGCAACTAATAAATCAATCTCGCCACAGCAGAAGAAGAAAAAGTCTGGAATCGAACACTGTCGCAGGACTGTAACAAACCCGTCCAGTTATTTCGTCACCGGAGTCTTCCACTAACGACGGCCTCCATGCGGTTTACGTTCATGCTTACGGGGGATGTTTTTGGCGGGAGGCCCGGCGGGATGGTTTGCAGGGTCTGCATTAGCTGCATTCATTGTAGCTAACCTTGTAGCTACAATGAATGCAGCATCGTGGTCCTTCGTTATCCAGATGCAGGAGAAGTGCTGGTGGTTTAAAGTATACTGGCCACCAGCTGGACGTGGTCGGCTGCACGTGGGTGTGAGGGGAAGCCAGATTATTGCACTGGGTGTAGTTCATCGTAAAAGCCTCGGCGTGACAGTTTTACTAAAGTTACTCTTCACGTCTCTACAGGATGCTCTCATTCTGTGTGCAATGCTTCTGCTTTACGGTCAACTCAACTGGGAATCCATAGAACTCCATAGAATACATCATCACATGCAATAAGACACTTGAACTGGACTGAGGTACTGGGAGATGGTGGTGGTGGGGGGGGGGGTCCAGCTAGTTCTTCTCTTGATACTTGAATAAGATGAGGCGGAATTGGAGCTAATGTTGCCGGTGTGACGGCTGGTGTTTTTGTTTTCTATCCACTGTGATCTATTTCTATTTCTAGGTAGTTATTTAAGACATTACCTCCCTGTGACCCGTAGTAGAGTAATAGTTCAGGAACACCTGTAGAACTAGCCAATCAGCTATTTACTCCCGTTTTACAGGAGAAGCTGACCCGACTTACACCCAGATAATATATATGTAAAATTATTCTAAAGCCTTTAAAAAAAATAATACTACTTATTTATTTTCATCCAAGAGTGCTGTCGCTTCTCCCTCTGCTCCTGTTGAAGCCATTAATATTCTAGTCGACACAAAAGCTGTCATTCAAAGTTATATTTTGACTCGAGAATGTATTTGGGTCGCACATTTTTACGTCAAGGTACTAGTATAATTTGTACATTTGTGACACACCAACAATATACAGTACATACTGTACAGGTACATAGAATTATGAGGACTGACGTAAACTGTGAGTTTGTTTTTCCTTTACTTTTTATCAATTATTTCTTTCTATTTATTTTTATAATCAATGAGCCTTTTGTTAGAGACCTATTGTTATTCCTATCTATGCCAAACCCAATGCAACGTTACTCTGCACTAATCATGTGTAAGATGCATTACTCCGTTTTATATTCAGTTTAATCTTTTTTCAATATGTTCTATGTCTTATATTCTACTTTTTAGATTTTTCTTTCATATACCACATACAGTTGTTCGCTGGCTGAAATTTAAAAAAAAAATCACCTTCACTCTTAGGCTCATCTCAGGAATTGCCAATCTGAAAACTCAGGGAATAATTCAGATTGATTTGAAAGGAGTCGAGGAGTGTTTATTCAGAACTAACTAGAGACTAAGCGTTCATCGCCATGATGCAAAGAAAAGAAAAGGGCGAAACGGGTTTAGGGATTACCTTGAGGAAATAAAGCTTAAGATTACGGCTAAAACAAAAAAAGCAATGACTACAAATGAAGTGAAATGTTTGTGATTGATATTCAGAAGCTTTTTAACTCCCATACTTTGTAAACTTCATGCACAAAGTTTGGTAATGTTTTTTTTTTAGTTTATCCTCTGACATAACTTGCCATGATAGGACATAATATGAAGAAAATGTTCCACTATTATTGTATTTTTTCCTCTATAATCGTCGTAGCTGGGGATGTAGTAGTGTTGTTAAGGGGATGGGGGGCTAGCAGTACATAATCCGGGGTCGTCTCATCTCAACACGTGGCCGAGAGTTGGTGTTTCAGACTATCAATGCTTAAGACAAGAAGAATGTGTCACAGGTGATTTACCGCTCAATAATGTTTCATGCTCTGCTGTTAAGTGGTGTTTGTAGAAGTATAACAGTTGATGGGTGGAGGTGGGTGGGGGGGGGGGTTATGACTCAGGAAGGGGAAAAGACGCAAAGATTGTTTAAGCAAGTGCTCTGATTAGATGGAATGGTTTACATTTCTGTCTGTTTTTACCTTGAATTTACCACTGGCAGAGATCACAGTGTCAGTTTCAATTTCTCTCCATTTAAAAAAGGACACAAATGGAGGACTTTTGTTATTTCACGGGAAGTCTCTGAAACAACTACGTCATCTGTCGAACATTTGATTCTGACACCCACTGTTTAGATACCGTTTGAAAAGTGTTTTATTGTAATGTCTGCGATATTCATCTGTACTGTTAATGTTTTCAAGGTATGATTTGTAAACTAAAGTCCATGAAAGACATTCTGATTGCAACAAACCTGTTGACCCCCTCAGTGGTGTGTTATTGTGATTTGTTTGTTGTGTGTTCGATGTACTTTGAATGTGCTCAGGGAAACATTCGAAGCACATCGAAGCGTTCTGTATCACAGTTTGTGTGCTTTCCATGGTTAATCTTGTTTGTGACCATCAGCCACTTCATCTCTGATGTATTTTCTACAATTTGGGTAAAAAAAAGATGATATTATATCAGATAAATGGCTGGAGCTACTTCCAAAGAAAGTTGAATTTATTACTGATGAATGTATGTATGTTCACTGCCATAAAACAGTTATCTTGATTAAATGGTTAGTTTTGCAATGATGAGCAGCATGTAGGCTTTTTAAGATAATACAAGTAATCATGTTTCTTTCTATATGTTAAGATCTGCTACATTTCCCAGTAAATATGTCAATTCTTATGTGTCTTTTTCGTCGTTTTTTTCTTGCTCTTCAGACAGATACTGCAAACTAAAAATTGCAACAAAAAGCCTTGAAGCACAAAGAAGGACACAATAAGTTGAGCTTAATAAATTAAAGCTAACCGGAAGCTTTAACTGTGTGATGGTGGTGTAAGAGCTACTACTGTGAAACTAGATTTACTTATCAACAGACAATAGATCGCAAAACAATTTATCACATGCAAAACTTTATTATTATTATTATTATTATTATAAAGGCCTTTGTTGAGCAAAAAAACACTTGTCCACCAGGGGCGCGAGTCCGTGTTTACATCTTCTGATGACGCAATCTCATATCCAAGATGGCCGCCACCATAACAGCAACGCCGGTGGAGCGCACAGCGCAGATGACGGACATGGAGTAGTGGAGTTATTTTCCTCACCTTAAACGTTAACTCCCGAGTCGCGATGTGGTTGTCGCGCTGCTTACGAAGCCAGGCAGCCCGCCGAAGGAGCTCCGCTGCGGCCCTTTCTAAATGCTCGACCCCCCGCGGGGATGCTAACTGGGGGGATGCTAACCGGGGAGATGCTAACGTGTCTCCCTTCAGGCGTTTGGCTGGACCTGCGGCACGAGCAAGCAAGGCTCTTCTGTTCAGGAAGCACGGGGACCCGTCTAAAGTCGTCCAGTAAGCCTTCCTTTGCATCGCTGTAGTGTATTCGGTCAGTGCCGTCGTGCAAATGCCCTAAAGTGACGTTTCATGTGGTTAAATATGCTCTTAGACGGAGGCGGGGCGGTTAGCTGCGCGTGCATTTGCCAAAGTAACGTCGTATTATTAGTTATTAACGTCGTTTATTTAGTCAAATGGCAAAATACTGATCGAAAACACTTCTGATGAAGTACAAAAGTCACCTGTTTGTGGGACTTCTTCGTCACCTTGTTGTGGTGCGCGAGCCCGTAGCTCACTACTGCCCCCTGACGTCGGAGGCCACTGAACAGCCACGTGTTCATGACGTTTGGTCACGATACACATTGTAGCAACTACTGCCATCATGGATCAGTCCGTTATCATGCCCACTTGTTTGATTTATCCCATCAACGGCCCGTAATGATCCATTTTCCAAACGGTTTTGGTCGTCAGGTTGGAAGACGTAGACCTGCCGCCCATCGGGGCGAAAGATGTCCTGGTTAAAATGCTGGCAGCGCCAATCAACCCGTCTGACATCAACATGATTCAGGGTACTTGGTTTGTTTGAACAGCAGCACAGAAGCTTCATTTTGGAAGCAGCTCTGCCAACAGGAATAACACGGTATATCTTTTTTGTACGTTTTGAAGATAAGTTGTTTATCTGACAGTGTTTCTTTTCCCCGCAGGCACTTATGCAATCTTGCCTGACCTCCCGGCTGTTGGGGGCAACGAGGGAGTGGCCCAGATTGTAGAAGTCGGCGGCCAGGTGACGTCCCTCAGAACAGGAGACTGGGTCATTCCTAAAGATGCCGGTTTAGGTAAAAACAGAAATAATCCTGTATCACGTGAATGAGTCCATGTGACCCGCTCAAAGTTATTTTGCATTTGTGATTGCAGGGACGTGGAGGACAGTGGCAGTTCTAGCTGAGGACGATGTCATTGCACTGCCAAGTGACATCCCCTTGTTGTCTGCTGCCACACTGGGGGTGAATCCCTGCACTGCCTTCAGGATGCTCTGTGACTTTGAAGACCTCAAAGCAGGTAATCATTTCCACACACACTGTCAAAACCACTTATAGAACCACAAGCTACTGAAATACAGAAACGCAGTTGCCTTCTAGCAACCAGCTTAGTTAATAAAAACTAATGACTTCCTGGTTGCAGAAACTCTCAGTAAATAAAGTGCTAAAGTACGGGTCACTTACACATTCAGTCATGGAAATGAAAGTGACTGCCCTGGTCGGGTTTACGGGCGGCGGGACCTTGTGTCTTAAGAGCCTGTCCAATAGTCCACCATACAAGCTGGAGGACACATGACGGGAACAACACGCCCATTCTATGTGCTGATAAAACACTACTCTTAAAGGATAGTTGAGGATGGAGCATCGCACGACAGTCTAACTGAATCCACGGTGCTCGCAGGTGATTCTGTGATCCAGAATGCAGCAAACAGTGGAGTCGGCCAGGCTGTAATACAGATTGCTGCAGCGAGGGGAATAAGCACCATCAACGTCATCCGAGACAGGTGAACTCAAGCATATCAAGTGTCTCCAGTAGAATCATCCACCTTTCAGTCCTAATCACTGGCCCAGGTAATCAGTCCACCTGACTGTGAGATAAGAGGGTCTTTTGTCCGAGGGCAGTAAAAGAAAGATTTTTTTTTTGTGTGGGGAAATTACGACAGTCGTGAACTTCCTGCCCGGTTCTTCCTTTTCCAAAGGGCAGAGTTCACACAGCTCAGCGATAGGCTGAAGGCCATGGGAGGAACGCATGTGATCAAAGAAGAGGCACTGAGACGGCCGGATATGAAGGAACTGTTCAAGGTCCGAAGACTTAAAAGTTATGAGTTTAAAAAAAATGTTATTTAAATTCTTATTCTTATCCTTTATTTTTAAATTATTTATCCTATATCCCTCTAGCCCACAGCCTTCTATTTTAAGTCTGTAAATTTATAAATTTAATATCGTATCGTATCTGTCTTGTTGTCCATTGTCTTACTGTCTGGTGTTATGCACCAACCGCTAAGTCAAATTCCTTGAATGCCCAACATATTTTGGTAATAAATGTTCCTGATTCCTAAAGATAACATATGTAGATATGTAATGAATAAATAGTCCTCATTTTACGATGTGGTTCTTTTTTTTCTTTTTTTTTTCTTTAAAAAAAGAACTGTCCAAAGCCTAAACTGGCGCTGAATGGAGTCGGAGGCAAGAGTGCAACGGAGCTGCTCCGTCATCTACAGTGAGGACGATGAAGCATCTGTGATGTGTAATATCTGACGAGAAAAGCGGATGAGAAAACGCTAAAACTGGCATGTATTCCAGATACGGAGGATCTATGGTGACGTATGGGGGGATGGCCAAACAGCCAGTTACCGTCCCCGTGGTAAGATGAGACCTGCCGCTAACACCACACGTCAGGACACACACTTCTCTCTCCGCATGCTCACTGAACTGCTTCTCTCCAGAGTGCACTTATTTTCAAGGATGTGAAGGTTCGGGGGTTTTGGGTCACCCAGTGGAAGAGAGATCACTCGAGAGGTGAGTCACCGGCAAGTTTCCTACTTGAGCAATGCGTGTCTTGAAGAGAACGTAACGCGAAATGACCCCCCCTCCCTCTCCTTAGATGGAAAGGCATTCAGAGCCATGCTGGATGAACTGTGCCGGCTCATTCAGCAGGGAAAGCTGACGCCTCCTGCCTGCACGGAGGTGGGCCTCCAGGACTACAGCAGAGCTCTGGACAGGGCTACACAGCCTTTCACCTCCGCTAAACAGGTCCTGATCCTGTGAACGGACTCGCCAGCTCGCCGTTGCGTTGGCATGACCCCAGCGACTGACATTGTTGTCCAACACTCAATAAAATATTCGTTTCCAACAGGCTCAAAGTCCAGCAGCTGTCCCTTTTATGACAATTTGAGTTCCCCTTCGCTTTCTTGACATAATTAAAAAGTAATTTCAATGTTATATGGTGTTATGGGACAAGAGGAAGCTGTAACTCATACAATGCATCTAATATCTTTATTACCCGGTTGGTTTGTTACTGAGTTATAGACGTGAGTAAATCAATATTAATTGACACATTTTCTTTTGCAATCACACTGATATGTGTGTATATACTCATTGTTTATTGCTGCTAAAGTACAATTCAGCCAATAAAGAACTGATTTTTAAGCCATTTTGGGTTTCGGCGAATAGATAAAGCAGAGTTTGACAAGTTAGCTTTGGCGGAAAGAAACATTTGACTAAAGTTTCGATTTGTTAAAGAACACTCTAGAATGATTATGTACTTTAGCCTCTTGAGCAACATGAATACTATAACAATAAAGTGTTTTCTATTGACCATAATGTACAGTATTAAACAGCCAATAAACCAAAGACTTTTCAATCGTTACATGACACCAATAATCTACATCTTTAAAGCTTCTATTTCAAGCATCCTCTTTGATAGATGGATCATCCTCACCGATGGGCCAGCACCAGACTTGCAGCCACGGAAATGACCGGCAGCAGCCCACCGTAAAGGGCAGCGGCCCCTTCCTTCTCCAGGCATCGTTCGTACCTCTCCAAGTCCACCTCTCTGGCTGCACACACGTGGTCAGCGCGGCAGTCGCCGTCGCACTCGCTCAGGTCGTAGCTGACCGAGTTGAACTCGTAGTACTTCTGCAGGTAGCAGCGGTCGGTGGCCATGCGCTCTAGGACCTGATGCATGGAGGCCGGGGAGGCGTCCGGCAGTCTGAAGCTCTCTGTGAGGCGATACTCCTTCTCCCAGCGTCCGCCGGCTGTGTTGGCACGAGTCAGATTCAGATAGTGTGTCACCACATCCTGAGTGCGTGCAAACGTGTGGTTGGCGAGGCACAAAACGGAAATTGCATATTTCTTTGTTCTTGAGGTTGTGTATTGCTCCTAAGAAAACCTGGTAAAAGGTCAAAGTTCCTTAGACCGGCCTTGACTTACTTTGACCAGCAGAGTTTGGGTGTCGTATTCGAAAACACGAATCCCGGGGTTGTTCGCGCCATCCTTGACTCCGGGAAGCGTTGTTTTCCACGGTGTGACGCCTGGGCTGAGGAACATCGCACTGATGGGAGAGCCTGTTCCGACGGGAATCACTTCTGGTTAACACGGTATTATGGGCCTAAAGGTCAAAGGTTACGTCTCCCTGACAGGGGAGAGCAGCATTATTATTCCAACGGGTGGAACTTACCCTTTGAGTCGTAGAACATCCGGAAGGTGTCTGTATGATGATGGCCAAAGAACTGTCCAAATATGACTGAATGATGCCTCTGAATCAAGTCCAAGTACAGCTCGTTGAATTTGGGCGTGAACCACGGCGTATTTCTCTTCTTCTCAAAGACACCTGGGGGAACATGGCCAATGATGTACACCTGGAAGAGAAGCCAGTGTAGGGTTAACAAGAATTACAATTCAGGTCATTTTTTTTGCAAGGCACGAGATAAATTTGCCATTTGCTCTTTATAGACGCGATGCTTTGCCTTTTCTTTGTTGACGGCGGCCTCTTTGAGAACCTGGTCCGCCCAGGCGAACTGGCCTGCTGGGTCGTCCAGGGGCGAGGTCACCTTATTCTGGTTATAGTAGAGGTTGGTGTTGAGGACCAGCATCCGGAAACCTGTCCGATTGAGCAGCTTTTCTGAGAAATATCCACCTGGGAGAAAATACATATAGTGGGCAATGCATGAAACAATGGGGCGTATGCTTTAACTACATGTGGCTATAAGATCATTTATTGATTCCTAGGAAAGCAACAGTGTTGATATTAAAACTTTTCATCTCAAAGTATCACAGGAGACTACCTGTTTTAAATGTTTCTCTGGACTTTGGATCCAACCAGCCCTGCCACATGTCAGCTATCCGGTTGTAGATGTTGTTGGGGCCTGCAGGAAGCTGGCTCTTGGGGTGGTAATCGTGGTTTCCCAGCGCAGGGTAAACCTTAGTGTCTAAGGAGGTGATGGTTTGAGTTCATCGCGTAGCCTTACTGACAAATGTTCGTTTGATTTCAGCTATTTTGCCACTTAAATAAAACCACATGTGATGTATCTTGACCTAACACTTACTTGGAAACAACTGATTTATAATATTGGTAAGGTTGCTTATAATGAGGAGCACTGCTTCTTCTCCCAGATCCTCGTTGGGTACATGTGGCGTGTCGTCTCTGAGCAGCAAAACGATATCAAATAGACAGTATGAGGATTAAATGCTCAGCGGGGAAAGAGGGTTAAATAACGTAGAAGCTGAATGGATTTGCAATAGACATAAGAAAATATTCTTTCAGAAGATCAATCCTTCCCGCATAAGCATTTCTCTCTGAAGATAGAACTCTACGTGCCCTGTCCACACGATGAAGTCCGGATCAGGTAGAATGTCCTTCATGGCATACACGGAGGAGTTGATAAGGAGCCACGGAGAATCGCACGCGTAGTCTCCGAATGACCCCGCGTTGGCCGCGGGGCGGTTGCCGCTCGATGCGCACACGCGCTGAGGATTATCGGTCACTTTGTACGTCGGGTCCCAGTGCAGATCCGTGATGTGCCAGAAGTTCCCTGGATTAAAAACCACGCGTAATTACGCGCACGAAGTCGGCCCCGCGCCGAGCTTTTTAAGAAGCATTTGAACAACTTACCCGACAGCGTAACAACCTGTTTAAAGAGCAGGCAGGAGAGGAGCAGCCTTACTGTGGACATGTTGAACTCGTCGAGGGAACCGAATGTCCAAGTCCAAGTTATAGAGGTGAGTCCATAGAGCGGCAAATGAAGATAAGATCTGTGACGCAGCTGATTCCTCAACAAAATATATATGGACACTATGTTTGTTCCATCTTGTGTTTTAATTTAAAATGATTGACCTGTCAAACCGAGAAGTTAAGATGCAAATGTACAAATGGAATGTCCCTCAATGTTCTGTTTGCAACTCGTATTCCCACTTTGCACATACACACTTTTTTGTGTGGGCCGAAGCTAAAATTAGTAGGCTTATTTTTGCAGTTGACCTATTTGACTTGTACATTAGTACTGTATCTAAATGGGTTTATGGCACAAATAGTGCATCTATTTTCTTCAATGCGTGTGTTAATGTTTCAATTACAGTAAATATAATATTCCATATTTAAAAAGCAGAACAAGTCAATAGTAGGTTTGCTGCCTTTGGGTGATGTGGGTTGAAAGTTTTAATTTGAAATTGTCACAGGAAATAAATACCTCACACTTGATTTTTGACCATATGAACATGACTGAGTGTGAATTACTGAGCTGAGTTAAGATATTTTGCGATTAGTATTTTGGATTTGTTAAATCCTTGAGTAAAAAATGCATTTCCTTATTTTATAAGAGCCCTAACTTGGAAATGGATATCATCAAACTAACGCGGTATGGTTTACACAGAAACGTCCCAGTATTAAAAACAATATGACCAATTGAACCTGAAGGCAGCACAGCCTATAGGTCTATGCCCCGAGTATTACCTTTCAGGCACTGCTGTGGTGCTCTTTTTTAATCGCCAAAAAGCTATATATCAACTGTCAACTTGTAATCCTAGGCTAGACGTATGGTTAGCACCATCGTTATGCCACAAAGACAGAATAAGCGCGCGCACAAACACACAGATAGAAGAATAACCGCCTCACCAACACAGACCGGGGCTTAAAGACATTTCCTCGCGGACCGCCGGTTCGCGGGACTTTTGCTGCGCGCATGCGCATTACGTTGAGTTCTGTTGAGTTTCATTGAGTTTCGCGCGCCGGGCTACAAGAGAGTCTGCCGAACTGCTTCTGAACCGCAGTATTTCATATCTGACTTTATTATCTCAATTGCGAAGACAGCATGTGGAACCAGGGTGAGTCCACGACCTCGCGGCTCTGCTCATTAAATGACCCGCTCGCCTCGTTGATCGGTAGCGGCCAAAGTTAGCTTGAACACAACTCACGTTATTTACCGCTAGCTTACTGCTTCTGTGATGCCCGGTGTCTCTCTCGGGGGGGGGCAATAATTTCTCGGTGTTCCTCTGCAGTCTGTAACTTCAGCCTCGTGTGTTTTTTTTCCTCAGGGGGATACGGTGAGTCGAGTACGGTCGGGGGCTACACTCAGTCACCGGGGGGCTTCGGCTCACCTGCCGCCTCCCAGGGAGGAGAGAAGAAAGGGGTTCGTGACCGCAGTCAAACATCTACACACAAAGGAGTAACGCAGAACACTAAGAGAAACACAACTGTGCTGCTTTATTAAGTCAGTCACAGCATCTCACCCTTACATTGCACATTGATATTCTGATTAGATGAGGTTCACAAGCTCCGCCCCGCTCGCCTACGTCACCATGTGTTGACATGTGTTTGACGTGTGTGTGTGTGCGTGTGTACTGATGGGGCACTGCTGGTTTTTGCAGAGAACCCGTGCCTCTCAGATCATCCCGTGCACAGTGTCCCAGCTGATGTCTGCCTCCCAGGCGGACGAGGCCTTCAAAGTAGGAGAGGTGGAAGTTTCCCAGGTGAGCTGACTTTGTGTTACTCTTCCTTCATAGATTGTGTTGTGCTTTTTGGTGTAGAAAAAATTCTAAAAATATTTGTTGAAATAACATCTCAAAAATATTCGATTCAGAAAAATCTCCCAAGCTATAAAGCCAGATATTTACATGCTACAGTGTCTGAATTGGTGTTTTTATGCTGCTCTCATAGTGGGGTTTGGACTACATTCTCTGCTCATCTTTCTCTTTTTCTCACATTTTATAGAGAACTAGTTGTGTTTTTGCCAAGTCACTAACTGACTAACTCGCCGATGTCCTGTGGTTAAGGTCACCTTCGTGGGTATCATCAGGAGCACAGACAAATCCATGACCAACATCCAGTACAAGGTGGACGACATGACCTGTGCGCCCATGGACGTGAAGCAGTGGGTGGACACTGAGGTCAGAGACCTCGTCATAAAGTCTTGAATGTAAACACTTGACATTTGGCCTGATAAAATCATTGTGGGTTCCAAAAGAACAATCTGCATACCTTAAAAAAAGAAAAGAAATGGTTCATCTTTGGCATACGAGATCATTTGATTGTTTGAGCACTAGTGATGATTAATTTCCTTCAATTCTCAACGTTATTGATAACCTGAAACTGTGTCAGCAGGAATTAAAAACCTCACATCACAGATATATTATTGCAAAATGAAGTGAAACCATTAAAAATAGAACATTGTCGTTTGGTGAACTACTCCGATCAGTCCCATTAGCGACGCTGTTGTTTTGGTTTAGGACGCCGGTGTGGACAGCACCGTCCTGCCTCCGGGGACATACGTCAAAGTCTCCGGCAACCTGCGCTCCTTCCAGGTAAGTTTACTCGTTTCAAAATCCGTCCCACGGCACCCAGAAACATAGAGGAACCGCAGCTTTATGAACGTGTGATGCAAGTTACTTGAATTCGCGAGTCGGTTCTCTGAATTGGGGAAGTTTCCTAAAAAGGCTCGATGAGAACCTTTTGGTCTTCCTCAGAACCACCGGTCCGTCGTGGCCTTTGGCGTCAGGCCCCTGGAGGACATGAATGAATTGACCTCGCATATGCTGGAGGTCGTCCAAGCGCACCTGGCGCTCAGCAAACCTCACTCCATGGTGAGGAACCTGAAGCACGAACCTCTGCGTTCTGAGTTGTGGTTTTTTGTGCGGTGAGCTCTCAGTCCACCGTTGTTCTCGAGTACATTCTGTACATTTATCTTCCCTCAACTTCTGGGGGCTTTTTTTTCTTTTTCTTCTTCTTCTTCTGTTTTTTTTCGTGCCGTTAACAAGAAGTAGCTACCCGCAACTGAGTTTGGTTTCTCTTTCAGGTGAGTGATGGAGGAGGAAAGAGCAGCGACGGCGCTCCTATTTCCCGACTGACGGGCAGCAGAGGGGGAAGCTACGAAGGTGCTGCTGACATCGTTAACAACGGGTTAAGCGCCAACCAGAATCAGGTGAGCCTAAAAAATATAATAAGTTAAATTATCACTAATGAATGCTAATGTTTTTTATTGAAACACATGAGACACTCTATTTTTCAGGCGTATAAAAAGAAGAAAAAAACCCTTTGAAATGCCGTGAAGAAGAATGATTTAAAGCATGTAGGGTTTTTTAACACCGCTAAGCACAGCGTTATTTCATTTGTTCATACTGTCATTTGTAAGGTCACACTCCTCAGCCGCACGAAAATAATATATTGCATAAAAGAATGTGTACTTTGGTTTGTCTTTGTTCATCTCCAGGTGTTGAGCTTGATCCGAGGCTGCCCGGAACCAAAAGGCATCAGCATTCAGGAGCTGAAGCAGAGACTCAGTGTCATGAGTATGGGGATCATAAAGTAAGCGCCATTCGCATCGCGGTGTGAGCGGAGCGCTGAATTAACGCCGTCGTCCCGTCTCCTCTGTTTGCATGAAACAAGCTGGAAAATATTATTCAACTCGCCCTTCCGTGCTTCAACAGGCAAGCTGTGGAATTCCTGAGCAACGAAGGTCACATCTTCTCCACCATCGACGACGAGCACTACAAATCCACAGACAACGACGAATAGATCACACACGCACCACACACACACACACACAGCGTGAGAAACTGTTGAAGGTCGATGCTCCTGTTGAAGACGTCGTTGTTGAGCTCATGCGGTTGTTTTTTTTTTTTCCACCTCTATTGTAAAGCATTTTGTAATTTTAAATGTCCATAACTCAATATATGTTTGTCTCTGTAAGGTTTCTCTGGCCAAAATTAAAATGATTCAAAGTACAGGAACGCTTGTTTCATCATTTTATTTTTAAGACATAATAATAATAATAATATAGACTGTTACAGTGGAGTCAGAAATGATTTAAAATTCGCTCGTATTCAACGTTAACTTGATGTTAACTGTTTCCCAAATCAACCTGTGCAAACATATTTATATGCGTACAAAAATATTGTTTCATGTGAAACTGACTGAATTTTGCATCCGGTATCTTCACAGTTCAGACATTTGCTTTAAATTAAGTCCACCTGCAGCAAATAGTTTGGGCATCTTGCACAATTATAGACCAACACATCTGTCAACGGGGTTTAAATAAACCACAAAGGGCTCCGTTGGTTCTGAAGCCAATTTATTAGTGATGGTAAATGTCTTTAAATACAAAAACGAAACTCATTAAAAAAAATGCTTCTAACCTTGGAACAAATCAATCGGTACACCACATTAATGTATTATTTGATATTACTTTGGCAGTGAGTGAACCAAAGCAAGAAGTTAAAGGGTTTGATACCACGTTCGGAGCCTCTTTTCTCCTCTCAGATCGTTAGTTTGCTGGGAGAACGAGCGCTTCTATCATTTTAACATTTCATGGGCAGGAACATTTGAGTTTGTGCCTCCCAGACTTTTCTCTTTCTACACTTTCTATGTATATGTTGATAGTGGAGGTGTGCTTCCACATCAAATGCCTGTACAATAAAATGTAAAACCTCTATGAAGCTTATAAATATGCATTGCTGCTAATAAGGATTAAAAACAAGTATGATTTGTTGACACAGTTTGAACAAATGTACCTTCTTACATTTCAGCAAAAAAAAAAAACTGAATACCCCAAATGGTAGTATTTCTTCAACCACCTGTGCACGGACATTTTCTAATAAGCGCTTCCAGCGGGGCGACTAATTCGTCACCAAAAGCTCTGCAGTGTAAATGATCCTCACAGATACAAGATACTGTTAGGAGATTAAACTGAATTTAACTGAAATACTTAACCTTATTTTCACAATAAAATGTATAATTTTAATGGATCTATTCAAGATAAGAGAACTTAAAAAGGGCAATAAGACATTTTCATTAGTTATTCCTAATAATATTTGTTTAGTAAAAACAAACGCTCTCGTTTGCTTTCTTCACCACCGTTACAAAAGAATCATCCAGGGTTTCGTAGTCATGGTCGCTGTCCTCGTCTGCTGTCAATTGACACACCTCTTCTTCTGCAGAAGAAGGAGTACAGTTAATCCATCAGCAATCCAATACAATCCGTTTTATTTGTAAGGCACGGTTGTTTAAATGAACACAAAGGTGCTGTGCAATAAAATAAACACACATAATAAATAAATCGACTGTCCTCCCCAGATAAAATATCTGTGCACATAAAATCAACAACCTACGTAGTGTTAAAAGCCAAAGAACAGAGGCGCGTTTTAAGAAGAGGTTTAAAATTCGACAGTGACCAAAGTGAGTTGCAGTAATCCAGCCGAGTGGTCACAAAGGCGTGAATTACTGTATCAGCAGTGTGCAACATCTATTTAAGTGCATGTCGCAATGTTTCACTTCATGATTAAGTTAGAACAACCACTCTGTAGTTAAGACATGAAAATGCCTTCTGAAAATAGACATTAATCTTGCTCCAAACCACAGAGTGTGTGCTATCTGTGCTTTATCTTCATTTTTTTTCATGTTTCAATTGAAAGCATTGTTGGATTTGGTCACATGGCGGCCTGGTTGTAATCTGTGCCATCAGTCTGCAGCGGAAGCCTCACCTTTTTTCTTGGACTGGTCCATTTTCACGTAAGTGTTCGGCAGAGCCTTTCCCGACGTCACTTTAGCCGTTGGGGGTTTCCGGGGGCCAACTGGCGGAGGCTGATCGTCCAAGATACCCTGCACAATAAAGGGAAGTAAAAAACGTTCATCTTTATTACGAGGGTGACTCGATGACCGCAGCAAAAAGTGGAAGCGCCGTTAATTTGCATAGGAACCTGTTTTTCTTTTTTTTTACCAGAGAGAGATTTCCTGAAAGTCACATTGTGAGAAAACATGTTTCTCAGAGACAGAAGTTGAAGCGTGTCGTAATGAGATAGATGAGACACGTGACCTATTCAAAATGGCATTTTAAACGCAAACGATGTTAAACATCTCGCTCGCTGTCATGCATGCAGGGAAAAGGTGTACTCACTGGAGTTGGTGGAGCCGGAGGCCTTCTCTTATTCAAAGTCAAAGCCGCCATCTCTTTGGTCGGGACGCTCTTGTCCGGTTCCCTGGACTTTCTTGCCTTGGAAGTTTTCTTTGAGGATTCATTTGAAGACGTTGCGGACGACAGATTGCGCTTCGGCGGTCGAGGCGGTGGAGGCGCGTCCGAGTTCCCCTGTTTGCGGAACTCGTAAAGGAAAGTGTCCGTCACCTCGGTGACGAGATCCGCGTGGCACTCGGGCGTTTGACCGGCGGGCCACGGCAGGGCTTCCCTGGTGAAAGAGACGGACATCGAGAGCCACTGGGTCAGCATCTCGAAGCGGTGGTCCGGCCGGTGCGGGAAGCTCGCCTGGATGCTGGGCTCCAACATGGCGGCCTCTATTCTGAGACACGGGAACCCGACCAGGGGATCGGCCTCCAGCTTTGCGTCCCGGCTCACGACCTTCACGTCCAGCGGCCAACTGAACTGCTCACCCAATTCTTTGAGTCTGTACTTCTTGTTGTCGGCTATCACCTCCACGAAGTGACCCTGCATGTACAGAGGCAGGAAGATCTCCTCGCTCCCATCCTCCCGCTCGACCTCCTCTTCGTCCTCATCGTCGCAGTCGTCGTCCGCCTCTTGGAGACGCAGACACAAAAGAGCCTCCACGGCCGGCTTCTGTCCCCGGGCACCGTCGCGCGCCAGCTCCACCGTATCGCAGCGGACGACCTCCAGCTGGTCGCCCACACTGAGGGCAGGCAGGCCTTCCTCCTCGTCTTCCTCGCAGCTCCGCGTCACGGCCACCTTCAGGCCCGGGGCCTGCATCGAGGCGACGTACAGCTCGTACGCCGAGTCGAACTCTCGCGGCCGCCTCCGGAATCGGCCACCGTATTGCTGAGATACCAGGAAGTGCTGCTGTGTCTTTCTGCCCCTCAAGCTGGACAATAAAACCACGGCGGAGGTTCCGATCTTGTGGAAAATCACGCGGGCGTCTTTGGTGAGTTCTGGCAGCCAGCTGCACCTGAACGGGGAGTGGGTGTCCGGGCCCTCCAGTATCTCCACCACCGTCGGGAAGGACTCTTCCGGCTGGGAGAGGACCTCCGTCAGACTGAGCGGGGTCACGAAATCCACATCGCCGCACGTCTCTGTGACGTCGACCACGTCCACCTCCAAGCTGGAGGGAAACTTAAAGATGTTTTTTCTCACTGCAAAAGAAGAAATTAGAGGAAATACGTTTAAAATGCATTAGAGGAAGTTGATGAAGTCCACTGCGCCTCTTCGGGGACGGAAGATAAAACATGTCAAAATGCTGTGTGTGCCAGATAACTGTGATTATTTTCAAAGGATAAACGGCAAAAGGTTATCCTCACAGTTCATGACGGCGGCGACCTGGTATATCGGGCTGAGGACGAGGGGCCGCTGGCTCTTGGTGGTGTTGACGAAGCGAAACCGTCGACTGCACAGGCAGGGCGAGGACAGGATCTCCTGCACGGTGAAGCACTCTTCGCTTTCGCACTCCCTGAACTCCCCATGGAGAGAAAGCGGGAGACACACTTCGGCGGAGACTTCCTGTTGTCCCCGAACGTGGCACCGCACGAGGTCCTCCTCGCCCGCGTGCCGCTCGACCGAGAGCACCGTCAGAGCCGTGTTGGCCCCCAGCGTGTAGCTGCCGACGTCGATCCTGGAGCGGCTGGTGAAGGTGAAGGGGAGGCAGGAGTCCAGGCCCACGGGCCTCAGGCTCAGCATCTCCTCCAGCGTACTGTAGGGCATCTCCTCCGGGACCACCTTGAACAGACCTGAGCAGAGGCGCCTGGGTGTCAGTGCGCCGCCACCAAGCCAAGCAACAACATTTCTCGCCGGAGTCTCGTACCTGTGTGGTTGATGGGCAGTTCAAACACCTCATTGTTGCCGACGTCTTCGCAGGAAACCGACAGGAGCTCAATGTCGATGACCTTTATTAGGTCCCCGGTAGAAAAGCTCACTTCACTCCCAGAGATTTCATATACAGACCCTGAAACGGAGATTGAGAATTTAACCAAAGAAGGGACTGAATGGCAAGATCAGTAACGAGCAGATAGATCAGGTACGAATAACCCGCTTTGCTGACGCAGTTCTAGGCTAATATGAAGCATTTAGAACTACCATTCATGAGCAACAGCAACCTTTCAGCTAAAAATAAAACCCAGTCTCTTATTTGGCAACAGCGACCTCAGATTCTGGGTTGAGATCAGATAGTAGCAGATAGTAATCTCTACAAATAATACAACGAACAACGCCGTCAAACGCCTACCTTGGAAATAAACTCCGGAGCAAACTTGTAGAATTTTCGGCAGACCGGATCTGTCAAAAGAAGCTATCAGTTGTTGGAGCGGCAAAGCAGTCATGCCTGCCATCACTGTTGTCCCAGTGCGCCGCGATGAGAAGTGACTGCGGAAAACGTGAAATGAAGCATTAAAGGAGGTGGCTTTCGCAGTCAAAAACCACAAGTGAGAATGAGGAAGTCACAGGAGCGGTTCGCACAACGCTTGCATTCTCTGGCGAGTCATTTGACATCTCGCGAAGCTGTCGGTTGTTATCCTGTGTATTCGTTTGATTGCAGCACGAAGCCTCCATTGACTACTATTGCGAAGACACTCGTGTCATGGGACCTACGTTCACAAGGGCATTGTCTCGCACACTCTTGTGTCACGTTTGTGTTCATGTGTGTGCCTGATAAATGCAAAGATTTGCAATGTGAAAATTTGATTTTAATCTATAAAGACGGTGTTAAACATTCAAAAAATTGAATCTTTTTTTTAAAAAATCAAGAAAGAGAACTTGGCCAGACACAAGTTCTGTTATACAACGGCCACAGAAAAACACAACAACGATATTTGATTGCAGTTAATAGCACGAATGACGGACATGTTCATCCCCACCAAGGAAAGTGACCTGCACCAACAAACTCAAATATAACCTCCCAGTGTCCTTCAAAGTGTTCCATGACACATGGTGTGTGTTGGAAGAACCTTTTCAAACTGCTAATGCCACAAGACAACATGCCGGCTTCCTGTGGAAGAAACGTGAGCGTCCGCCCACTTACGACTGTGAGCCCCTCACCCCGAAACCAGAGCGTCCCAACAGCAGTTTCATTTGACACTTGAAGGCCGTGGAGTTCGAGACAGAACTCTGAGGCCTCTGAGCACCTCTGGTGGTGTTTGGGGGGAAATTCAACGGTTTTCCGGTTTAATTTAAACTCACTCGATGTCAGAACAGTGATGCGTTTAACAAAGTTCACTCTTAATAGCGTGGACGCGTCACGGTTCGCTAAACCGCTGTGGAGTTCCACTTTGTGTGAGGGATATTAGAAGATAACTGACAAGTCACACCGAAGTGACGCTCACCCAGCATGCACTTCGGCCATGAGAAGATGAGGCAAGATGGCGACTAAAATAAGCAAAGAAAGTGCTCCTCCTTTTGATTGTCCGTCATGGTGAGAAAATCCACTTGATAAAGTCGCAACCGCCCGTTTTGCGACGCAATACCAGACGCGAACGAGCAGAGCAGCGTTCACTCATTCATTCGACCGATCTCCTTCTCCGGGAACAGCTTGTAGTAACTGTTGCTAGCGTTAGCCACCGAGCAAGCTAGCAGGCTAACGCGTTCACGTTGCTATTCATTTACAAATGGCGTTAGTTTATTGTGTCGTTTCTACCAGAAGATGCTTCGCGTGTTTCCTCGTTAGGGTGTCTGGTCTGTGCAGGGCTGCTCCACTTCTGGGCGGTTTGAACTCAATTATTTTGTTTCGGCGTTTAATGACGTTTAAACGCCGAACCGCTAATAGCGCGAACGTTTCAATGAGAGGCACCAATACTTTATCATGAACACACCTTTAAGCGAGCCGAGCCGGGACACCGGTTTATTGCAGCAACCAGCGCGGCACGAATGCCTGGATTGCAGACTTTGCACGTGTTTTAAGACGTTGACCAAGTGTTTCCTTTCAGGGCAGGCAAGCCGCCTCAGGGTCTCCACCTGGACGTGATGAAGGGAGACAAGCTGATGGAGGTAACCGCGGTCTTTCCTCCAAGCTCAATGCCTTTTGTGAACTCGAGTAAACGTGTGGGATGGGATGTAAGCGAGTTTAACGCACCAGATACGAGCCTGGAGGTCCACTCTGTCCCAGATGTGCTGCACACTGGGACATTCATTGGCTGCATGGCTTCAAACGGTGCGAGAGCAGAGCAGCCCTGAGATTTAAGCTTTTCAGCGGAAAGAATCGCCGTGAAGTTATGGCTCAGAGGCACAAAGGCGTACGCGGTAACCGTGAACCAGTTGATCCCATGAACCTGTCTCTTCCCGTAGAAACTGATCATAGATGAAAAGAAGTACTACTTGTTCGGAAGGAACCCGGACTGGTGTGACTTCACCATTGACCATCAGTCGTGCTCACGTGTCCACGCCGCCCTGGTCTACCACAAACACCTGAAAAGGCTCTTTCTCATAGACCTCAACAGCAGTAAGAGCACAATCACATTTGTGTACTTGTGTTATGTGTAGAACCAGTGTCTCGTTAGGTGTGTGTGTGTGTGGTAAGAACTCCAAGGACTCCTTTGCCGAACAAGAGAAAATGTATTCTAGACTATTTTGAGAATAGATGAATTGTCTTTGCAACTTTGTAACTGAGATTTCTTTCCTTTTTTTTCTTACTTTTGTACATCATAGAGACGATGCAATCAATAGCTTTGAAACGCGTAGTTTCCACCAGGACTGGTTCTGAAGTAACATTTGAAAACGGAATCACCTGTCTTAATATTTGCAAACCACTTCATTTGATTTTCACTGTTTTAGCCCACGGTACTTATCTGGGACACATCCGTCTGGAGGCACACAAGCCCCAGCAAGTTCCCATAGACTCCACGGTGTCTTTTGGAGCCTCAACAAGGACCTACACAATCAGAGAAAAGCCCCAGGCGCAAGGGACCGCCGGCACAGGAGACAGTAAGACGGGAGAGGACGAGGAGCTGAAAGGACTGCTCGGGCTTCCAGAGGAAGAGACAGAGCTGGAGGTACGTTGAGGTTCTCGATGACAATAGTCTTGTGCTCTCTAACGTAGGGTGCATGAAAGGACAAAGAAAATGGCCGCAACCAGACTCTCTGTAATCACATGTCACTCTCTGTAGTACAATGTGCTTTCTATGTGTGAAAATGAACGTAACATTGACAAAGAGCTGATGATGATAATAAGACCTTCGTGGGGTTTTTACTTGCTCTGGCTGGGTTATTGCTGCATGCTGAAGCAGTAACATCCTGATATCCACATCTGTTTGCATCCTGACAGAACCTGACCGAGTTCAATACAGCTCACAACAAGCGCATCTCCTTACTGACCATCGAGGAGGGTAATCTGGAGATCCAGAGGCCCAAGAGGAAGCGGAGGAACTCCAGGGTTACCTTCAATGAGGACGACTCCATCATTAACCCTGGTAGGAGTCATTTTGGATTCCTTTATGACGGTCTCACAGAATGATGACACTGGTGTCAGTCAGCTGTAAAACGCTGTGTGAACTTTCTAACTGTTCAAATTACACTTGTTCTCTGATCAGGTGGCTATTATTCCACTACTTGTTTGCATGTCAGTGCTCTGAATATCAAATGTAACACCACTAAGTAATTGTCTTAATTAGTTTGACTGGGTTTTGCAGTGAGGGGTCTCCCGTCATGGAGTAAATATAAAACCCAGCTATGTCCTTTAGCTATGTGATTAGTATGTAATGTATTTTAAATACTTGCAGAGGATATCGACCCTTCGGTGGGACGGTTTAGAAACATGGTGCAGACGGCTGTAATCCCAATCAAGGTAAGCTTTAAAATGAAGAATACTACCAGTGCTGTGTCTTAAGAAACAATAATAACTCGTATAACTTTTAATATGTATAAACGTGTGTCTAATATATATAAAATAATATGTGTGTGTGTAATAAAAAATAGCCTGTGATGTCAATACACCATCTCTGCTGCAGAAACGTAGATCCGAGGGTCACAACACGCTCGGCCTCGATGACCTGACTTCAAAGCGGATCCACAGCTACAGCCTGGGGGGGGGTCTCTATGGGGACTTGCCTCCCACCAGTCACGAGAACCAGCCAACAGCTCCGGGAGGGGCTTCCATGCAGGGAGGGCTTCCTCTGCCCTTCCCCAATCCGGCGCCAGAGGTGGACCTGGCCCCAGAGGCACCCCAGCCCCCTGTCACGCTCAACCCCACCCCGGTCACAGCCCCCTACCTACCAGAGACTCACAACGAGCCACGCAAAAAGAAGTATGCCAAAGAAGCTTGGCCGGGGAAGAAGCCCACCCCGTCACTACTCATCTAACCGTTTGACTCTCAGGTTACCGGCAGGAACATCTGTGACCTGGCAGAGGTGGATCCATTCACATCTCAAACTTCTTTTTTTATTTTTTTTATTTGTCGTGTTATATCTTTTTCATCACGAGACGCCACATCATTTCGTCACACAAGATGTCACCATCATCGCTGAGTCAGCAGTCGATAAGTTGGCAGGAATGCATCAGAATCGTCTTGACTGCAAACACAATTAACATAAATTAAGACTTGGCAGTGTGCGTTTGTCCCTCAGAGGTGCAGCTGCCTGTTTGTGAGTGACGGGCTACATGTTTGTTTTCAATGTTGTATTTTTTTTTTCTACTAATCACTTTTTCAACTTTTTTTTTCTCACTCCGTCAGTGTTTTGATAATGCTGTTTAACAAATGGCAACAAATACTTTTATATAAAATATTTTAATGTGAGAAAGTCAGTATCATGAAGTCGGTTTCTATCAAAACACAGGGCTGCTTTTTATTCTGAAAACCTCTGGACATAATGTGAAGCCGTTCCATTAGGTTTATTAGACCAATATGACAGCATCCCAAGTGTTGTGTATTTGTCCAACAATCCACTAGATGGTGACTCGTGCACAAAGGTCAAAGTTTTCACTGAGGTTTAGCTGCACACTTGAAGGTACTGATGTTCGTGGCCCGTTGCACCAACCGTCATATTTCAAAGTCTATATGTTGCGTCATATGAAAGTGATAATTGAACGCTCTTGTTACTGATATGGATTCTTTGCAGATAAAAGCCACTTGCCTGTCCAAACACTATGTTAATCGACTCTGTCCTTTAGCTTTTTCCAGTATATATTGAGTGTTAAGAGGTTTGTAGTATACTGTAAATACAACGATTTTACAGTTTTCTAAGTTGGCAGTTAATTGGACTTATGTACTAATGGAGTTTAGTTATTTTAATTGGAACGGCAGCACAGTGACACTCAATACTGAGAGGTAGTTGAAAGGTTTGCATTTAGGATATTTTGATGGTTATTAGCATGTTAATATATTTCACTTGCAAAGGCGTACAGTGCATTTACACTTAACTGTTTAGTTTTCCCTCAACTGACTTGAGACAAGGAGCCATCTGTGCACAGTAACAGAATAATAGTGATTCGTGTCAAACAGTCGGGGCATTACGTAATTGGTTGAATGGTATTCTCACTTAACCGGTGGCTAATTTCCATTCTACGTATTGTGAACGCAGGGCAAAGTAGTTCAAAGGAAGGTTGATGTAACACTCTTTTGGTTCAGCATTAAGTCGCCACTGAAGATGCTCTGCCAATAAAAATTTCAAAGCCATTTCGTGGGATCTTGTAAGCGAAAGGTCGGCGGTCCACCCAAGGCGAGCGGGCTCACTTTTACAATCTGCTGGTGACTTTTTGTCCTTGTGGGTTTTGTAATCATGACTGTAAATAAAAATGAATTAGTTTTGGCTGAAAACTGCATTGTTTTCCAACGAGATTAAATGTTAAATTGGTTTTCAATGGTCAGAACAAATATGACAAGACAGTCATTCATTGACCCGCTTCCCTCGTGGCACTTTGACCCGATTCAAATGAGTTGAATGTTGAACGGTGCCAGTTAAAGTAACTTCACACAAAGAGCTGTTCATTCAATTAAACTTTGATCAGTCATGCCACTTTTTCATGAACACAAGCAAAATGAATGAGCAACATTTTAGGGCTTTGACCTATGACCTTTCACCCACAAGAAAAAAAACGACAATGTATTCTGGCAGAAAGTTATGAACACATTTGGGGTTTACTCATCAGTGCAAAAAAAGTGATACAATTTCCTTTTCAGCAAATTATTCCCACCCCAAAATATAATTGATATTAGAAACACATTTCATTATCCGTTATAAATTGTTTTCTTCCAGAGCAACGTGAGGTTTACTGCACGTCCGCGGCTTTCACCCTGATGTGGATGCCATTGATCGAGCGAAGCACCAGCTGAGCCAACAGCTTGGGTTTCTGAGTGGGGTCCTCGATCAGCTGGTATCTCTTCAGCGTCAGGGCTGTCGCCACTTTCAGCTCGTTCATGGCGAAGGTCTGGCCAATGCAGTTTCTGAGTGTGGGGGGGGGGGGGTGGGAGACAATTTCAGGAATACGACGAATGATGAGAGGACCGCAAGATGCCATGAAAAAGGAATTTACAGTTAAAATCAAATAGTCATTACCAAATAATTCGTATTGTGTTTCAAAGGGTACAAGGGAACTCGTGATCAGTGTTCACTGTTCAACAGTTTAAAGAAATCCGTTGCAATCTGTGCAAATAGCGAGTTACTGTATAACTGCAACTGTTGCCAATTGGTTCTTACTGCAAGACAATTGTACTGTAAAGTTTATATAGTTTATGATGCCCATAAATCCACGTGCAGTCAACGGGTGCCTTTATTTTCTGCTGCAAGCAGAGATTTGCACAAAGGATTAACCTTTTTCGGTTTGGCCCTCACTGAAAGTGGCCGCTGAGCTCCGTTTGTAACCGTTTGCACTGTGTTGGTAGGAGGGGGGGGCTGGGGAGGCTCAAACATTCACATACCGCAGAGTAATCGGATACACACACGATCAGACAGAGTTACTGTAGCTCTTCCTCAAGGTGAGCCAGTTCAAGCAACCAGGTGGGGTCGTACCTCGGTCCAGCTGAGAAGGGCACGAATGCATGTGGTGACCTCTTGGAAACATTCTCCGGGAGAAAGCGCAGTGGGTCGAAGACCTGCGTGCACCCCAGATTTAATAAATAAATAAATAAATAAATAAATAAAAGAAAACTGTGGCACAACTCGCTTTACTTAATTTGTCCCCCTGAAAATGGTTTGGCTGAGGAGCATCATTGTCACTTACATTCGGGTTTTCCCAGACAGCTGCATTCCTGTGAATCCCAAACACACTTGTTCCAACATAACAACCTGCCAATGAGAAAAAAAGTGTTTTTTTTTCATAGCCTGCTACAACCATGTAAAGCGTGTAGGTTTAACGGTTACAGTTGCAATCAAAATTATTCAACCCCCCCCATTGCACATTAGGTTTATTGGCAAAATATACAATTTCTCAGCTGTTTGCAATAAAGAAATTACTCAAGAATCGTTTAAGTAGTTTAATGAAACTAATATTACAAAAGGTTTTATCCAAATTCAACACAAACTGCTACTTTTAATGACTTTAATGAATTTACTGCAGTCTCAAAATGATTCAACCCCTTCATGACAAGCAATAAACCTAATGTGCAATGGGGGGGCGTTGAATAATTTAGATTGCAACTGTAATATATTTTGTATGTTGTGACAGGCCCGACGAGGTTAATGGCAGCATCCATAAACTTTTCCAAAAACAACAAACCTGCTTGCAATGTCCTTCCATCAAAAAAGGTCATGGGTTTGGTGGTGACCCTGGACGCTCCCGGCACAGGAGGGTAAAGCCGCAGGGATTCTTTTATGCACATTGTGGTGTATGGAATTTTACCGAGATCCTCCCTTAAAATAAAAGCACACGCGTGTTGGTTGTCCGTCCGACTGGCGCCCGGCCCGGCATTGCGCGTGTCGGGGTTGCCGGACAATGTCAACCTACCAAGAAAAGGAGTCCCTGCCGTCCAGGGTTCGAAGGATCTCCTCCCTGCAGAGCCTCTGGTGCTCCGGCTGGCAGGCCAGGGAGTAGAGGATGAAAGACAAGCCGCTGGCGGTGGTGTCGTGGCCCTCAAACATGAAGGTGTCCACCTCCGCTCGCAGATCTTTGTCCGACAGGCCCTGTTGATTCTCATCCTGGAGGTCGGGCAACAGACAGAAATGCATCAAAGAATGTCTCGGCTGAGCAAAATGCAGATGGTCGTCAGGAATGGAATTGATGTCTGACGTTGGCGGTTTTTAAGTTTGGTTGTTGTTGCGTCACTTTAAAATGACTCAATACTGTCTTCCATCCACTTTCTCTCAGAAAGTTGTTGCTGGCGTCGGCGTTTAAGTTTATTACCGGTGTCGTGAGCTTGTGTACAAGTGTAAATTTCTGAATTAATTTGATGGGAGCCGATGTCAAATAGCATACTCTTGCTAATAGAAGGATATCCAGAAAGTCCTTGTTTCGCTTGGCTTGGATGCCGTCCGGCCGATTCTCCTCCTTTAGGGCTTCTTTCCTTTTTCTGATGACTTCCTCTTCAAAAAGGGGGGCAAGAGAATTTATGAGTTTATTTCCAGGCCAATTGTTAAAACTGCAGCAACATGTAAAATAATAACAGATATGCTATATTGCAAATTGAGCAAATCCAGTATAGTTGATAGTTGGCACCGGTTTGAAGATCTCACCGGTGTGGCCGTGAGCCACCTTGCATGCTTTTCGGAATCTGAAGCCATGCGGACTGAGGTAGAAAAGGAGGTCGCTGTGGTACGGAAACGTCCGGAACCGCAGGTTGACGAGGTAACTGAGCTCGTACACCGCTTTGATGTACGCGTTCGTTCCACTGAAAGGAGAACGTATGGGGAACCGTCAACAGCAGCTTTCCTCCCACCGGTGATTCACGTGAAGCAGAAAACACACGGGAGCCGAGTCTAGAACCCTATGAGAAGGTCCGTTGTGGCTTCACCTCTCCGTCTGGCAGCGGCTGTCGTCGCTGAAGGCGCACTTCAGGATGCTGTCCAGGGTCATGAGGCTCACGTGTTCGAACAGCTCAAAGGACTCATTGCTTTTGGCGTATCTTTCCCATTTGTCCTGGCGGCGGGGAGACAACCGAGGTTACATCTCGCTCGTTGGCTCAACCAACGCCTGGATTCTCTAAGCATCACCACGACACGTTACGTATTAAGAGGAACGCTCATCATTTACGTACCAGCATAGTCGTAGTAGAGGCGGACACCAGATTTACGTATGGCTTCAGAACCTCATAATGGAAACCCGGGGTTAAGAGTCTCCTGTGTCTAAACCACTTCTGACCTTTTGACACCAACAACCCATCACCTAAAGGCAGACACGGGAAGTTTGCTCGACGTGAGTACAAAGCTCGACAAAACACCTCCACTGCTGAAATAAGCGGTTGGGGAAGGAGTGGTCTCACCAATCCAAGCCTCAATGAAGCTGTACGCGAGACGGTCTTTTGGCTCTGTTGGGAGACGAACACTTTGAAACCACGTTACATTGACCGCTGTATGTACAGAGTGCGAATGTCCCCATAAGGAGGTAAATTAAAACGCTGCTCGGTCGGTAAAAGGTGAAAAAATGTGAATAAACCGATCACTCGCCTGACGACGTCCAAACGGTTTTGACGTAATCCGGATGGTGGATGTTGAGGTAACAAACAAAGGGACCAAACCAAAGGGGGAAAGCATACGGGTGTTGCTCCCCCCACTTCACAACCCTGTCCAGGTCGGTCCCATCTCGCTTAATCTGAAAAGGAAAACGTGCACATGAAGGAAGCTTGGCGTTATTTCAAAGGTTATTTCAAACACACATTGCCATTGAATAACATGTTTCAGATTAAGCCGAAAGGCTGATAAATCTAATCTATCAGCAGAAATAGACATTTGTGTAAAAAGTGTATACAAAGTAGCGCAGAGGGCGAACAGGGGTCGGTGGAATGTTCCTCTTTCAGAACGGCACAAGCCGATCTGTTAGTATGTAGCGACATGGACCCGTCACCCCCTCCTCTTCCTCCTCCTCCTCCTCCTCCTCACGCAAATTCCATGTAAATTAGTATGTACATGTTTTTTTCTAACTTTATTGAGCATCTGTCCTAACGCGAGGCTTTAGAAATGGACACAAAGGGTGATTCTGTATTTTCTCATAAAGCCTGAAATGTTTGGATAACCGACCCTAACGAGCACTCGTGCATCAGCCACGCGCTTCACAGGTGTCCTCCAAGTTGCGCTCGTTTACTTTAATTATCCGTTTTTTTTTGTGTTATCTTGTAAAAAAAAAAGGAGGCCTCGGCATGATGGCCACAGTGGTCGCACTTTAAAAGTCCCACGCAGCCACGCGACGTGATTTACCTCCCTGACGTTTCCAAAGAGCCAGTGCGCGCGGGGCCCCGGGAAGGACTCCACGCTGCGCAGCGCGCGCCTCCTCTGCGCGAGCAGCGCCGCCAGCTTCCACGCGACGGCGGCGAGACACACCGCGGCCACGGCGACCCAGTGATGCGTGTGAGGCCAGCCCGGGTTAGGCACCCGGAAAGCGGCAGGGGACTCCATGCTGGCGGCGGCTTGGCCTTGGAGACGACGGAAAAGATGCGCGCGGCAGCCAGGGACGTTACGCCGCTTCGGTGTGTGACGTAACAGCCCGGAGTGGAAAGGTGCTCCGACAGGCTCCATGGTGGTGGCTTCACGCGCTGCCGGAAGTGTGGGATCTTTCACCACGGAAGATTTAAAGAATAAATTATCAGTGATTTTGTTTGTTGTTGAAACTGTTTTTTTTTTTTACTGTATTTGGTCATTTTTAAAGGTGTTGTAGTGCTTTTGAGCAACGTTTTAGGTGTGACTTGACCCACACTAAGTAAATTGTAGAAGAATCGCAATCAGAAGACATTTATTGCCACATATGTTACACATAGAATAATTTGTCTTGATGGTTGGGTTCGATATAAGAATAAAATAAGATATACATATAAAAGCAATAGTGAAAACAATATGAGCAGATAATTGCAGTATTGGCACCATTATTAGTTTTTGCTAGATTGTACACTGATGCACATACTGTATCCCAATATGCAAAAGGACAATAATCAGGAATCAGGAAACATTTATTACCAAAATATGTCATACATACAAGGAATTTGACTTTGATTGATGCATAACATCAGACAGTTCGACACAGTTAGACAATGGACAACAAGACAGATAAGACGACTGGAAATGACAATATATGTGATGTTGCTGCTCTTCCTCTTCTCTTTTTACAAATTAGTATGATTGTATTGTATATTATCTATCTATCTATCTATCTATCTATCTATCTATCTATCTATCTATCTATCTATCTATTTATCTATCTATCTATCTCAATGTGACACAGTGTGAGAAAAAAGAAGTTCCCCAGCATTGTCTGCTAGACCACTTCCTGTGAGCCACTGTGAATTTAGTCATTAAGCTCAGTATAAAACCTTGTGTAGACACTTGGATGAGGGTGTTGGTGAGAGTGTTACCACGTTTCATCGCTTCACTTGTGTCTTTGAGTGCCTCACGCACAATGCTGAAAGGCCTTGTTTTTCTATTTATTGTTTGGAACTCATCGGCCTCCAGAAACCGTAAGTAACTGACACAATATTTCACGTTACACTGCAATTTGAGAAGTTAGTGTTCTCAATACATTATTTACATGTTACATTTTGAAAGCTACTACAAGTGCGTAACGGAACGCCTCTATTTGGCAGCCAAAACTCACCTTCTGTTCTCGCTGGGATGTCAGGCTGAGATTCCTTGTCCACATTACCAAAGGGATTCAAGCCATTTCAAATGGCTGCACGCGAAAGGTAAGGAAAGGAGCACGCTGTACTTTAAAGACGACAAAGGAATAGAACAACATCAGAGCTTCTTCCGCTCCAGAATGAAGGTGCTAGATAATGGTTCCTTGATCATTGATCGTTTCACTGAGGCGGATGAGGGACTTTACTGGTGTGAAGTCTGTTTTCAGAACAATTGGTGGAATGATTCGCTCACTGTCGTCACTGTGAACAAAGGTCAGAACTATTTTGATCTCCATCATTTGTTCTATAACTATTCAACTGCTTTCTGCATCCAGTTATAAACATTTTCCAAAACCCGTCTTTTATTCACATGAACCTTTGTTTTGTTTTCAGAAACTCTAAATGAGACTAATAAGACAGTCAACGTTATTGCAGGAATCAGTTTAACTGAGACATGTCCCGGCGACTTTCTCAACTTAAGATGGACATTTGAAGCACCCGCAAACTCCGGCCGAGGCGCGGAACCAGACTTCGTGACTCACAACAAGTCATTGCAAATTGTAAATGTCAAAAAAGCACATGCTGGGAGATATATCTGCTGGAGAAGTGGATGTGACGGAAACAAACAGAAGCTTTTCACCGTCCACTTGTGTGTACTAACAGGTAGGGAGATAACACACACATGAACGTCTTAGGTCAAAAGAAATGGTTTTACCTCAAATATGTTTTTTTGCCGTATTTCAGGTCACAACAGTGAGGCCTCGTCTTTTTCCTGTGCGGTGACGTGTGACGTGGAAGTCAAAGCCAACAGCACAATGAACGTGGAGACAGGCAGAGGGACGATATCTGTGCCTGTAGATCCAGATGGGTCCTTGAACTGCACTGCAAAGCAGATGTTTGATGGACACCACACATTCAACAGCACCGAAAGGCCATCAGACGCTTTCAACAACTCAACAGGTAGCTCTTTTTCTTCATTGCTCTTAAGGAATTCATGGGCTCAATGAAGCATTTCAGTTCTCTTTTTTTTTTTTTTTTACAGATTTCCCAACGGAGCTCGGATATCTGTTGCCGGTGACTTATGGAGCGTCAGCAGGCCTCACATCGCTTATTTTAATGTCAATTTTCATTTGCTACAGAAGAAAATCACGAGCAGGTAAGAGTGTTCAGCTCTTTTTGTGTTGCATTTCCTGTTGTGTTGTGTCAGTGTTCAAAGGGATTCTCTTTCTGTTTCTATCTACGACAGCGTTTCCTGTTGACTTTTGTTGCCGGGGCTCAGATGCCAGGGTAAGTCAGTTAGTGATGAAGGATGATGATGAAAGCATATCCATGTATCTGCAATGCAGCAATCAAAATACATTTCTTACTCCTGACTGCAGGAGGAAGAGGAGATTTCAGTGGTCTATTCATCAACTGTCTTTAGGAGACCTGCAAAGATCAATCCTTTGACAGACAGTGGTTGTGTGTACAGTGAAATACGAGTAGCCTAAAGAGAACCGGCCAGAAATGAAACTGTTCAATAAATAATACTGTGTAAAAGATTTTGTGATATTTTTATGTTTGTGTCTTTAGATACTGTTGTTATACATTACATTCAGTTTAAACTACTGTGCTAACAAATGTATGTTTGGGGTATTGTGTTTTATTAGAGATAGTTTACTATTTTACTCCACAGCATTTATTTTACAGCTACAGTTACTTTGCAGTAGGTGAATATCCCCCCAATTAACCGTTTGCACACACAAGTGGAGAGTGGTTAACGCAGGTTTCCATTGCGATATGTTAGTGCACGTTGATGAAGACGAATACACCGGTAGAAGAGGAGACCTGCATAACTACACGGCTCCAGTAGGTGGCGGTGACGCGCCACGTCCAACAGCAGCGGGAAAAGCAACAGCCGAAGAAGAGTAAACTAGGTTTTCCCTCACTGTTGTCGGCGGTGTCCTGTCTCTGCTGTCCGCAATAATCCAAGCAGTTGGCGTTTTCCGTTTCTCGAATCACCACGTAGTCCCCATTAATATGCACGTGTCATTCAATTAAAGTACGGCAGCGAACGTTGAAAGGTTTGGCGCGGTACATTGGACCTGCACGCTGTTGTAGCTAACAGATGCTATCTGCCTTAGCTAGCCGCTAGCTAGCTCGCTAGCTGGGTATCTGCAAGCCGCACAGAAGGCGCGCTATCCGACTTCTAGCCGGTGCTCCAGATCAGGCGAAGAGCTGCATTTGATCAGTGTTCAGGTAATGAATTAAACTTATTTTCAGAATGAATTGCCTTGAATTGCCCCCTTCATGACTTGAATTAGCTCATCACATTTAGCTAAACCTGTTGGCAAGGTAACAGTGACTCGTGTATTTACGTCAGAGGCGTTATAAGCTGAGACATATGATAGCTTAGCTTAGTTAGCTTAGCTATTGACACTACTCCTACAGATAACAACAACCCGGTGCTAAAGAAAACATGGAAGCCCCCCAAGTTACAGTGATGCCTGTCACCGGAGGAACCATCAATATGATGGAATATCTGCTGCAAGGTAAGCTGACAAAAGGGAACCTCTCTCCACACCTTTGAGGTACGTGGCCTGAAGGAGAGACTGATGCAAGTAGAATGTTCTAATAGTTTCATTTCACTGTATGAGGTGAGCATGTTTGAAAGTGCTCTAATCACGCTCCAGTTGGTATTACTGAGAAATTAAATAACTGTCGCATACATTCTAATGGACTCTATTTCAGCACGATTACTGTTACTCCAAATCCTACTTCCCTATTTGGGAGGAGGTGGACAACATAGTAGAAACTCATTAAAATGCAGTATAAATCATCGTTACCACAAGCTTCTGTCTGCTCCTGAAGTAGAATCAACACCCCTTTTAACTGTTGGATCAAAATGATTTGCATTATTTCTTTTTATAAGCGCATTTGCTTCTCTACCCCGTCTCCACGCAGGCAGTGTGTTCGACCAGGCACTGGAAAGCCTCTTGCATCGCCTTCGAGGTCTGTGTGACAACATGGAACCGGAGACCTTCACCGATCACGAACTGGTTTATCTCCTGAAAGGCCAACAGGGGAACCCTTTCATTCTGCGCGCGCGGCGGTCCCTCTCCCACCCCACATCGCCATGGCACCTACGCTACCTCGGCCAACCTGAGGTGGGAGACAAGAGCCGCCACGCCCTGGTGCGCAACTGCGTTGACGTGGCCGCCTCTCACAGCCTGCCGGAGTTCCTCAATGAGATGGGCTTCCGCATGGACCACGAGTTTGTGGCTAACGGGCACATATTCCGCAAAGGCGCTATGAAAATAGTGGTCAGCAAGCTGTCGCGGATCCTGGTACCAGGGAACACGGAGAACACGGAACGTCTATCGCTTTCCTTCCTGGTGGAGCTGAGCGTGTTGGCGCCTGCCGGCCAGGACACGATGTCAGAGGACATGCGCAGCTTTGCCGAGCAGCTTAAACCTCTGGTCCACCTGGAGAAGATTGACCCCAGCAAACAGAGGCATTGAATGACATCATTTAGAGGGTCGTCTACGGCCACCATGGACAAACAACATTTTTTTTAATGTTTTTATTTGAACTCAAATTAAATGCAATTCAACTTTGGCTTAACGTTCTACTTCTCGTGCATTTGTTATGTGAGTTTTCAAATGACTATAGTCAGGCAAAATATTATTTCATTCCATAAATTTCAAGTGAGGTTCAAGTGAGGTCACACACATTTATTCATCATTACTTCATGCTGCACAGTTTTGGTTAAACTCGTTGCTAGTTCAATCATTTTTTTTATGATGTACATCATTTGATGCATTTGGATGATCATCACCTGCACAAGGAATTCACTGTGTTTACAGAATAAATGTGAGTAGTGTTTGGGATTAAATGGAATAAAAGCAGTAAAAGATGTAAAGCAGTAAAAAACATAATTGCTTAAAAGACAACCACTTCCAGGCAAGTGATATTTGTCATAAAAGTTCTGCACCGTGACACAGGAGCTCCTTTTTTATTTCTTTAATTGGTTGATTAATTATCAACCTTTTGTTTTAAGATCTCTCAATGTGGCAGGTTTAACTAAAAACCCAAACTTGGTTTATATATATGTATATACACCCCACTAAGTTGTAGCGTAGAGTATGATGTGTGTTGTACAAAGACCTTTTTTCCTTTCATTTGATTCGTGTGTGTGTTTACGCGTGTATTCTATCCCACTAGGGGGCGCTCTGGTGCTTCGTGTAACTGGGTGTCTTGCCAGCTGAGTTCGGCTCATTTAGAGGAGCTGTGGTTGCCATGGAAATAATTAGCTGTGAGATCTGCACGCCTCCCCCCCCCAAACACACACTCTAATTACCTTTCTCAATTGCTTAATGATACATAGACCTGTGAAAGCCGCTCTTTCTTCCCCTCAACAAAAGCATTGATTTCCCCTCTCTTCCCCTCTCATTTCTACTGTTAACCCATTAGTGCCTCTTTCATGGGAACTTGAGCTGGGACTATTACACATGAAAGCACTAAAGCTGCACCAGGATCCTCCCTCCTCGTGCTGAATTCTAAAATGGCTCGTACACCAGTGTGTCAACATGACGGCCTCACTGCTGCGGAGACCGAAGTAACTAATGCACATCCTGTCAGTTATGATAATAATGTGGGCAATAAGACATGAGTGCTTCTAATAATACCCCCGCAGGAAAATGCATTTGCTGGGGGTTGCAACGTAAAGCGTCCCCCGTCTGAAGGGAGAGCTCCAGGGCAGCTGGCTGTCTCTACATGTCGACCTACCTGCACATCAAGGCTGATGAGGACGAGCGCGCTGAGGTGGAAAGGTGAGACGACGTTGCTTCCACGTACATAAAACGCACCCTTGAAAACAACCGTTGAACAATTGAGCCGCACATCCAATTGTAATAGGATTGTTTTAGTTTGTCTGTCTAAAGGCGAATCTGTTGGAACCTAATATTATAGTTTGGTACAAGAGATGCGATTATCTGATGGAGACGGTTCCGTGTTCCTAAAAACCCACAAGCAGACGGCTGGCCTTCAGGACCAGAGAATGATGTTTGAGCTGAGTGAATTATGTATTAAAGAGGCAGATTCCTCGTGGCCCGAGGCTCTTCATGTCCGGCATGGATACGCTACAGTCTGCTGGCGTCCTTCCACTTAGACTTGTGTTCCGCACGGTGCTCTTTGGTGATGAGCTGCACTCCCACAGCACCTCCACTCAGCATTGCCTGGAGAACGGGGGCACAGATAGGCTAATCAGCGCCTTGGCATCCAGCCTACTCGGCTTCTTGTGGATGGCGCCAACTAACTAACTGGAATGTGATATATTGCATGTTGCAGAAGCAGAATGGGGGGTTGCCATTGGGTTGTGGGGGCCCTACGGTACAACTCAGAATCAAATAAAGGCTCGGCGGGGGTTCCATTTGCGTTTTTGGTTTGCCTTCCGATAGGGCGAACGCCGCCGTGACGTCGGCAGCCCTTTCCTTTCCGCTCCACGACCGGAACCTTTTAATAAAAACCCCGGCCCCCGGGGTTCCTCGCCCCCTCGGGACTTTTTTTTCCTAGAGATGTCAAGTCGCACGGAGCCCCCCCAAAAACCCGGGGGGGGGGGGGGGCAGGAAGTCTCCCAAGTCATCCGTCCTTGGGCCGGTGCCACGGAGGGGGTGATACCCAGTTTGCTCTACTCTGGAGCGTTCGCAGCACTTGGACTGGACCCTTTTCCTTCATGTTTCTTGGGGGGGCCATTTGCTTTTTAGAGGGTGGGTTTCATGGCTGAGAGGGGGGTGTGGGGGGGGGGGGGATTTTTTTTCCCAAACAGGCATTGATTTCCCAGGGGTGTTGTTGGGGGGTTTCCAGTTTCCTTTCATCCTAATCCCACGGGGCCAAATGGTTGACGGGGGACACATTGCACAACGTGGCGAGCGTGCGATTGACGTCCGACCGGCGGTCCCAAGAAAACGAAACGCTTCCCCCTTCCCCCCCCCCCCCCCCCGTATACGTGAATGAAATTCCAGAGAACTCGTTCGCGGGGGGAGAATTGACGGGCCCGAAGCTCTGCCTCGCGCTTGTGGTTGACTTGAGATGATTATTGCTGGGCAGAACGCGCTGTTCCGGGATCAGCCACTCTGAGCCTGGAGCCAGCCACGCTGCCTCTGGAATGTCTGGTATGGGGACAGCGTAGCGGTCGGCCTGCAGGCGACCCAACACACATGTGTAGTTTAGTTGGGTTTTTCAAAAGTCCTGCTGCCTGGGCCTCCCCTCTCTGTTTGTCTCGGTGGTGTCTCTCCCCAAATACCTTTTCCTTCCCTTTGTGCAATGGAGAGACATTGCGTCGTCTTGCGTCACCGTACCGAACGTTGTCGTTCTCCGGGCCAGAGGTCTTTTGCTTTTGAGCGATAAACGATTGCTCACGGATCTCCTCTGTAGGTGCAGGACGGGGCTTTTTGGCGTGTGATCCGGTCGATGTTTAGCATTCAAGTCATTTCTAGGACACATGACACACCCTCCCGCCTTTTAACAGTCGGCCGTCTTTGACGGGCGCTTCGAGACATCGGTCGTGTCTGAGCGCACACAGAGGCCGTGTTGTGAAAGGTTTAAGTATAGCTTCCGTCCGCGCGCTCTTTGCACGAAGAGGGCGCGTGCTCCTCCAGCCAATCGACGGCACCTTGCTGCACAGGTGATCATCTCTGCTGCCCGTGAGTCTTTCTGTTAAATACGTTTTTTACAACTATGGAACAAAACATGCCTGGTAGCCGGTGATGAGAATGCTCACATTGAACATCCGCCTAAATTCCAAATATCACCCGAAAAAGTCAAAGTCAATGAATAAATAACACAGAGCAGGTGTGAATGTGCATAAAACCCTGAGGCCGACTGATATATCGCTGTAGAAAAGCTTGTGGTAAAGGTGAAAGGCGAGGTCGTTTCTAATGGGAGGAAATGCACAGCCAATGGGGCTCGTGCACCTGTGACCGTGTGCCCGCCCTGCTGTCAGATTTGAGGAGGGGATTGGAGGGGGTTGAGGTGCGGGATCCCCCCCCCATCTATCGGTTAGTGTGCTGCGCGTCTTGGCAAATGATAATGTGCAAAGTGTTATGTGCACTTTGGATGGAATGCGGAGCAGAGATGATCTTTCAATCTGTCCTCTAAAAAAACAACATTTCACCTCACTCCGCCCGGATTAAAATCTAGGGTTACCTAATCTCACTTAATCTGGACTAAATCGGTCTAATCGGAAAGAAAATTACACTGGCGGGGCACCGCGCGACAATTTCCCGCTCACTGAAACCGATCGGACACTGTATTCTTTAAAGACAACAACAACAACAACAACAAAAACCGACAACAACCTTGTCGAGTCTATACAGGAAATTCCCCTGTGACACGCAACGCGCCGCCGGAGATCCTCATGCAGAGCTCGGATTGAGAATTTGGGGTTTTGCTCCCGCGCTTCATATCGGGAGAGGGTCGTGAGACGGGTGGGTGGAGGGAGGGAGGGAGGGAGGGAGAGAGAGAGAGAGAGAGAGAGAGAGGGTGAGAGACGGGGGTTTCGCTGTAATCACGCTCTGAGAGTATTGATTTCGTGAGCGCGCTCCAATTGGCAGCGTCTCCGGCGCCGGCGCGTCATCGTCGGTTCACGTCGACGGAAACGAGTTGTAGTCAAATGAGAACATGTGTGGGATCCGAGAGAGAGTGAAGGCTGCACGGGGAGGTGGAGCTGGGAAAAAAAAAACCCCTGACAAGTGGATATGACATTTGACCGCTGGACTATTTTTTTTTTGTTGTTGTAATTTTCTTTGCGTATTTTTTATTATTTTTTTTCAGACTGGGAATTTATCGATTCGTCACGTGCGCGCGCCTCTCCGTTATCACCGCAGACAGTTGTTGGGTTCTGCTCGGGCGGCCGAACGGACGGATCCGTGCAGGCTGAAAGATTTAATAATTCACGGTAATCACGCATTGTCGCCTCAGTGGATGCGCTCAACGTAGCTCTGGAAATCCCCCCCTCCCCACCTCCTCCTCCTCCTCCCTCCCCACCCACCACCACCACCTCCTCTCCCCACCTTTCTTCTCTCATTCTTCCCGTTGTCTTCCTGAGGATTTATCGACGACACGCTTTGCAAACGCGCTCCTTATCTGAATTATCATCTGTTGCTGCCGCTGGATTGAAAAGCCCCCCCCCCCCACCCCCCCAACCCGGTGAGCGGGCGCGCGCACGCGTTGGGCATCGGCTGCCTGGAGGTGATGTGGATCTTTTAGACGATCACCGTTTGATAATTCACTCCAGGTAAAATGGACGAAAAATTACTATTACTTTTATTACTTCTCCTGTCTCTCCACGCGCGGCTGTGATTTGTCTCGCGTGCGCCATGGTCCCCGTGCTGCGCTGAATACCTCCGTATTGATTCAGACTGTGCGCTCATAGGCAACGTTCAACGTGGAGTGACGCGGAGGACAGTTGGGTATCGGCACCGTGGAGGTATCCCCCCCCCCACCCCCTCCCTTGCGCTTGATTTGATTAATTGCATTTTTCGACGGAGGGGTCAATGTTGATGATGGAGGACGACGAGCTGGACGCTCGTCAGGTCGATTCGGATTTCGAGCCGCAAAGCCGGCCTCGCTCGTGCACCTGGCCGCCGCCGTGCCCGGAGGACTTCCCCGGAGGACACGGGGTCAGCGGGGGTCTCCCGCTGGCCAGCATCAAGGTGGAACCGGACGAGGTCCCGACTTGCATCGCGGGGCTCGCGGGCGGAACGCCCGGGGAGCTGACGCGCCCGGCCGGCACCCCGGCACCCGCGGGCGCGACGCACCCGTGCCTGGGCCGGCGCGACGCTGGACGCGACGGGACCGCTGCGCAAAGCCAAATCCTCGCGGCGGAACGCGTGGGGGAACCAGTCCTACGCGGACCTCATCACCCGCGCCATCGAGAGCACCGCGGAGAAGAGACTCACGCTGTCCACAGATCTACGACTGGATGGTCCGCTACGTGCCCTACTTCAAGGATAAGGGCGACAGCAACAGCTCGGCCGGCTGGAAGGTGAGGGTCCCGCGCGCACGGCGGGCGTGCGACGTGTTAACCACATAGTGATAACTGCGAGTATTATTGCTCTTAGCTAAAACATTATACCCCCACACACACACACCCACCTGTCATACACATGTCACCATGGGATTCCGTATCGGTTACGCGCGAATGGTGCCGTGCGTTATCTTGTCTTAGTTCATTACAGCCGTCAGTCATTCTAATAGATCATTGATGGCTGGATGTTATAGACTGGAGTGCAGTCCCTCGCCTGTGTGTGTGTGTGTGTGTGTGTGTGTGTGTAATAAGCCTGTCACAGGGCAGCTCATGATGGGCAACAGGGTCCGTATAGTGGAGCATGAAGTCCTTTCACCGGGAGCAGCAACGCAATGGTTAATGATTTATTTCCATATCTGCTGCTAGTAAATGAGTAAGTTAAATTGAATTAACTGTTCAACGGATTTCCATGCAAATGGCAGCGCACATTTTCTACCTATCAGTTTATAAACGCATCAACAGAGGAACACTTGTCGTCGGAGGTCACAGGTCACCCGTGCACAATGTAAATAGCGGGTGTTCACAACTACTGACCACAGTCCGCTGCCGCCCTGGCTGAGAGCCCAGAGGAACCTCCTGGACGGCCGCCCACGTTGCCTCGTCGTGTCGCTTTATATGGCCATCTAAGGACACAGGATCACCTGGGGGTGGACCGGCGCTGACCTGAGATCTGTGTACCAAAAGAGTCTTTCCTGTCACAGTGTGATGGCACTTTGCGAATGGATTGTCGATTATTGGAACTGTGAGCTTTTTATCTCTTTTTTTTTACTAAATCCAGTCCGCTAAACAGGACTTGACGTTTGCTAAACTATTTTCCAGCATAAACCCATTATTGAACCGGCCTTAATGCTGATTGCTTGGATATCCCATTAAATACTTACAGGAAGAATGATTGAGCCGGCAGAGTTAGCCGATTTTCTACCCGCCCCCCCCAGAACCATCAAGGCGTGTCACTCATACGATCACAACGCGTCCGACAACGCACATTCGGATTGTCGCCTTTGGTTTCCGCTCAAACGTGTTGTGTTGCCTAAAATAAACTCTCCTGCTCGAGTTGAGCCTCAATCGCGAGCACCAGACCGACTTAACAAGCCTAATCCTGCGCCACAAAGGTGGACTCTGATCAGGCGTGTCCCCAGGTAACCTTTGTATCACTAGCGCCGCGCGTCTGCCACCACGGGGGCCTCCAGCGCTAAAGTCCGAGGCTGCTATTTATGAAACCTGCTAATTAAGGTGGAGGCGTGTGACCACGGCGGGCCACGGGCGAGACGCTGGGGGGGCCCATTCCAGGTAATGACCGGGCATTAGGTAAGTCCTTTAAGGCACGCGGCCATAATGTCAGTAGCAGGGCTGACCTGCTTTTGGGTGCTTGTCAACATGCACTTCGGAGTCGCATGTGGAGCCCTCGCTCCTGCATATGGGGATATCGGCTCAGCAGCACAGTGAGACCTCCGTTCTGATGCAACTGCCATATACGCTGTGCTCGTGCAATGGTTGTTTTCAACTTTTGAGTGAACCCGGCTCGTCACACGAGAAGCCCCGTTTTTGCTTTTTAATTTGCAGGATTATGAATGTATGATGAAGCGCTGTAGAATTTCTCGCTAGTTGGGAGTTTGGGAGAAAATGACATGCAAATGATTTCATCAAGGTAGTTATAGAATTAAAAAAAAATATCCTGTTTTATTGGAGATTTCCAGTAGCGTTCCATATGAAAGCAGCTGGAAGAGGCCGAGTTTGACGTTGTTAATATAAGGTCACGTGTTTATATTCAGTCCATGAACACACAGATCGCACTGCCTCCTCCCTCATTCGCACAACACACGTGCACATACACGTAACTTCGCAATCACGCCCGGCGATTGTACTTGACAGCCGTATTTGGGAGTTGGAAAACGTTCCTTTTGTCATCCACAGCGTTTTAAATCTCAATCAACAATCGCGCACAAAAACTGGTAAGCTGCTGATGAAATTTAGTGGTATAGCTTGTCAGATTGCGTAGGAGGCCGACGGGGGGCCGGGGGGGGTTGTGTAGGAGGTGATAGCTTCATGATGGGTGCTGGACAGCCAGTACACCTGGACGCTTCCATTGAGCTCCTATAAATACCTAATGGCTTCGGACTTCTTGGAAAGCTGCAGTATTGTGAGGTCACGGTTCCCTAATCGCCTCCTTGTCGAGGGAAGGTTACGTACGCTTGTGTACTTGTGTAGCTGATTACGCTTCCCGCTGCTGTGCGGTGTCGACTATATACTAAATACCTAATGGCTTCGGACTTCTTGGAAAGCTGCAGTATTGTGAGGTCACGGTTCCCTAATCGCCTCCTTGTCGAGGGAAGGTTACGTACGCTTGTGTACTTGTGTAGCTGATTACGCTTCCCGCTGCTGTGCGGTGTCGACTGATGGAAACTTCAGTGGCCTTTTATTTACCAACGTTGTGTAACTAACGAAGCCGAGCCAACGCAGAAATGTGCAGGATGCTGCAAAGTTAGCGATCATTTCTCAAGTCCTGTATTTATGGTTGTATTCTATGTCTTCACGGCTAATAACATCTATATATATATATATATATATATATATATACATACATACATCTATATACATCCACGGCTCCAAGTGGATGCACGTGG